CACATGTACATATAGATACCTCATCTCCTCCAACATCGGCAAGGTCATGGATGGAATCCGAACACCAACAACACCAACAACAATAATAACAACAACAAAAAGATATAGAAAGATTCGCTATGCCTGCCTAACTCCCTTACTGCCTTTCATCGCGACCAAATTCACAATCTACACATCCACAATCCCCACGCCCCAAAAAACTTGGAGGACAAAAAAAACCCCTTCCAGCTCAAGTCTTGATCTTCTTCGCCGCCTCCCCTTCCGCCCTGTCCTCACTCCACCCCGCCGCACCTGCACCCGTGAAGTCCTTCCTCTTCTCCCCAACCGCGAATCCAGACTCCGGACCTGGACCACCCGTGCTCGTCGCAGCCGCCCTACCCCACCCCAGCGGCGCACCAACTTGCACCACCGGCGTGGGGAAGGTTAACGGACTGGGGAGCATGTTGCTATCATGACCACCGCTGCCGCCCCTCCCGCTGCCGCTGCCTGCACCGCTGCCAAGGCCCCAATCCGGGTAGAAGCTCGACGGGCTGGGTAGCAGGTTATCCGCTACAAATCTACTTGGTAACGCGGAGATGGGGGTATCGATGTTGTTGTTTCGATTATCGACGTAGGCGTTGCTGTTATGGGGTTGCGGGGGCCGGGCGAAGGGGTTGGGAGGGCCGGAGGCGCCGGCGCTGAGGAGAGCGGAGGCGGAAGGGGAGGGTGGAGGAAGGACGACGGAGGAGGAGTGCGAGCGGTTGCGGTTGCTGTTGGAGGGTGTGGAGGTAGAGGCAGTGGCTGCGGTGGCTGCTGCTTCGGCTCCACCAGAGTTTTGGTTCGTGCCGGCTGGGGAGGACTCGTCTGCAGTTCCGGACTCGGCGTCTGAGGCTTCGGAGGGGATCTGTACTTTGAGGCGGGGGCGGGCAGCGGCGGATCTCATGGATGAGCTGGTGTTGGTGCGGGAGGGTGGGATGATGCCTTCCGAGGACATGGTGTTAGAGCGACCGGGTTGAGGGGTTGAGCGGGCAAGGGGAGGTTGGTGGCGAGGCCGTGGCTTCGATTCCGGTGAGTCTTCTTCTTTGATGTCAGGTCGTGCAGGATCGGGTGATCGACCAAAGAAATGCGATGCCAGCACTGAACCGCTTGCATCTATGGGGGTGAATATGCTGCGGGATTTAGAGGAGAGATGTTTAGGCTGAGGTGGGCTTTGGGGCTCAGGAGGTCTAAGGCTCTGCTGTGGAGGAGGCTGGGGAGGAGATTGAGATGGCAACTGTTGATGTTGCGTTGGTGGTGTCGGTGTCGGCTGTGGTCTCTCTTGCTGCGGCAGAGCTGGCGGCAGTGATTGCCTTCTGTGCTCCTGCAAGAATGCTTGATGGGCTTGTTGCACCTGAGCATGCTGCGGATGCTGCTGCGGGTGCTGATGTTGTGCATGCTGCGGATGGTGTTGAACGGGTTGAGGAGGAGTGTGATGTGGAAAGTGTTGGAATTGCGGTGGAGCTGTTGGTGGAGGATTCAGGTTAGGATGAGCGCGGTGATCATACATTGATTGATTCGGCATATACGCGAAACCGTTCTGAGCGGGCTGTGGAGTCGTTGCCCGAGGATGCTGCATCGGCACGAGATTGGAGCTGGATCGCCGAACAGTCTCTCGAGAGGATGGTCGTGAGGCCATCTGTGGTTGCGGTGATCCATGCTGTCCTGGGAATATGCCATTCTGGGTAGGTGGTGATGCTGATGGCACAGGATGTCGAAGGTGACCAAACGGCGGCTGATGCTGTATGTGAGGCGGCATCATCTGTGGCGTAGGCTGCGGTGGCATTGACTCCTCTCTTGGAGGTGACATGTCCTCGTCGTCATCGTCGTCATCATCTCCACCACTCTTGCCTCGAAAGTCCGCAGGGCCCTTGTGCTCATGTGGTTGTCCATACTGCATATAATGTTAGCCATGTTCATTTCTGCTTCGCCATAATCTCCTCACATATTGATAGCGGCCGATGGTTTCGTTGATGTCTCCCGAGGAGAACTCATAGAGCTTCTTGTTGTGACCAAAGATGATAACGGCGACGTCGACAGAACAGAGGACAGATAGTTCGTGCGCTTTCTTGAATAGACCGCCTTTACGTTTGAGAAAAGTTCTAGTTGATGTCGCGATTAGTTTCATGTTCTTCATGGGGCAACGGCTTGGTAGCTACATACACGGAACGATTTCGATCATCCTTGATCGCTTTGATCTCAATCTTTCTGCGGCCCATCACGAGCTCTCATGCACATGTAATGTGGCTATATAGTTTGTCTCCAAGCCTCTCTCCCTCTCTCTCTCTCTCTCTCTCTCCTTTTTTCTCTCTCTTTCTTCTCTTGCAGGCCACGAATGTACCGTTCAGCCAAGTCGAGGCAACACGGGTGCAGAACAGAACAATGGATTGAAACTAGCAGCGGGACAAGAAGCGACGATCGAAGGATGTGAACTGGTCGATGACAATGATGGTCTGTACTCTCGAGCATCAAGTGCGGAAAAATGAAGCGCCGTTGGAATGCTTGCTGACGGTGTGATTTGGAGATGCAGGTCTAGAAGTTAGGAGTTCTAAAGATAGAGTCGGTGGAGGGAGGGTCCCTTTTTTCTTTGGAATGTGGGAGGCTGAGGCTGAGCAGAGGTAGCAGAGAGCGCGAGGGCAGTGGAGAGGCACGAGGAACTACCCACTAACTACTGGACCGCCCCAACCAAAACGAATAAGCGGCAGAGGCTGCCCTTTCACGCCTCAGCTTTGGCTCCAATTTCGCTTGGTTCATCTCTAATTAGTTAAAGCCTTGGCTAGCCGACTCTCTTTGATCCGCCGCATCGGGTCAATTGGGTCAACTGGGTATGGACGTACATGGTACGAGCACTCAACCAGTCATCTTGCTGCTTGACATACTTCCACCCAATCACTCTCCATGCACGTCCCCACGGTCCAACAACGGCCCTTTAGTAATCAGCCGCCATCAGATTGCACCTCGCTTAGTCTATCCTTTCAACACCCATTACGGAGTAACTCACCAAAGAGCTGGGCCATGATCAATCACTCTTCCACTCACGCATAAGCTTAGGTACCAAATTGCACCCCGAGGCTCCTTGTGCAGTGTGAAAGACTGCATGACGACCAACTGGCCTCCGGGTTTCGTTGCTGTAATTTGCTATGACTCATACTCTGCCATAGATATCGTATTTCTGTGAATCCTTTCCCCTATGTTGTGGTCTGTTGAGTATCAACATATAATGGATGTCGGCACAAATTTTTTTCCTTGGTGATGAGTCTGGAGATTAGAGGTATCACGTTTAGATATCACTCGTCGATCAGCTAGGGTGCTGGCGATGCATCTATCATTCAAAGACAGCCTGGGGGATCTTGAGGAAAGAGACGATGTGTGATGATGTTGCAGCTTTCAATAAACGGTATGTGAACGATAAACTGCTGTATGTGAGAATTTTATCTATGTTCGGCTCGCTTTCTCCGAAACAATGGTCCATCGATTCGACCCTTCAAGCTCTGCACACGGAGTTCTGATTGCCGTGACTGTCTCTGTAATTGTTTTCCGCTTCTCGCTGACACTGGTTCGAGCTTTGCTTTCGGCCTTCATCTCAGGGGTGCTCTCATCTACTAGCATTGAGCTAACTGTTTCATCGCTGCCGTTTGAGTTTGCCTCAATATCTCTCAGGGTAAGTGTTGAGAGGTCCCGAAGTTGCTGAGTGATCCTGTGTGCGCGTACGAGGATGTCGAAGAAGCATGCAATATGAAGGACACTGGACAACAGTCGCATGTCAGCCAATGCATCAAGTGCTGGCACACCAGTATGGGGCCTCGATACGACTTACGCGAGTATGAAGTATATAGCATCCATTGTCCACTTCAGGATAATGACGCCAACTATAAAAAAGGATAGGAATGAGAAAGCGAGGAATAGGTCAAGCATTGCCTCCACTCGATGCGGTAATTTGCTGCAATGGAACTGGACGAGATCAAGGACGGAGAGCACAAGAGAGAACGCGAGCTGTTTTGAGAAAGGTGAGCAAGAATGCGAATGGAAGTGAGCCGGATAGAAAGAAGCATACAAATAAAAGCTTAAGTATGTTGAGATACAGAAATGCCGATCTGGTAGATCTTGCGTGTACAACGCCAAGGGGTATACCAGCAAGGGTTGCAGCAACAAGAGTTGAGCGAATAATGGAGAATAGATCCAAGACCAATCGTGACCGTTTCTGTTGGCGGGAGAACTGGACGAGAGAGGGTGAATAGCTCCGCTTCTCTTGTGTGACCGTCTTTAAACCGGGTGTCCTGCTTGGAGATGGGAGAGGGAGAGGCAGCTTGTTGGTAGGGATGGTGGGTATCTGCTTCGACGCCATTGGAACAGCTATAGGACTGATGTTCTCCCGCCAAACCTCGCGACTGCTTGATGGTGAAGACATGTTCGTAGTCAAGTAATCTTGGAAAGGGGTACGTAGAACTTGAGATTCAAAAGCAAAGAAGGGACATTGATCTTAACAGCTATACGAAGCAGTACCGTTCCTATTTGACTGATTCTTTGAGGCACAGATCCGTGTTTCGAGCTATGTACATGACCTCAATTGTGATACGGTCGCGTACCTACTAGCTCGCTGGTCGCATTGGGGGCGGCAAGGCATGCCTGGTTCCTCTGTCCGCAAGCTTTCGTCCCGCTGGGCAGCTCTTCCCGTGGGGTAGATTCTCTTTCCTTCGGCGTATCATCATCTTGCCATCCTGGATAAGCACGTTAGAACTCTTGATGTGAAACACTATACCTTGATAGCCGCGGTACCGTTTGTGGCACATCGGCGGCTACAGCCGCGCTGGAGACGTAAACGCGCTGCAAAGATATACACATCAAGTGAAATTTGACTCGAAGGGTGATGCCTCCAATCTAAGCATCAACTTGAATTGCAATCCTGTGTCAGACAGGTGCGAAGGCATGAATGCGCTACTGTGTAGCTTGAGCTCTGTCTCCCTGCCTCCCTGCCTCTCGAGGAAGCCCGCCCCCAACTGACCGGTCCGGACCTCATGGACAGAACAGAATATGGAGGCTAAACTGACTCGAGGCAAGGCACACACAACGTACAGCAACAGAAGCCTGGATGGAGACCATGTGGCATGGAAACTAGAAGAATGGCAATGACCATAGCGGAATTTACTATGTAGAGGTAGGAGCAAGACTGACAAATGCAGACTTGCATGCCGAAGAATTTCCGGTGCATTAATTCAGATCAACATCACCCGAGGTGGAACTTGTCTTACTTTGACTCGCTCAGTGGCGATTTCTCCTGCTACTACTAATTTGGGTTGGATGGAATTTGCACCCAATGAATGGGTAGGAATTGATGGAAGTGGTAACGACTGTTTGTATTGCTATGTGAAATTTCGAGCTTGTATGGTGCTGGCCATGCCCTCCCTCCTTGAGTCTCCATACCACGTACTCCCTAGCCTCCTGATTTCCTGTTGGCCTGCATTATTCAAAATGCGAATGTGGAGCACTCGCAGCCGGTAGGCTCTGTTTGTAGCAGAATTAGTGATGAGCGCTGTCGAATAGCACATACATGGTGACGTACCTTCACCGCACTTCGTGCGATCGGTAAGGTTTCTGATTAGGCAGTAATTCCATAGACTGCAAGTAAGGGTGCAGCCGGGGTCGATCTCACGCGCCTCGGGCTGAGGGGAGTCAACAGGGACCGCGATGGCAGTCAATGGAAGGAGGAGGGTGATGAGAGCCACGCTCATGTTGGTGAAGCTGTTGAATTGCATGTTGATGATGGTGGAGTTCGACTCTCCTGTGTTTGGAAGATGGGATTTTGTTGAAAGATGTTTGGTATTCAAAGGCGGTTGCTGTGTTGGTGGAATAGATGAGCAAAGTCAGGGCATCTCACGCTCCTTATATGCTTTTTGGATCTCATGGATCATCCACCTCGACGTCATTCTTCGTTTCCGTGAAGTCCCACGACGTGAAGCCTACTTGCTGATCCCAACATCGTAGGTGTGCTAACAAAGTATTGTTGTACGACTTGGAAGACGTCGTCACAAATCGTGTGGTTCGATAGAGAACGTGGGTGGGTACGGAAGCAACAGCTGACGCCATTCATTTCTTCTTCAGGTACAGTGGATGCATCATCGTCGCCACTCTGCAGGTTACTCCAATGTAACAACGCACAGCTTGAGGAACCTGTCGTGAATTGCATGATCCAAGCGAGGACGGTACCCACAATTGACGCCATCCATTTCTCTTTCGAGCACGGTGGCTATGCTGTAGGCGCTGTTTACTTGCGGCCCAAGGATCGTAAGTAGATTTCCTGATCAAGAAGTTGAAGATCTACACATTACCGAGGGATGGGCATTTCCAGGAGCCTCATACCATAGCATACCGGAACTCAATTCAGAGTGACGATCGATGCTTGGTTAGGTCGGCCCGCGCATAGCATTTTCGATTTTCAATGCCCAGATTTTAGGCGAACACTGACTAAGTAGACGCACAAGGCAGGGGTGAACGAATCGATGACTTTATGCATTGTGTGTGGTCGCACCTCATGATGATCAGATCGAAGAATGAAAAGGTGCAAACGCCACGAAGTAAGGCATGGTGGTTTCGTTTCATTGAGGTTGACGACGTTGTGACTATCGTTTGAGTGGTTGAGATAGATCTGTAGTACCAAGTACTGTACGAGCTAACGTATGGGGAGCTATAGCTGAACGAGCGAGATGGATCTTTGGTCCCCACTGAGTCGCTAACCAGTGCAGATCCATTCCAGCCAAGTCAGGATTAGGCGATAGGCATCGAACTTTGCAACCACTTTGACCCTGCATAAGCGAGTATACCCGCTGATCCTCCTGTCGAGTCAGACAGAAGCAAGGGCTGGACCGTGGCTACATACGACGAGCCTCATCGAGCCCTATAGCAATATAGCACCAGCAAAACATGATCGTCCACGCAATGTTGGTGAGATGAGCAGCTTGAGTATAGCAAGCGAGCAGATTACTCACAGAATTGAGGTATCCTTACCTATACGAAATGTGTGCAAAGAGATCTATCATATTTCTCTTCTGACTCAGCCGCCGTTGGATTGACCACCCATCATCACTGGTTATTGTCAGAGCCGTACTTTGACGCCTCAGTCAGATGGGTTAATTACAACACAGGTGCGGCTTGTAACGACATTTCATGGTACGGACGAGGTCGAATCTGTGGCCAGCGCTAGCCTGAAAGCATAATACTACGTAGTAGTACGTAAATACGGCATGGTGCAACCTTGAGTTCAGTCCATCAGGCCCGCCTGAGCATGCCTTTGATGCTGCGCAGTCTGCCCCTTGCTTCAACTCGTGTCAAGATCGAGCTGATAGCGAGGCACACATGCAAGCAAAAACGACAGCCTGTTCACATCGCTGGAGTGCCATAATCAAGGAAAACCAAGCGACCGTGACAATCCTCAGATGTCGCACATTGCACCGTGCGCAGAGAGGTATTTATAGAGATTTCATGCCGAGGCTTTCCGGCCCGGCCATTACTGGTGGTACTAGTACTAGTGGGAAGTTAACCGTGAGGACCCTCTGAATGGGAAATTCGAGATTGTTCCAACGGATCAGACCCAACAGATGCGGAGAGTACTGTAAATGTACATCACGATAGAATAAAGAATTGGTCTTGCGGCTGTAGTAAAGCTGTCTTTATTTAGCCATGACTCTGCTGTCACGATTGGAATTTGGACCAAGATCGGGGGGATCTGGTGGGATCTGCAACCATTTTAGCCCCAGGTACTCCGTACGTACTACGTAGTAGTACAGATCTGGAAAGCTTGGATGAGGAAGCTTCCCCAATGGGTCATCATGATATCATCAATATCATCCACCAACCTCTTCAATTGAGACCAAGGACGCACAAGCAGTAGCGAGCTCAACCTGCCTTTGTGAATTCTGTGATCCCCTAGTACCACTGCTGTAGACAATGGTAAGCCTCGTTAAGCGCAATGATGAGCATTGCGAGTTTATAGAGTAATCTCCTAGGCAGACCTCCAAGACACGGCCATCAGCCATGCCTCCCAAGAAGACGCCAGCAAAGTCCAAAGCTACAAGGATGCAAGTCCCGTCATCGAAAAGGAGCAAGCAGGAGGGAGCTACTCCCTAGCAAGAAACAAGGCCAGAAGAAGCTGCAAAACCTGTAGCATGCCTGCCAGCAACAGCGCCCAAACAAGAGCTCTACACCTCGTCATCTCGAGCAGCCAAGAGCAACACCTCAAAGAAGCGCAACTCCCCACCCTCGTAAGAAGACAGCTCGACCGAGAGGACCAAACCACCCACGAAGGTACCATGACAAGGCACGCGCACATCAACCTGTAATAACAAACCCTCCTCCTCCTCCTCCTCCTATCCCAAACCCAACCCCAACCCCAATCCAACACCCAAACAACTAATCACCTACCTCGTCTTCCCATCCTCCCTCCCCCTCGCCTACCCCACTGACGAACACACCTTCTCTTCCACCAACAAGTCATCCAAAACCTACTTCCACACTCCCCTCCCCCCACAAATCCACCCCCTCCAGCACCTCCTCCAGGCCTCCCTCCTCTCAAAACCCTTATCCCATCAGCTCAGCCTCAGAAGCATCCGCACCCTCCCCAACCCGCCCTTCTCCCTCACGCCTCAAAACCGCGTCTGGGAAGCGCTGGAAGCGGCGCGGAGACGCAGCATCGATACAAGACTGCTGCTTACACCTTCAAGATGGGAAGAATGCGTACAGACGACGAAGATAAGTGCACGGAGGAGTTTGAGGTATTGAGGGCGTTGGGGGACGGTGTGGGATGGGATTGTCAAGGACCATTAATGAGAGAATCACAGGGTCGGGCTGGGGGATGTGGAGGATACGGTGGGATTGAGGAATTGGGTGGAAGGGGTTGTGGAGGGCATGGGTGGAGAGCCTGGGGATATGGGGCTGGAAAAGGTGGGAGGAAGGCATGAGTAAGGAGCAAAAATTGAGAGTTGCTTTGGTGGTCGTGTGGGAAAGAGCACTTGGCGCGAGTCTGGAGGGGAATGCTGGTGAAGTGAGAAAAGCGGCGGTGGAATTGTGATTTTGCTTTGTCGAGAAATGTGGAAGACGCTTTCATTGTCGGTCTGCTGACTGCATCAGCCATAGATACAGGTAGAGACGTTCATGAAGCCTTAAGAGGTATTTGCATGGGCTCTGAACAAAGACGACAAATTTGGAAGACACCAACACTAACTCCATTCACATCTATTCGTCTTCTCATAAACGCCGTATGGATGAATCAACGGCATCGTGTTTGAATAGATGCTGTAGTAAAAAATATCCTGCCGCTGACAGAACTCCAAGCAGAAGAATGAAGAACGTCACTCAGCCTGTAAATAGGTCCCTTCGCTATGCAACGCTGTAGAAGGACAAAAGCCATCCATTATGCGTCTAGAAAGTGCGCATTCGTTTGCTAAAATCAGAAATGTGAGGTGATTACCACCCGACAAGAGAGAAGAATGTAAGAGTAGCGCAGGACAGAAGTAGTTCGTCAACTTGATGGACGATCTGCCATTTCGCCAATACGCAATAGAACAGGACTCTCATGAAAATCGACATGCCCAGAACGGGAGACGTAGACTTCCGGAGAATAAGCAGTATACGTAGGTCAGCCCAGGGTCCTGCCTCCGCTGACAAGTGCTTGATGATGTTGCCTTTGAAGCGACTGAATCGGGCCTACCGCAGAATTGCCATTCATGAATAGGTCCGTACTGCTGGCCAATCCTTGGTCTTTCAAGACACTTAACCATCTGTCGCCAACTTCGAGCTTAAGCGCTTCGAGTCGCTGCCTGAAGTCATCCTGGCTCGTGTCAATTCGTGGGTCATTTGCAATCTTTACATTGTTCCTCCCGGACAAAGCGGCTTGATTTACCGTAGCTTCGGCCGGTTCTCTAGCCCCAGGGCTCCTTAAAAGTGGCCCGAAAGCGTCCAGATTGGTTGGCGGCAAGCCCGAACCTTGCTCTTCTTCTCTTGACAGGTCCACAATGCGCCTTCGAGGGACCTTTCGGCGGCGACTCGAAGTGATGGCATGTTCTGGTTGAGACTTCTCAATGGCGATATCGGAAGGAGATGAAGGTGTTAAGTGGTTCTTGTCTTGAGGTTGCGGCGGTTGAGAAAGCTGAATGACCTCAACAGGGCGGACGACCGGCGGTCTATCACTCTCAGGAACTCTATCCTGAAGAAATTGGCGTTCGCTATACGTCGGACTATTTTCGTCGATGATGATGTCTTCGGAATAACCAGGTGTATTGCGGAAGAGATTAAAAATAGTGATTCTATAGTTAGTGCGCCTGGTCAGAGGATTGCGCTTGACGCAAATGCGGTGCATGTTTGGCAATCCGGTCAATCTTGCTGCTTCCATCGGATCCGAGATCTTATTATCCTGCACATTGAGGTTTTCCAGTGACAGCAGTCGTTCAATACCAGCCAGAGAAGTGAGTCGATTATGCTTGAGCTTCAACGTCGTAATGGCGGGAAGTGGACTCGTGGTTAATGAATGTAGCGATTCGATCATGCAATTTGAAAGGTCCAGGGAAGTCAACCTTGTCAAGATCGACAGACTATCGGGAATCTCTGTAAAGAGGTTTGACGAAAGGTTGAGGGACCGGAGCGTGTTTGCTAGTGGTAAAAGGCTACTGGTCGAGATCGAGGTCAATGAATTGTCTGCAAGGCTCAAATACTTTAAAAACCTCCACTTGCTGGCGGGTAGCGATCCGAGGTTCGAGGATCCATAAACACTTTCACTCTGGTGACGGAGGAGGGAGTGTTCGCTAGAGTTGGAGCTGCCAGATTCAGATCTCTTAATCTTCGAGGAGCAGCTTCGAACATGCCGGTAAGTAGAGTTTGCTCGCGAGGATAATGGGCGGATCGGTGAAACGCTACCATTCGGAAAACTGGGTGAGGCCTCCCCATCTTTAGTTTCCCCTTCAGCAACAGCGAGGCTTAGGCTTTCTGCGGGTAGTCTACCTGGTGACCCTGGATCAGAGTTGGAACGGCCTACAACACTTTTTGCAGGAGAGGGAACAATCCATGCAAGAGTAGATGATTGCTGGGTCTTGGTAGACCTGTATCTGCGCCTCTCTGTGTCGTCCAGAACGATGTTAGTTATCAGGTCACGGGGGTCATCGAGATTTGCTCGCTTGACGGTGAGCAAGCTGAGCTGCTCGGCCAAACGATCCCAGCCGTAGAATTGCCGGAAGTCCATATCGACGATGTCGAGTGACTGTATATTCTTGAATGCGAATAATGGTACGGCTGTGTCAAATGGGAACTCCTCGTATCCTTGGATGAGTCGCGCCCGGTGATCAGGAGAGAGGCGAAGAGAAGGTAGCTTGGTGAACGCCGAGTATAAATATTTGAGATCAGCTTCCAAGGCAGCTTTAGCTTTCTCTGATTTTGTGACACCACCGGAGCCTCCCAGGCCAAAGCTTGACCACAGAGAACTCATACCAGACATTACACTCCGCACGCTTGATACAGAATGGATAGAGTCTTTGTCACTACGACGCTTACTCCGAGGTTGATTAAGGAAAGACACGTAATTGGCAGGGGAGGTCTCGGTATGTAGGTTCTCGAGACGAATATTCATCGGACCAATCGCAATGTCCAGTTCTTCTAGCCGCGAGAGAATGTAAAAAAGATGATGAGGAGTCAAGGTCAATTGAGCGGGCTTGATATTGTGTGACATGAAACTTAAGCCACCAAGTGAGAAGGCCGTAATGAGAGAGCTTGAGGTATTTGAGGTTGTTGTCGGAGTGGTAGGAGAGGAGAGGCTCATCAAACTCGACGTAGACGCATTCTTCGCACGCTGTCGCTGCATTTGCAAGCTATTTGCAAGTGCTTTTTCGTGGGTGCGCACGAAACTCGCCAGGCTCTGATGGACACAATGTCAGTACAGAGCCGTGCCATCATCACACTGAACTCATGCTCACTCTGATGAAGAGCTGTCCATCTTCACTATTAAGCTTCTCCATTGCTTGCTCTTGGATTTTTTCCAGTACCTCTGGAACTCCAGCCTAGAGTTGGCGATGGTTATACAATCAGATGCAAAGATATATATCAGAATCTGCGCATTCATTGGAGCCTAATAGAATGGGTGCACAGTCAGCGATGACCCAGCTGCAGATATCAGGTGCTCTCTTACCTTCTGGGCAGCACATTTTGTGACTCGATGCGTGAAGTGATCCCAAGACCGGGCGTTTTCGCGGTAGATCAATAAGATTGCTGATAGAAATTTTTGGCCGCAGCCTCGAATCTCTGTGCTGCAATTAAGGTGGAGAATCAATGTCTTTTTGTGAAGGACTCGCGTCTTGGAGGCGGATGGGGCGCACGCGGATGCTGCTTTACAGGCAATGGGAGCGAGGTCACAGGGCCGCAGATAAAGAAAAGCGAGTTTTGGAGGGATGAAAGGCCGTTTTGGGCATGTTGTGGGAGCAGGCAACTGTTCGAGGAGTCTGTTTTACCATGGAAGAGCACGAGGGATTCACTATCATATTCGTATTTGCAGTATTGGTAAGGGTCTATCAGCATTTCCCCAATGCCCAGGGCCCTTCGGCCTGGTACTGACTGCTAATCACACAGTAACCACTGCAAACCACTGATAGTCAGCTAGTAATGCATCCTGGTCAGTCCAAGCCTGAATTGGATCTGACGGGAGGCCAATTTTCCCCCTAGTCATCTGCTAATTTCCAGGCAAGGAACCATCGCGACTGGCAATTGGCTTTCTCCACCCCACGATCACCAGCAAATGCCAATGAGAAGCTCTCCGCACTGCAACTCTTGTGCCGTTCAACAGATCCCCACGGCCATGGTGCATGTCAGGACATGATCGTCTGCTTGGGCAAAGGAAACTGTCCGTTTAGCAGCGGGAATCGCTATGTAGATGGGGTTCGAAAACGAAACCTCAATGCTCACTATGCAGGGACGGGATAGGGAACAGTGCAATCTGTGTCTGCTCGCTCTAACTACTCGTGAGTCGGAACCCTGTGTTCACCGCTCCGGTCACGGCGCCTGTTCATCACACCCTCTTCCTATCTCAGATCTGCCACTAGTCTCGTTTCACTGATCGTGAATCACGGGCTGTCAAGAACATGACCACAGCTCCCAGAGAGCTGCAATCGACTTGTCATAGAGGCCTCTCTTTTGTCGTAAAGATTGACTCACGTTCTCGAGAGGTGTTCAGCTGTGCTCTCTTCTCCCTCTTGGTTGCACAGAATATTGGCCAGTCCATGACCGCCATGACCACTCAACCTGGCTCAAGCGGAATGGGAGCTCCTTCCGCGATTGTGTGCAACCTCAAGCGCGGTCGGCTGGACTGCATCTGTAGTAAGCATAGTGGCCTACAAAGATGCCGCTAAGGTGGGGGTATACTACGTAAGTAGTGGTGGCAATTTGGTCGATAGATTGCGTGCATTGTTGCGTCCCTTCCACTCCATATTTTGTTCTCCCTCCGCGCTTCTAGCGTCGATTTCGGCTCTGTTCTCGGCCTCTGATGCCGCTTTTGTTTCCACATGTATATAGTATAGTAGTCTCGTTCTGACACCACGAGCCGTTATGATATGAGTGATCTTGGCCATTCTAGCTGCTTGACACTTGCTCGAGATTAGTGAACCGGGCGTGTCACTCAATGGCCTTGGATGTATGCGCTTTACTCTCTACGTCTGATGCCACCACCCACATCGCAAAACATCGTGCTTGTCAGCCCGTTTCCCGCTTGGCTTAGTTTCGTGCAATCAAGCTGCGCAGTAACCTAGCCTAGAGTCAGTGCTTTATCGAAGCCGGATTGGAACGGTATTGGTTTCATATATGTGGCTGAACTGTGGCGAGCTGTTTCAGATCCCAAATTCATGGACAGGAGTGAATTAGAGTTCATCGATCGGGTTGATAGAGGCGGGAATAAGATGGGAGAGATAGACATGGGTGCCTTCCCTTTGCTTACTCATCCTTGGTGCTGCCAAGTCCCTTGACGATGGCCCCCACCACTCATGGGCTGCAGCCACGGGCATCCTCAATCAAGCGTTTTCCAAGTTCGTCATGGGTCTTTGGGCCTGCATCTGTATTACTATTGAAACCGAACTCTTCAGTTGCCACAACGTTCCTCAGACATATATGTCTTGATTGACCCACATGACATGGTACTCGAGCGCCAAAAATCCCTCCGAAGTCTCATACGCCCAAAAGACTACTTATGACCCCCGTACGCTCCCTGACTTCAATGAAGATTTTATTAGCCAAGATGACCTTGACGCGTTCGAAAGGGCATTGTCAGCACCAGAAGCTGCTCCTGTCACCGCCTTGAACGACTGGCGTCCAATATACCAAAGAGTGCGAAGGTCTAGGGCACGGCGGAAAACACCGATACGTAGCACTGACGAAACCAGAGAAGGTTACGTCTACTCAATCTTGAAATGGCCCCTACTGGCCTTCGTATTTGGCTGGTTGGTGTTTCTGTCAATCGTATACGGATTGACAAGACTTTACATATATTCCTATGAGCATTTCATAACATGGACTGGACGCAGGCAACGACTTCGAAGACAGCTTCAATCTACCACATCCTATTCCCAATGGGTCGACGCTGCAAAGCAGCTGGACAATTACCTAGGCAATGACAACTGGAAAATGCAGGCCGAATATGCTTACTATGATTATAAGACTGTTAAGAGGGTTACAGCGCAGCTTCGTGAACTCAGGAAGCAGGCTGAGATCGAGGACAGCGCAGGTGAGAATGCGGGCGAATCAGCGCAATCAGTTGAAGCACTTAAGACACTGCTGGAGAACTGCATCAAAAGCAACTTCGTTGGCGTGGAAAACCCAAGGCTGTACAGCGAGACATATTATGGGACTAAAGATCTTGTGCAAGATTTTGTTGAACAGATCCAGCAAAGCTTGAAAACCATTTCGGAAAGCACCAAAATATCCCAGGAGGAGAAACAGCTGTTTTTCAGGCAGGTTCTTGACACGAACTACGGGCGTACTGCTCTTTGCTTGTCTGGAGGTGCAACCTTCGCCTACTACCACTTTGGCGTTATCAAGGCTCTGTTGGGCACTGGAAATCTACCACAGATCATTACTGGCACATCTGGTGGTGCTCTTGTTGCCGCTTTAGCCGCAACACGAACAGATGATGAACTGAAGCAACTGCTTGTGCCTGCTTTAGCATATCGTATCCGAGCAAGCCCCGACAGTTTGTTTACGTGGCTCCGACGTTGGTGGCACACAGGAGCCCGTTTTGATTCTTTAGAGTGGGCCAGGGCGAGCTCCTGGTTCTGCCGTGGTAGCATGACCTTCCGCGAAGCCTATGAGCGTACTGGCCGCATCCTCAACGTCAGCTGTGTCCCATCCGATCCGCACTCTCCCACTATCTTAGCAAACTACTTGACATCGCCCGATTGTGTTATTTGGAGTGCAGTCTTGGCTTCGGCAGCTGTGCCTGGTATCTTGAACCCTGTGGTGCTTATGCGAAAGACTCGCGAAGGGACACTGGCTCCATATTCTTTCGGGCATAAGTGGAAAGACGGTTCCTTGCGGACTGACATCCCCTTGAAAGCCTTGAACTTGCACTTCAATGTCAACTTCTCGATCGTCTCACAGGTCAACCCGCACATCAATCTTTTCTTTTTCTCGCCACGGGGTTCTCCTGGTCGTCCCGTGACACATCGACGGGGCAGAGGCTGGCGAGGAGGTTTCCTTGGGTCTTCTATTGAAACGACAATCAAGCTTGACCTGCAGAAATACCTGAAAATTTTGCGGCATCTCGAGCTCCTCCCAAGACCACTGGGTCAAGACTGGAGCGAGATTTGGTTGCAGAGGTTCAGTGGTACTATTACGCTGTGGCCGAAGATCGTCCTTGCAGATTTCTGGCACATCTTGAGCGATCCTACCCCCGTGCGCTTGGCCAGAATGATCCAAGCTGGGGAGCGAAGTGCCTGGCCAAAGATCAAATTCATCGACAATAGAATGAGGGTGGAGAAGATGGTGGTGGAAGGTCTGCGCATATCTGGCACAAAGGGTGATCATGCACCCCCAACCTATGTACGCAGGCAACAGGACCAAGACGTTCTTGGAGGCGAGAAAGACGCAAGGAGAAAGAGCGTGCGGAACGGCGTGTTAGAGTCGATGATGAAGCGAGACAAAGAAGAGCCAGGGCCAGATCTGAGGAGGCCATCTCGGAGACACAACAGCATTGTTGAAGAAGTTCGGCGACAGAGCTCAGTCTTCTTTGACGATGATGCCGATACCGATGAAGAGGCTGCTACTACTTCTTCGGATGAAGACGATGAACCTGTAGTTGCTGGCGAGGAGCATGGGACACGAGTGGGGTGACCCCTGCGCCAGACCCCCTAGACGAAACCATATTCATTATTATGCTGTCAGCAATTACAACAGCCAGATTAGTATCATTGCCACTACGGAGTATTCTGAGGAACATTACTAATTCAAAAAGACGTTATGGCGCACAGACTCATGTCCCAATGTCCTAGAACGAGCTCTAATGGTACAAACTTTATGGGTGCATGACCACTGCATTACTTCCTAGAAACATGAGTGAGCTCCATGCTCTCCTTCCCCTTCATTATAGCTTCAAGTCCTCCGTTAAGCCTCAGTCCGATCCTTACACCCAAGTAAGCTTGATCACTGTGTTGCAAACATACCGTACCACAAGCCAAACATAAGATTGACGATGAAGTATCTGAAGTATCCTTTGCATCTGATAGAGGCACCCTGGACATCAATCTTCTCCATATGGTACAGGTCTGACCTTCTGAAAGTGGTACTTATGTAGGGCATTTTAGAGGGGGACTGTCTGGTGAGATAACTCGGGCCAGGGGGACAGTGACTGTTGGACAATGGTAATGATTTGGACAGTGATAGCTCTTTCTACCCACACCTCGCAAAGAATTCAGACAGTTAGACTGCCATGACGATGCAAACTCTATCAAATGCTGCAATTTGCTCTGCAATACCGAGATGAGTATTGATTGTGATGGATGATGCAGGGGAAGTTAGAAGGGCTCACAACAAGCCAGTTCCCAGAATCGAATTGCGCCTTTTCTTTCAGTCGGATCACGTCTGCACGCAGTTGGTAAAAAGCTGGCAATGCATGTATCTCTTAAACACCCAACCTGACCAGGACACCATGACGGATGAACACTAGTAGCTTGTACAAGTTATCTGGGTTGCATGTTGAGCGCTGTCAGTTGCCACGAGTGTGTGGTGTGTGTGGTGGTGGGAAATACGAAACACTGCCGCCAGAAAATCATCCACGCTAAGCCCGTAACATTCCTGCGACCCATCGAAATAGAGCATCCACAACACCAACAGGCTTTTTCCTGCTAATTCTGCCTGAACCATCACGAAGATCACAAGCAGCCGCCGCAAGCTACAAGCTCGTTGAATACGTTCCAGACGCCTTTGCATAATCTCAATCCAATCCCACAAGAAGAGTTTCTGCCCGTGAAAGCAGCCTTCTCTTCGTCCCGCACCCGCAAAGTGGAGCTTCATTCACATCTTTAGACAGGTGATCTGTGAACAACTTCTGCAAGCTATACTTCATTATCTGGTCGATACGGTAGCAAGGGGCAAGGAATTCTGCTTGCTTCACAACCTTTAGGCGCCCGATTGCACTTTGGTGCCTCCTTTACCTTTCGTCTGCGCTGCCAGACTACGCTAGATCAGTCAGCCAGAAAAGAAGGCAAAGCACTGCAGAGGATAGGGAGTTGATAGCAGAGTAGGAGAGCAGACTCCATCACAATACACTCTGAAGGTACGCGCATTTTACACTTTCCCCACACTGGCTTCATCAGTGGCTGAGAAGCAGCTCTGCATTTCGAGACGCCTACTAATCACTTTGGCAGATTGTGCACAAACATTGCATTACACAAGCTGGTTTCCTCTTGTCTGCTGTCAATTGACAGGCACTGCCTGCTCCGCTCTGTGTGATAGGCACAAACCATGGCCGACCAAAATGAGGTGGACCTAGACTCTGTCATTGACCGCCTACTTGAAGTCCGAGGAAGTAGACCTGGGAAACAAGTACAGCTCTTAGAGGCTGAAATTCGGTACTTATGTACCAAGGCTCGAGAAATTTTCATTTCTCAGCCAATATTGCTCGAGTTGGAAGCCCCGATTAAGGTGAGTACATCAATACATGAGCTTGCAGCGGAGAGGATACTGAGCTTTCGCTAGATCTGCGGTGATATTCACGGCCAATACTACGATTTGTTGCGTCTCTTCGAATATGGCGGCTTTCCACCCGAAGCAAATTACCTCTTCCTTGGCGATTATGTAGACCGAGGCAAACAATCTCTCGAAACCATCTGCCTGTTGCTCGCATACAAGATCAAGTATCCAGAGAACTTCTTCATTCTGCGAGGCAACCACGAATGCGCATCCATCAACCGCATCTACGGCTTTTATGATGAGTGTAAAAGAAGATATAACATCAAGTTGTGGAAAACGTTCACTGACTGCTTCAACTGCCTACCCATTGCAGCAATCATCGATGAGAAGATCTTTACCATGCATGGTGGTTTGAGTCCCGATCTCAACTCCATGGAGCAAATACGGCGTGTCATGCGTCCTACCGATGTAAGCCACATCCCCTGCATTATCCCACCATTCTGTAACAAAGATTTGAAACCCTTTTTACTGCTCCAGAGTGAAGCTGACTGTACCAGATTCCTGACTGTGGGCTTCTATGTGATCTGCTATGGTCTGACCCCGACAAAGACATAACGGGGTGGAGCGAAAATGATCGAGGGGTCTCCTTCACCTTCGGACCCGATGTTGTTTCTCGTTTCCTTCAAAAGCACGACATGGATTTGATCTGTAGAGCACATCAAGTCGTGGAGGACGGCTACGAATTCTTCTCGAAACGACAACTCGTCACGCTCTTTAGCGCCCCCAATTACTGCGGAGAATTTGACAATGCTGGTGCAATGATGAGCGTGGACGAAAGCTTGCTGTGTTCATTCCAGGTAGAACTTTGCCCAAGAGATATTTTGCAATTGACATCAGGCTAACGAATTGTCAACAGATCCTGAAACCGGCTGAGAAGAAACAAAAGTACGTCTACGGTGGTATGGGCTCTGGTAGACCCATCACTCCTCCTCGAAAGCAAAAGAAGAAGTAGCCGTTTGTTGAAGAGTGATACGAATGTTTCCGTGTCCAGCAGGTTCGGGCGGAGATAAATCAATACACACACCATCGACATCCCACTTTCTCACTACTTCTCAACTCTTCACCACCACCATGCGCCTTCGCGTTACGAGTCCTTGTCGTATTTTTCTTCCGCCTCACGCGGTTCAAATGCAACCTATCGATCTATCGAGTTCTTGTGTCCTCAAATAGCAAGAACATCAACAAACACCCCAATGCTTTGACCCGCATACCGTATACCTTATTCGGCGGGAGAACAGAAACGAGAACTTTAATGCAATGATGATCTGGATGGAAAGGAGGAGGGTTTCCACGTGTCGATGGCGGTATCGTGATACTCTCAATTATTCTTGCGTCATTACTTTAGGCCTCTGGTGCTGGAACTTTTCTTCCTGGCTGGTTGCTCAGAAAAGGTTGCGGTCACATGAGGGTATTGCGGTTGAGCTGCAGCGGTCTTGGAGTGCTAGACTCAACAAATGTACTTTTCTTGCGTTGTTTGGGCTTGGGATCAGATTTCAGATCCTGGGCATTGAGACAGGACGGCTTGTCTGTCAAATGCGAAGAACTTATTGGCAGCGTTGACCTTGAGCTCGAACTTCTTTTTTTTGCTGATGCTCTCTCTCTCTCTCTCTCTCTCTCTCTCTCTCTCTCTCTCTCTCTCTCTCTCTCTCTCTCTCTCTCTCTCTCTCTCTCTCTCTCTCTCTCTCTCTCTCTCTCTCTCTCTCTCTCTCTCTCTCTCTCTCTCTCTCTCTCTCTCTCTCTCTCTCTCTCTCTCTCTCTCTCTCTCTCTCTCTCTCTCTCTCTCTCTCTCTCTCTCTCTCTCTCTCTCTCTCTCTCTCTCTCTCTCTCTCTCTCTCTCTCTCTCTCTCTCTCTCTCTCTCTCTCTCTCTCTCTCTCTCTCTCTCTCTCTCTCTCTCTCTCTCTCTCTCTCTCTCTCTCTCTCTCTCTCTCTCTCTCTCTCTCTCTCTCTCTCTCTCTCTCTCTCTCTCTCTCTCTCTCTCTCTCTCTCTCTCTCTCTCTCTCTCTCTCTCTCTCTCTCTCTCTCTCTCTCTCTCTCTCTCTCTCTCTCTCTCTCTCTCTCTCTCTCTCTCTCTCTCGCTCTCGCGCTCTCGCGCTTCACATATGTGCCTCGCCGTATCTTCATCACACCGCGCACATAGCAACATATCGTCCAGTTCAGGCCTTCAACCCCATCTACTTATGCTTACTCGCAAGGGGCTCGTTTTGGCAGCTAGCCCGGACATACTCTTCCCCAATCGAGCTTTCAAGAGAACCCATGTCTTTACCCGAACGCTCTCAGTTGTATGCTTCTGCCTTCCCTCCTCTTCTCGATGACCTGTCTTTGACACACATGGCTGATCGATATCCATTTCTGGTTAGAGCGCCAATGACCTTGTCGCTGTTGGCATAACCCAGATTGAACAGGTGAGGTACCAGAACTTCATTTCCTAACGGTCAGGCAGGTCGCCCCCCAAGGAAATGTCATGAGGAAGATATCGATCGATCAGATGATATTATGGTATTTGATAACCGACCAAACCGGTCTGCCCGCCAAACTACATGGGCCTACTACGGTCATCTGACTAAACCTCCTTACGCCCTGGATCAGTGAATGAGCATCCGAAAGAAAGAAGCCATTGGGCGAGGGGCGAAGAAGATTGCCGTGTACCGTCAAATTTGACCATGAAAGAAAAGGCTACACTGTAGCGAATGTCTGATCGTCCAGATAGACGCTCATGGTCGTCCCTACGCTAGACCATAGATGGTGCGCACAGCACAGAGCGGTGTATCAACGTAGGGATGTGATTCATGTTCACGGGAAAAAACGCCGACCCTCCCCCCATTCTTGCCCCGCGGTTCTAAGTCGAAAACATCCAAGCTACTGGGCTATCGTGAAGGTGCTCTTCCTGCCGAGGAATCAAAGCATGGAACAAAGACGTCGGTGAGTCAAGATGAGGCACCTCAAACTCGTAGAAAACAAATCCGCCAGCCAGAGCCCTCTCAAACGTGCAAGGAGAAAACGGATCGAGAGCGTATTGAGCATCTCCATAGGCGGAGAGAGCGGCTCACTGTAAGGCATTGTGCTTCCGAAGCTGCCTCTTTATTATGGGTTTCGTAATTGCTCCGCAAACTGGTAGCAGGCGGTCCACCTGCTCTGCATGGCCATCGGAAACCTCGATCTGAGCAAACACTTCTGTTGCCATGGTATGGATACTTCGTTTCCGGCCTCAAGGGTCCGCGTGCCGCTTCTTGTAAAAGAGCTCTCCCAACCCCCATGCCCGCCCCGATGCAGTATGGGCCCGCCGCTCTCCCTTCCCCTCATCATCCCCCGGGGGCATTCCTCCCCCAGCGGTGCCATGCGCCACGGGCAGCATCTACGGAGCCGGCTCTAAGGAAAGACATGGTAAATGCAGAGCGCGGTGTGACATAAAGTATTTCTTCTCTTCTCCATCATGATGATGATGATGACGAGTATTCCGGTTCTTTGTTGCGTTGCACACTTGGGCAGGAGAGGGGAGAGGGAAAATAACTGAACAACAGACAGAATTCACGGGAGAAAGTTGGGGGATTGACAGGGTAGTAGCAGACGAACAAAGCCACAACGGACAACGGGCGGACGCGAGGAAATGAGATGTAGAGATCAAGCAAGAAGATGTGGTGAGGGAGTAGAAGCGGGATGACGACGACGACAACGATAAGGAAAGGGAGTAATGCTGCACAGAATGAACCAGAATCAAGGGGAGAGGCAGACGCTTTCCAAGGTCATTTTAGGGGGATGTATTTCTTAACATGTTGTCTCGTACAAACCTGATGAGTGAATGTGAGAAGCACTTTAGGGAAGGCACGAAAGTATCCAGATAGAATTTCAGCTATAGAGTACAAGTAACGTTCTGAGTAGAAGACAATGCGGGAAAGCTTGATTTGGTGTATCATAGTGCAAGCTGACTCGGGGAGCTCGGCGTACCAAATCGAGCTCCCACAGTTCGGATGCAGAGCTTGCTTGGTTGCCTTCTGTGCCAGTCTTTTCGAGTGGACTGCTGGGAGAGCCACTCACCAGTATAGGTCCCACCTATTGCAGGGTCGGGTGCAGAATCTAAATGTAAACTTGCTGTCCGCTGATCCGAACCGTTCAAGTTGCTCGCTCGCTGCACACATCATATTCGTATCCACGTCAGCCACGCTGCGTCCATAACCTCCCGCATTTAGACATATTGAGACATCCATCTGATACCCTCTCCATACCCTGTTATCTTGTCAGCTGCTCACGTTCGTCTAGCTCACGAGCCTGTGCCTACCTTGCCTCATGACCACACTGCACATGAATACCTCGATAGGCCTGATACCCTCAAGCGGCACCTTTCCTTTGCCTGTCGTCTGGTATAGTCCTAGCTGATGTCGCAGCTCATCTTCTGAAACTGCGTCGGGATGGTCTATCTTGTTTCCGAGGATAAGGAAGGGGACTTTGGCTAGATCTTCCATGGCGAGGAGGGCATCGAGCTCGAGTTTTGATTCGGGAAGTCGTTCATGATCTTTGGCATCGACGAGGAAGACTATGCCAGATACCTCGGGGAAGTAATCGCGCCACAAGCGGCGGGCTATTCAGAAACACCACGTCAATCATAAATAATGAACGCCAAACTAGTACAAGCTATACCGCCAGCTATACCTCCGAACCCTTGCTGGTATACATATGTGATGTTAAAGAAGGGTGTGCACTGACCTTGCTGATGCCCACCCAGATCGAAGGTTGTAAATCTGTTGTTTCCAATCGCGAGCTCTTCAGATGCTGTGTTGGGCGCGCTCAGACGTCAGCCATATGTAGCAGGTCCACGCCGAAACAAGCGGTACTTCTCACTGGGATGTAATGTTGGTTGCAGGATGGCGACTCGGTCATTCTAGAGATTCAGCAGTCAGCGATGCTCATAACTTGCACGTGCCAACCGTATGGGAGCGGATCACGAAGCACCGGCAACAGTCGCAACAACTGCTCCTAGGATAAGGGCAGCGTACCTTCAGCATGTGCAGCAACGTAGTCTTTCCCGCATTGTCCAGTCCGAGGAACAGAAGTTTGGCATGTTTGTTGAGGAGACCCAGGGAGGCAAGTACATCGTAGACTACACAAAGAGGTGAGTATTGGACAGTGAGTACTGGCGGGCGCCAGAGTCGAAGGCGGACTGGTGCATGGAGTGTGATCACGTACACCAGTTGATGATCCACATGGTGGTGGGAATCAGGATAGCACGATCTAAGAGACAGGGACAGAGGAGAGAACACTGAGACCAAAGGATTGTGTTTGATCGAGAACCTAGGGATTTGAGAACAGTATGTTGGAAATGGAAATGATTGTCGAGGCGAAGAGGTCACACCAGGACCAAGATATCTAAACTGTCCTTTGCTGGCCATGGAATTTCTGCGGACACTCCGAGTCGGGCAGAGGTCATGTCTTGGCATTGGTCGCTTGGCGTTCCGAGACGGCCGAAGAGAGACAGTCAGGACACATCAACTACTTACTACTAAGTGTGTGTCCCTCTTCAAGGAGAGCTCTACCTAGTAATACGATCATGGTTGCCGCACTCCCAGTACTACAACATCTGGTTGGTCATACAACGGACTGGCACGTTCTATGATCGATGGCCTCAATGGAATCAGCCACAAGAAAGTCTTCGGATACAATATACTGATTGCCCCGGTCTCGATCGAGCTTCAGTAGCTCGAGAGATATGTGCAGTGCCCATCTGTGGACCGCTTCCATCTACTCCAACGTTGAGGCTATCGCAGACCCTACGAAATGCTCGTCTCAAAAGGCGCAACACATAACAAACGGTGCCTCGTCCCAGAAATAAGACGCCAACGACGCTAATGCTGAATATCGTAACGACACGATGGTAGTCTTCCGCACCACGCGCCATATATGTGCAGGACCAAGCCCGAACCAAAAGCAATAAATCCGTATATACAGAAGGGAAAGACTGGAAGCGAAAAGGCATTTCAACTTGAAGTGAAGGGTGCTAAAGAGAAATGACCAGCGGAGGCTGTTGACCGAGTCCGTAACCTCTGGTGCGTTCCGCACATTCCAAGCCCAACTCACGCATTCGTTCAGCTCCTCTCCCACGCAGAGTCTTGCGTTCAGCCTGTTCTTTGGCAGCTTTTCGACAGTGTTGGCGCCAGAACTTCTCTTTCCGTTTCTGACGTTTCTTCTCGAGACCAATCACTATGTCTACCGGCCCGCGAACATGCATCTCCCGTCCGGGTGTCATTCCACCATACACAACTCTATCGTTCTGATGAGTTCTCGCGTGATAGTTATGGAAGAAAGGATTGGGTGTACGGGGTAATGATGCAGTACGCGTCATGTGAGGACGCTGACCTAGCCGACTGATGACGAGCCCTTCGGTTTGGTGGGGCATTAGCGCCATACCAGTGGGTGACGATCTTCTCGTGCCAGGCGGTGATCTCCACTTCATCGCTGGTGGAGGGGAGTGCAGGCGCTGTGGTGAGTGACCGAACAGTCGGCTGTTGGGAGCAGGAGAAGACCGACGAACAGTCTGTCGAGGAGGCGGCGGGGAGCAGTGGACACCATGCTTGGGAGGTGGCGAATGAGCACGGCGGGGTGAACGCAACTTAGAACACATCTTGTGGTGCTTTGATGCATGGCCTCTGGTCGAGTCGTCTTCAGATCCCTCCAGTTGATTCTTGAGCCAGAGATGGTCTTCAGGTGTATCCAAGTCTTCGTCATCGTCCTCGTCCATGTCCTCTGGATCAGTTGTGGGAAAGCTAGGATCAATGTCTTGCGGGATGAGGATATGCTTCTCGCGCTTCCTCTGCTCACGACATGAGATGTAAGCAGCTTCAAGTGGGCGGTCTTCATCGAGGGTGCCACAAACAAAATCCGTGCTGTCGGGTAACTCTGGTGTGCCTGGACGCATCTGATGGCCCTTTGAGGTCCGACGATGCTTTGGGTGCTTGATGTCAACAGATTCAGATCTCTTCTCCTGACGTGATCCGTGATCACTCAGAGAATCCATGGAGCTCCCCCTCTGACGTCGCCTTCCAAAAGGTCTGTGTGGAGAGGAGTGATCAACACTGGTGGCTGCCGTGGTATTATTAGAAGGGATCCAGAACTGGTCTTCTGACTCGCCATCACTGTCGTCGTCAGACTCGGCGAAGCCCTTTTCGTTATCAGACTCGTTTCCGTCGTCGGATGGGGCAAAGTCATCTTCGTTGATCCCATCCTCGTTGTCATCATCAAACTCATCCTCCTCCTTCTCTTCCTGCTCGGCCTCTTCCTCCGCTTCTTCACCGATCTTGCGAATGGCATTCTCCTTCTTCATGCAATCCAAGAGCGTTAGCTTACGCTGCGTATCAATTGGTTCACGAACCCAGGCATCGTCATGATCGTTGCTAGTGGCGAACTCGTGAAACGGAGAAGCATCCGACGACTTGACATCAGACTGCTTGGGGGATGTCGGAGATTTGAGGGCATTTTTTCGTGTGTCGACCGTGATAAGCGGTACCTTGCACGGCTGGGCGTGCTCTTGTCTTTCACCTCCATGAGGTTCGTTGGAAGGCGCTGTAATATCATTGGCAGAAGAACTACCACTATCCCTTCGCGCCTCGGCTGCCTCCGGACCAGGATCCTGTTTCTGTGCCGGTCGGGCGGGGCAGGCAAAGGTAAGTAAGCATTTTCGCTTTGGTGGCTGCGCAATTTCCATTCTCTCTTCCTTGGCCGCGTGAGGTTCCTTCACGGCCGGCTTGCTAGCACAGGCAAACGTAATGCAGCGTTTTCGACCCATTTTGGCCTCTATTTGAGACTCCGCAGACGCATCTGCTACGAGCTTCTCCTGCTGCTTGCCAGTTGCGAAAGAGATTCTGGTAGGAGGAAGGGGTGTCTTGTTTGTTGCATGTATTTCGTGATACAGAGCCACAGGCAAAGGTGGACTGGGTGTAGCAGATCTAGTGGGACTTGTGTCATCGGCATCGCTCGTGAGTTCTGCTGTAGAGGGCACGCTTGCATTACTGAACGTGGACGCCCTAGATGCAGCTCCGGAAATTGGGGAGGTGGGAGAGGATGAGATGTCGCCATTCGACCCGGTCATAAGTGCGCGAGTAAGCAACGATTCTTTACGATCCATCGCGGGAAGGGCAGATCTAGTGTAGGTTGATGGTTGCTGGGGTTGCTGGACCATCGTAGGATTCATTTGAAGCGGCGAAAGGGGTTCGTCTGGTGGCTCGTCAACATCGCCAGTGATCTCCTCCTCGGAGCTGAGAGGATTGCTGGTGTTTGACAGATGAAACATGCTGAGTAAGTTCTGTATCGCAGATTGCCTTCGATTGTTGTCCTCCTGGTAATTCCCCATGATAAATCTGGTATTTGGCCAAACAGATCACTCCAATAACAATCAAGCTACCCTGCGAGTTGTAAGACTGTGCTGTGTCCTGAGATGCTGGAAGAAGGTGAGGTGTAGAACTCGTCTACCACGGTCATGGTCATAACGACGACATCAAGGGCATTTGTGTGGGAAAGAGATTTGACTTTTGGTCAAGTAGTGGAAAAGGACGCCCGTGGAGAGATCCAATATCCGAATATCCTTGATGACTAAATTCCGAGCTGCTTGTTGTGAGGATCAGGCCAAGATAAAGGTTGACGTTGCAGGCTGAGGTTACAGGTAGATGTCGTAGGCTATGCGTTGGAGTGCCGGGTGACGAAGTGAACTATGTTGAAACAAGAAATGGAATGTTTCAGCGTCGACTGGGCACCACGTTTGCTTGAAGGAATTGTGCGTCAATGTACGGAGAGTAACGCGACGACTCTGGGCAGAGGAAGCTGGGAAGGGTGTGTGCTGGCGACTGAGGTGTGCGTATAAGTGGCGTTGTGGTTGTGGGTGGGAAGAAGTTTGAGGTCGGGGCATCACCAATCAAGCTTGCTAGAAATGGAGAATTGGTGGTCTGTGCTTCGGGCTTTAACTAATTCCAACCGCGCCAAGTGTGGGTGGGGAACAAGACGCAAGAAACTGAAATGAAAGGGTTCAGGGTTGAAGACCATCAGACACCGCCCCGTTTGACGAGACACAAGGCCCGGCTCGGCACCTGCACATACTGCATATACTGATGCAAGTGATCGATAGCAAAGAGACACAAGAAAACGGCCGCGGATGAAAGAGAGTATATTACTCGGTTAGGCGCGAAAGGATCCCTTTTCCCAGTCTGCATCTAGTCGAGTTTTCACCCGATTGTCATGTCGTGCTCTGGCGTCGTGCTCTGGCGGCTGTAACCCTTGATGCCTCTTGCTCACGCGTCAGCCCAGCTCTTGCCCTTACCGTGTTCCGACTTTCCCCCACTATCAAGTTATTGTTATTACTGGTAGAGGCGACTTGCTTACATCTCCTGATACGGATCCATATCACATATCAGTATTCCTAGATCAATAATTTGCCCCTCTTTTCGCTCGTTTGGCATTGGATATGATGCTTCTGACCCTCGCTACAAGTCTTGTTTCTGCCCATGGTTTGCCTGCGGAAGTCAGAGAGTCATTTTCTGAATTTCTGCGCAGTCCAGGGTCTCTGCTGGTGCCACACTACCATGCGAGCCTGCATTCTCGCACAAGCTGCGGCATGAATTGAAGAGATCGCCCGATGAAAGCCCACGCAAGTACCAGGTTCTGGGCGGCTCTCCATTATTGCGTCGTTTTCAGGTCCAGTACTCCGTACTGCCAACCACGACGATGCGAAGGGTGCCCCGCTCGCATCGGCGTTCTCATAAATGCCCAACTTGGTACGACAGAACCGTCGAGAAGACATCCTGCAATTTCATGCCTCATTCGCTCATGCCATTGGTACACGACTCCTCTTTCCTTCATTCGACTTTCTCGGTCTGGACCAAGCGGTGTCGATTTCTCGTGAGCCGTAGTCTTGTGATGTTTCTGGGTATTAAGGTCTCCGATACCGCAATTCTTCCAATTTTCAGCCTCTAATTGCTCGTGATACATGATACGATGGGTGTCAGCAGCCATTGGGTTCAGTAATACGGAGTATGTGTGGGCTTCGATATCGACTCGATCTACTCCGTATCGGTTTAGCTGTTGTAGCCGCCTATTACAGTACCCCCACTGACACTCTGAATCGTGCGCAGAAAATAGCGCTGAACTTAGCCCTGACGTTCCCGATTCTAGCCTAGCCTTGAGCGACTTGATAGGTGACTTGAATGAGCGATTAATGGATGCCAATCACAGCTGCTGCTGACCTCGGTTCCGCCGTGATGATCCTGCTACCCGCTTGTGAGAAATGTGCTTCCTTGCCTCAAGCACGATTGCCACTACCACAGCGGCGCCAGAGCACATGCATTCCTGGCTAATGCTTGTCTTCGGTCTGGGCTAAAGACGCTCTTAAAGGCCCCGCAAACCAATGCCGTGCTCCATCTCACACTACCCCAATGTAACAATGCACATTGGTACGGAGTACTTCTTTGCATGACCTGCTAAAGCGCCATATTGTCCTTGCTCCATCCCTCCACTGACAAAGCTATCTACCAGACCAGAACCGCGGCAAGACTCTCAAGACGCGACCCCTAACTTTTCGAAAAAACGCATGCAGCTCTAGAAGAGAGAGAGGCAAGATACGACTGAACCACAGTAGCTCTGAAAGCTATTGACCTAACCAGAAATTATCCTCCTACTTGCACAGCTCTATCTAGAATCCGGCATTCTTTCGCCTGCCCACTCTGGCTGAATGATCTGACCTTCACCCACATGGTTAACGAGTTGAAGCGGTGAACATCGCATGTTTTTCCTGTTTCTGTCACCAGCCTCTTCGATCAGCCTTTCCACGTCGTTTAACTCCCTCCAACAATTACACAACCTCTTTTTCCATCAAACACGCCTCGAGTTCTCTAGTTTGGTTGTAAATGTCATTGCAGCTCTTTGCTGCACTCAGATCGATTCAATTGTACACCACAAAAAGATCAACCTCTTGCCATGTCGTTCCTCTCATTCTTTGTTGCTGCCATTCTTCCACTGCGCGACGTGGCATAGGGCATCCGCTGAAGAAAGATGCCATGGTTCTCTTCTTCTGCACTACTGTTCACATGATTTGCATTACCCAAAGAGGTATCGTACATTATGGTTATGATGTTGTAAGGGAGACCAAGACCTATTTCCTGTTCTGGAAATCGATGGCTGGACACTTGAACACCAGCATCCTTCCTCAGAACACTGAATATATTCTATTATTCTGTCAAATTTGCAATTCAGACACGATGGTGCAGCTGTACAGCCGCTGGTACCCTGCATGGAATCTGATTCAACACCTTCGCTTGTCTGTACAAGCTAGAAACTAACTCGCTTGAGGTCCAGAGCCTACCGGGGCCATTTAGCGACCTTCAACCCTCTGGTTCTGACAAATGATAGATATTCTGATGGGGTGGACAAGACCCTTACAAGGGATATACTACCTCTTCCGCACAGGGCCAAGTTAGCGATGGTGGACTTTTTGAATGAGTGGTGGCAGATTTTCTTACCCTGACGGTACAAGGATATAGAAAGTGCAAGTGTTCAAGTCACTGATCGACCATAGTTACATCTTTCTGCCCAGCTGTTTATCTTCTGGTTTCTTTCTTGATCACTGTGACAGTATGTTTTCACATGGATGTTATTTTGTCACTGTGTCGATCTTGAGGCTCTCACAGCACACTGTCTCTGTTCTTCCACCACATAAGATATGCTTTGTGACTACAGACATGCAGTTAGAAAAGGCATCATGTTTCGGTGCATCTTCCTGTCACCAGGATGGCCTACAAGCAAAATGTAATCATTCTGAGTTTGGATGATATCTCCAAAGTATCTCGTTGCTCACGAATCCACGTGGATACTAGCTTCGGCCACATCGAAGTTCGATGGAAGACAAGAGTCTACCTAATAGAATTTGAGCTTACACAGGGTAATACTGCTGGGAAACAATGGCACCACCAAAGAGTGCGTTCCATCATTGTTTACCTGATATACCCAGTGCCTATTAGACATCTCCTTTGACTGATATGTTTGGTTGGATTTCGTCCTGTAAGGCAGGGAATTCTGCCGTTGAGAATGTCGACTCATGCATATTAAACTGAGTTATGGAGTAGAGTTGCTTCCGGGTTGCTTCCGGCTTCCAGATGGAAATGAAAAACGCTAGACTTTCTTTGGTTAGTCTCATATAGCTCCGGACCTCTCCAACGAAGCTCCTCGCTTTCAAATAACATCAAGTTCGTCAGACAAATGACTCTCGTCACCAACATGAGCGCATTCCGTCTCTCAAGAGTGGCTCTCAGAGCCCGCCCGACTAATTTTCAGAATGCGGTCCAACGAAGAGGTTATGCTGAAGCGATCTCAGACAAGATAAAGCTGTCGCTAGCTCTTCCTCACCAGGTTCGTGTGCTTCACTGGCCGACTACCAGGCTTCATTAGCTTTACACCTGCGACACGGTCCTTGAATACTGCTCTTACTGTCACTGACATATCTGAAACGCTAGACTATCTACAAATCCACCGATGTGTACGCGGTTCTTTCACTGCCTTTCTGCGATATCACAAGACATGTTCCTCTATAGAGCTTCAACCAAAATGCTGATGCCGCTCCCCACAGTGTACAGGTCAACATACCTGCCGAATCAGGAGACATGGGAATCCTCGCCAACCACGTTCCATCGATTGAGCAGCTGAAGCCTGGCTTGATCGAGATCATTGAAGAGAGTGGTGGAAGTAAACAATTCTTCTGTTCGTATACCATCGATCAGCTCGGCGCTATAGCCAGGCGGGGTGGCTAACTTGCCAACCACAGTATCTGGCGGCTTTGCAGTTGTTCAACCAGACTCAAAACTCAGCATCAACGCTGTGGAGGGCTACGCACTAGAAGATTTCAGCGACGAAGCTGTAAGATCACAAATTAGCGAGGCTTCAAAGATAGCGGGCGGGAGCGGAAGTGAGCAAGATATCGCTGAAGCCAAGATTGAGCTCGAGGTTAGCCTTCAATTGAAACACTACTCCTGTTTTTGCTGACACGATACAGGTGCTTGAGAGCTTGCAGGCAGCTATGAAGTAGTGATGCCCAACTCAATTGTACATATCGAACCAGGTTCCGTTTCGACGTATTGTAGATTATCTCAAACAAAGAGCGTGAACTTGGAACTCTATGGATTCACTACTGTTCCAAGCTCCAGTCCTAACAAAACTGCAGCTGTGGTTCGCTTTGCTGTTGCGACTGCTCTTTCCCAATTTGATTCTATCTTGTGGTGCGATTAGCTCCTGCTTTCCCTAACTTCTGTCTAAAGCCTTCGGTCCTCAATGTTTCGATGTCTACGCACAATTTTCTCTCTCTTTCCACACCTTCAATATACTCTTGGACTATAACGTTGTTAGTTCCGCTACGAGAAGAATGTGGCCTGCCACGTATACTCTTCGGCATGGTAAGTTTTAGAAGTGGGCAATGCTTCCTCAATTCTGATCCTCGGCAGGCTTTCAATCCGACACATGGTACCGTGGCTTCCAGAATTCAGGCATTCCAGAACGGTCAAGCTCCGCGCAGCCCTCAGTCAGCTGGGAAGACCCGGAGTTCAACCCAAAGAGCTGAAGTCGAAATTCCAATCGGGAGAGTTAGGCGTGCAAACACCACTTCCGCTGCTCCAGCATGCCCGCCGACAATAGAGGGAAAGGAGTGTAGCCAACAGGGGCGGATCCAAGAAGTTGATGCTGCCCGTCATGAACCTATTACCAACTTTGACGCAGGCGAGAATACTCTCCACGCCAGCCTACCCGCCAGACCTTCGACGAGTCATGAGTCTACCATGCCTCTTCGACAACACAAATTACACAGTTTCTCAAGGCAGGTTCCAGAGAGACCCAGAACGCAGAAAAGGCAATCATCATTGGACGCACAACCAACAACACAAATTCAACTTTCTGAGGCTCGAGCTCGACTAAGATGCATAGATGATAGGAGGACGGGGACCCCGATTGTACCTTTGACGGATGTGAATATGTCCCCTGTCGGACAAGACGCCGATATCCATCAACTTCAGGATCTAATTGACAATGCCCTTGACGAACAAGCCAAACTTGATGTCGAAGGAACGTCAGCCAAACAATCTCCTCGCCTGAAGTCCATCCCCTCTCAGGTTGAGCTAAGCATGAACAGTCCGTCAAAGGGGCAGTCGACTAAGACAGAGTCTAGTGGCTCACCTGTACGCTGCGGTCGAGATGGGCGCGACTTTAGTCGTCCTCGTATGTCAGTCACTACACCTAAAGGCTTCGGTAGGAGAGATGGTGATTATCCATCGAGTGCGTCAACTTCAACCTCGCCTATAAGGAAGCAAAGACTGAGCACCGAGACTGTTCTGCCAAGAAGTAGTACTGAGTCCGAGCCGCTGGCAGCTTCCCCCTTACCCTCTGTCTATTCATTCCGCGACATGAAATCGGAACAGGAAACTTCCTCTCTGAATCCCACCATATCAACTCGTCAAGCTCCAAGTCCCGTCAAACAGCGTACAGCAGCCTTTGAAAAGATGGTGCAACGTGACAAGCAAATTATGTACGACCAGCCACACCGGCACATCGCGGGAGCTCCATTGAAAAAGCACTGGTGGCTAGAGCCAGATGAAAATCGATTGCATCGTGTGCCAGGATTGTTGAAGCAAGAAGCGAGTGCTACAAGGAGTAAGGCAAACGGTATTATCCAACATGATCCTCCTGCCAGCACACACACCACGACACCAATGCCAAGGCCTGGACCTATTCCACTTGCATTGCCCCAGCTCATTTCCTCCAGAGGTCGTGCTGTGTCTGCAACTTCTCAGTTTGAAGACACGTTCGAAACAGCCCCACAGTCTGAGGCTGCATTGTCAAGATTGTCATCACGCGTTCATTCGCCAAGGACTATTCCGAAAGCGTTAGCAGCCCAAGACATCGGGCAGGCGACGAAATCACCATTTCTGAGGTGGAAGGCTTTCATGCTCGATAAAAAATTACCAGCTTACAGGACGGTTTCACCATCACCTGGAGAGTCTAGTGTTGGAGTAAATGCTGGAACCGATTTGACTGAGCAGACTATAGATACCGCTTCTCATTTGCAACCTCGAGGTAATGATCTAGCAGTAGTGGCAAGTCAGGATGCAATCTCACAGCGCGCATATGGCCAAAATACCGTGACAGCAGTGATGCAGCAGGGAGATATGCCGCCATCAGCCAAACACCGTGAAATTCATGAGAGCCATCCTTCGAAAGAACTCAGTCCGCAACCACTGACACCTCGCAAAATCATCTCTCCCAAGCAAGATCGCAATTTCAGGGATGCTGCAGTGCCCGGCGAAATAATGAAGCGTGCTGATGGTGACATGACTATTGACGATGAAAAAGAGTTGCTCATTGCACCAAATATTGCAAACATGGACGAACATGGCGACGTGGCAACCGAGACCGGCGATGAAACCTCTTCGCAACGTCAGTCTAATGATCTTATGCCATTCTCCTTGGTACAAGTGGAAGACAATCGTTCAGCTCCCGCTTCCGCTTCCACTTCCGCTCCAGGTTCCCCAATCCGGGGTAGGGTAGCATGTCGGACCTTGCATCAACAGAGCAGGGTGATGAGAAATGAGGAGAGCAGAAATGGAGTGAGAGTCAGTAGGAGCAGGAGTAAAGTGGGGAATGTGAGGGTTACGGTCGAGGTTAGGACGCCTCAGGGTAGTCCAAGTAAAGGGAATGCTCAGAGGGATCCGGTTGGGGATGGGAATGGAAAGGGGGAGAGGGTTGTGATTGTTACCACGGATGTGCAAGAAAGTGAAGAGGGTTCGGTTGAGGATTAAACAAGGAGAATTGTTGGGGGTGAAAGAGGAATAACGGAGCGAGAATGAGTAAAGCTGTAAGCAGAGGTGGCGTTCAGAGGAGAGAGGGCCAAAGGGCGAAGTATTATTCTCCATTGACATGGTTTAGATGGATAGTATCGTCTAGTATTCTTCAATAGCTTAGTTTAGAATCTGACCCATCGCACAGTAGTTCTCGCTCCGACATCAACCGTCTCCTGATTTCAACTCCATCTCTCTCGTACTCCTTGACTTCAAGCTTGGACGTGAATGTGAACGTATAACTATCTGATCAGCAATGGAATCGGTACCATGTCCGGAATGGCGGTGGAGCTGATGACTCGTTACAATCTTACTAGGCCTCTCTTCTTTTGATAGCAGTAGCAGTGGTGGTGTTGGGGGTTTGAAGGATCACTTCCTCTCATTTCCGTACATGTACCACGTATATGACACCGAGTCTTTGAACTCCCTTGCACTCTCACCTGCAAGAACTCCACTGCACAACAAGGGTAACAAATCGCCCAGAAAGAATCTCAAAAGCAACCAGGACTGCTAATGTTTGAAAGGGCCGTGTCCCATATCTACAGCGTACGGATACGCGTAAGCCTTTCCCAACCATGGTCCATCAATCAGTAACGCAGGGAGAAGAAGTTCACCATCGTTGGATTAGTAACCCTTGGCTGGATCCCTGTTGGTATTGTATTCTCCCCCCTCGTGACCTCCTTGACGAGCTTGACGAAGCGATCCCCACTCCCTTCTCGGCGTCTGCACAGGCCAATGCTCGCCGACGAAAGCGACTCGGAAATTCCATCTGTTTGATGCAGTAGTCATCATTGACCACCTGCTCGGTGACCGTCTGTCCGATCGCCGTCCTGGGCGTGGTGAACAATCCTCTCCCGCCCGTGCAGGAGCTGGAAGTTATCCCACACGTATATATCTCCCGGGCTGAAGTGGAGTTTCAACTGGTGCGAAGTCACGACGCATGATCTCCTGGAACTTGCAGTGTGCGCGTCGCGCCCGCTCGTATTGCTCGTACGGACTGTGCAGATACCCCCGCGAGATGTGGGTGCCAGTGGATGCATTTCAGCTCGTCCGGATAGCCTGGTATCTTGCGTACGGCGGCGTCCACGGTAGTCTGGTATAAGGGTGGGTTTTTAGAATTGCGCGACACGGCCGAGGATATAAATGGTTGAGCACAGCGCCTCGTAGAGATCTGGTTCCTCCTCACGGAGGGTGTTGAGCGCCGCAAAGGTATGGACGAAGGTATTTCCCGCAGTGGCCATGAATAGCATGCAATCCCTGGACACGGACTGAGATTTTATAGTATGCGTGGTCGACATGCGGACGAGGCTTTTCCGATATGTCCTAGTTCGGCAATTCCGTCACGCGAGGGCCGGATTCGTGGTAGTAGGAGGCCACCTTGAACGTGGAAATCTGTAGGACGCATTGAGGGCTGGAAGACGGCCCCGAAAAGACGTTTGAGAACGTGGTCAAAAGATTGTTTGTCCGGGTGCTCTCTGTGTGGGTGTTGACCTCGGGAAGATCAGTCAGCTTGAAGATTCCTGGAAGTTCATCGGGAAGCAGGGTGTCAAGGATCCAGGCTTTCATGGCAAATAATTTTTCGTGGCTTAGATTCTCCGCTTCGATCTTATGGTAGCAGATTTGCGGGGATGACGAGCTCGTCAGTTGGCCAGCCTTTCGGAGTGTTTGACTCCTTCACTGTTGGAGTGGATTGCAGGTTCGTTGCGACATGCGATGCTAGTAGTCGAAGCCACACGCCCCGGGAAACGGAGTAGTCGATCCATCGTCCCATGTGACGTCCAAGGTCGTTTTGACGCCTGAACCCGAAGTAGCCGCGTTTTGGATGTAGACGAAGTACAGCTGTTGACAGAAGATCTGCGATTCGCGTACTCTCGGATTCTGTATCGCACCGTGCATCATGCAACCACTGAGCGTGGAAGACGAATGTAGCATCATAAACGAAACAGTAAGAGTATCTCTGGAGGGCCAGATTGAATAGTCAAGAATGAGTTGGTTGGAACCAGTGCTAGAAGAATCTTTCTCGGTTGCTGGAGGCATTGTACGTAGTAGATCTCTCTCCAAACGGGACGAGCCGAGCCAGTGCTCTCTAACCACAAAGGCTGGGGTTATTTAGCAGCGTTCGCGTTCACTCCTGATCCACTTACGCACGGAAAACTAGGGACAGCAAATTCAGTTGGAGTCATGGTGGTGGCATCCTGGGGGGGCGCCTTTTCACCTACCACGTAAGGGTTTGGAGCTTAAGCAGTGGACATGTTCATACGGCTCTGTAGCTGGGAGCCAGGTCTGGTACTCAGGCCTGCTAAGCAACCATCTGCAGGTTTGATACAATGATGGCGAACATTCATTTCACCAAACCTGAGTGAGCTGAGGTAGTATTGTTGTACAAGCTGCGTACGGACTGAACTTTGCTGTTGCTTGACGAGATGTAGATTCTCTTGGGAGGCTGCTCCTCCCAGAATGGGTCCGATTTCGAACTTTCCTTTCACATCCTAGATCCTTACAAGAGGTTTTCAGCGCAGCTGTGCACACATCATCATCCTGGTTCTTGCAGTCGTCACAGATGCAGTAATCTTTCGTTGGACTCTGCTGACGATGTTTGTGCCTATGTTTGTGTCGATACCCAGCTGGGTACAATTGATCCTTCTCTGGCCCCGCATAGGATGAGTTACCAAATCCCTCCTGATTGCAAAGTTGGGTAGAGTATCTATTAGTTTTTCTTAAGAGCCATCCTCGAGCGGGATGAACTAAATTCTTCTCTCGGAATGACCGAATCTCCGGACTCGCTCGGTCGATCAATGTAGGCCGGTTGGCAAATAGGTTAGAGCGAGAAACCGCCAGAATAATATGCAAGATTTGAGCAATCGAGTTGATACTCTATGGATTCTATCCGGTTGCTATCCGGCTGCTTGCTATCTGCAAAATCCACAGGAGATGAAGGATATAAAGAGCTTGCATCAGTTCTCCTGACTCCGAGAGTTTTACGCTACCCGTTCGAGGGCAAAACGCCGAAAATAGCTTAATCGTCAAGAGTTTAAACCATCATGTTATGATCAATTTTCTTGAGTAATCTCCACTTGTGGTAACGTCTTCAAATCAAAAACACACACATAAGAAAGAATTTATTTTATCAGATTCTACAGCCTGGGGGAGAACCCCCGGAGAGCTTTCTTTAATTTTTCTAGCGGTACGGTCTCGGTCGATATCAGAAAGTCCTGGTTCTCACTATTCTCCATCGCGGCATCGCCAGACGGATAAATATCTTCTTCCAAAAGGCCGTAAAGACATCGACTAGACTCTGGAACAAATCGCAATGCGCGAAACTTTCAAGGAGACCGGCGTTCCGGTCAAACTTCTCTCCGTCCCTATACCCACTCTGCTACTGCGCCAACCCATGCTCAACCGACCCCAACGTCCGACGTGGCCCGACCCGCCTTAGTGACCGAACCCATCGCCCGTCACTCAGAGGGTGACGGACGGGAATTGGAAAATCATATTTTGGTATGCTGCTCAGGTGGATTCTACTCTGAAGCAGAAAAAAGACATCCAGCGGAGGGAGAAGACTTTGAGATTTTTTGGGTTCCTGCAGAAAAGGTGCAAGAAATTCTGTTGTGAACCTGCTGTGCAGAGTGCGTAGAGAGCAAGTTGTTCGATAACCAGGGGTGGAGAGCGTAGATCCACGTACAATTGGCTATACCAATTAGAAGCGAAATTGCAGTAAAAATTGACCAATCAAAAGCAGGCGAAACGCAGGGAGTACGCGTATGAAACCTGGCCAATAGGCCCTCTCAGAGGTTCAACATCTGTCTTTCTATGATGATCAACAAATTGCTGTCAAAGTTGTGTCCGCTATTCAGCTGTTGCCGAGCAAGAGACCAATGGGCGAATCTTCATGATAGAGGCTTCGAGGTTGCGGTGTCTCGTTTCTAGGTGTGCATCTAGATGTCACAACAGTCTGTATGCTACGAAGATAATAACTTAGAGAAAGGGAGATAAAACGACCGAACCATCAAAGCGCTATTAGGAATGGAACCTAATTCATTTTATCCCCTCACTCTTAGGATCCGGCATAAAGATACACCAATCTCGGTGGATAAAATTTCCTTGCAGCTCGCTATGATTTAACAGCGTGCTTTGATTTGTAGAAACACCCTTGCTTTCTAAGGTCTATGCTGGTCGACCAACTCCGACCAACTCTTGCATCAGTAGCAGATATGCCCACAACCGATGTATTCGCCAAGTGTTCATAAATATGGACCCCAGCCCGCACGCAAAACAGAGTTTGTATGTGTCAGCATGGGCAATCGAAGAAAGCCTTTCACCCACAGATATGCATGATCCAGACTGGATGCAGGAACACACTAGTGAGTGATAGGAGCATGATAACCCTCCGGTCATAGGTGTCCGCAAGTGAGCCAAAGAAAAGGGCTGTCATAAGGCCTTCGCTGGATAAAATATATCAACAATAAGTATATGTTCGAGCCCATACGAATCACCACCTTCGGGAAAGGCTGCTTGCTGGCGCAGGCACGCCTGGGATAGAGTCGAAAGTACCTTCGAGGCCAATGACAAATGCAAGCTCGCTCTGTATTGACATTTTCAAGTCCTCCTTACAGATTTCCAACAGCAGAGGTAGGCTTGGTCTACATTCCCAATTCGATCGGATACGTATTATCCAGTATGTTTTGGGGAATGGACCAACAAAATAATGACTCGCGAAGCGAAACAAAGCTGGATATAACGAGCACGGGAAGCTGATCTATCGGCCAGAATACCGCCTCCTAGAAAGTGCTTGGATCGTAGCGTTCACCTATCCTGCTGCTGTGATCTGGTATGGCTGGACGGCCGAGAAGGGAGTCTTTTGGGCTGTACCTGTGAGGTGCTAACCTTTTGATCCCGTCCTAACTCACAAGTGGAAGATTCCGGGTTTGAACTAATATGGCGGTGTTTTGCCAGCTTATCGGCCACTTTTTCTTCAGCGGCGGGAGCATGCTGTGTTCTTTACTACCAACACGACCATGCTCACGGATTTCTTGCCTCCGCAGGCGTTATCGGGAGTTACCTGCAACAATTTCGTTCAGTACATCTTTGCATGCATTGGAGGGGTGATTGCCGAGCCCCTGATCGCAGCTATTGGAAACGGCTGGTTGTTCACCGGGCTCGGGGCTCTGGCGGCGTTCAGTAGCATCGTCGTCTGGGCTATTGCGCATTATGGACCACGCTGGAGGCGAAATGTGGATGTCGGATTGAAAAAGGGAGATGCTTGCAGATGCAATCCAATCTCTGATAGGTATCCAGCATCACAGGACGGCAAAAGATTTAAATAGGATGACACTCTCCAAATACCAACCTCCTCCCTCCCTTCCTTCCTTCCTTTCGTGGCGGGTTGCATTTGAACGTCGTCTTGATCCGGTCATTGAAGGGGCAAGGCCTGAGGGTTCAGCATGTGTTTAAGGATTATGCCATATCAATGATACACAATGCCACGACCCGACCAACAGAGGTCATGATAACCATCAGAAATTTAAGGGTAAGGAAGGCGAGCCAACAGCCCCGGAACTGCATAATTACAGGGAAGAGGCCAGGGACAGACACTGGGTTCTCTCCCTTCGGAGTGAAGATGTGCTCCGATATCACAGTGGAATAACAGGAGGATGCAATAGCTCTAGGAAGAAAGGATGAAAGGATGAAAGAGCGCCATCTCTCTCGGAACAAAGTCAATTCGTCATATGTCAGATATGCCCTTTCCTCGTACATGCTGAGTGTCACAAGTAGGCGACTTCGTACGTCAAAACAGAAAATTATTCCAGGCTTTGCTATGCCACGCTTCATGAATACCGTCGAACACCACAAGTATGAGAACACCATGCACGACAACCAGTCGTGGTGATCACGAGAACTCCACACTCTGCCCTCCGCCGCCCAGCCTCCCTTCCCTGGCCATCCTAGCTTGAGCCCTTTCTGCACGCCTTCTCCGCCTGTTATTCGCATACTCCGTCGCTCCGCTTGTCTCTGTACCGGGGCTTGTTACGCTACCGGCCGGACCGAGGCCACTTCCAGTGGGTATGGGTGGTGGAGGGGGGACATTGAACTGTTGTCCGGTTCGGGGGTCGACTGTCGTTGTGTAGTGTAACGGTGGTGGCGGTGGTTGGGTTGTGAGTGGTGGTTGTTGATATGCGCCCACTGGCGGAGGGGCAACCGGGGGCGCTGCGGCTGTTGGGCGGCCGTTGCTTCAGCTTGTTGACGCTCGAGCGCTTCAGTCCGCCTCCAGCGTCTGTCGGCGCTGGACATTCTTCCACCAGCACCTTCGCCCCCAGATGAGCTTGAAAAGGAGGAGTTGCGTCTCCTTCGACCGCTGTTGGCTATTCCTGCTGCTGCTGGGACAGATGCGCGCTTGGCTCTTTTTCTCTCTTCTCTTTGGGCGGCGGCTTCCTCTTCCGTTAGACGTCTGAGCGTCACATGTCGCCCATCGCCGTGCATCTTGACTTTCAAGCTTACAGGTGGTGATTCCATTGAGTCAGTGTTCTGCGTTCGACCTGAATGCCGCCGCCGTGAGCCTGCTGCGCCTGCCATTGCAGCAGCAGCTGCTTCATGGTGATGGTGCCTGTGATGCGGTTGATGACCAGAATTGGTGGTAAAGACTTCGCTACCAGAAGAGTCCACGTCAGTGCGGTGGATAGGTGGTATTGGAGGAATATTGCTTGGTACGTTGCTTGGGCCTGCTATGACCAGTGGGTCAGTCCCAGGTGGCCGGATACGGTTGCGGTCTGCAAGAGCTGCTGCTGAAGCTGCACCAACACCGCCGAGGATTGGACCTGTAGCATTGCCGCTCGGCCGTTGGTGACGGTCATCGATGACGCTTTCAGAGAACTCCGTGCTGATTTGACTGCCCAGCGGATCTCGACGATGGCGCTTTGGCAAGAACCCATCACCCGTATATTGACCTTGCGAATTTGCTCGATGTATTCTCTCTTCCTCCAGCCGTCGGTCTTCCTTACGTTGACGGCGACTTTTGAATATTTGGCGCAGCGCGAACAGTGCTCCACCTGTCGCCGCTGCATCGCGGAAGGTGTGCCGGCGGTCGCGCCGGGAGGGGGAACCAGAGGTGTAAGAGTAGCTGAGCGAGGAATGTGAATGACGGTGGTGAGGTGTCATCGGTGATTGAGCAAGAGGATGCGAAGGTCGCACATAACCCGGAGACGCCCCTGTGGGTGTCACTGGTCGCGGTGGGCGTCCTTCTTCGATATAAGATTCGGTGGTGACAGATTGGTTTCCTCCCAGTGGCGGACGGTATGGTCCGGTATCCGACGAGTCGTCTCGCCTGTCACCGAAAAGAGATTTCACAGCTGCGATACCCGCTGCTACGGCCCCTATCGTGAGAAGCTTACTTCTCCATCCATGTTCGGATCTAGCCGAATATTTCTCGTTGGTCATATAAGACGTTCCACTTTCGGTTCCAACCACGTCGTCATCATCTCGTCGATCTCTTGAAGATCGCCTTCTCCATAGAGCTGCGAGACCTGCTGCGCCGAGACCCGCGGCGGCTACTTTCGCTAGTCCGCTGCTTCTCTTATCTCTCCTCTCGTCAATGACTTCATCTTGGCCGGCGTGGTACCTACCTCCAGCGTCATAATCGCGACTAAGCCGACGTTGGTGCAGCCATGACAATACAAAGTATGTCACCACTAATACGAACGCTGCTATGGTGTAGAGAATGAAGAGATGCTGGGGTGAGCCATAGAGTGTCAGGCCAAGTGGTATCTGAACAATCCCCAGCAATGCAATCATGCGGCCGAACCATTGATGCAGCATCAACTTCAAGGGAATATGTAACCGGCGCTTCCCCTTCTCTTTTCTGTGTATCAACCAGCCTCCAAAGAATTGCACGATGATGAGAACGTAAATAGCAATGCCAATGCCATGATGTGGGTTTGATAGCCTTCGTTCAGGACCCACAGCAAAGAAACCCAGTATAAAGAGTACGGTCGTTAGTATGAAGGTGAGTATCTGGAACCAGATATGCAGTCGAAGCGCCCAGAATGGTGATCTGCCATAAAAACGGGCAAGCATAATGGCAGCGGGTACAAGACCGAGGAATGTGATGGCGGCAAGGATGCCATGCGCTCTGATCAACCCGTGATACCCTGTCATGGTAAAAAACCTGTTTCCCATTCCTGAAGCACTTTCGTTAGCTTGCACTATAGTACACAATGGTCTCCCATGCCCCCATACCATTGTATCTCATTGTGGCAAAGTTTAAGCCAACCAAGTTGGGCAATAAGAAGGTGTTCTTCTCCGTATCCCATGTTCCATCTCCTACATGTAACGTATTTGAAGAATATGAGCTGCTTCCTGGGGGAGCTAGCTGTGGTGAAGGCGACATTCTCGTAACCAATATGGAGAGGGTAGTTCAGGAATGTCCGGACAGCGGAGGAGAGCCTCCAGCAGCGCCAAAGAATGCACCATCCGACAAGTCCGACGACAACTGCAAATGCTTAGCGAGCTGCGAGGCTATGAAGATTTTTCATTATCTGTGACTTTGGTACAGGGTAAATCGGTCTCCAAGCAGGATAGACGCGATGGCAGATTGTTGATAGCATGCGGAGTCGTAATTACAACTGGCCTGTGGTCGATTATATGAAAGCTGTAAATGTTGATGGGAAGCTGTGAGACAGATGTCAACGACGTTGGAGCACTTGAGTCGGATGAGTACACTTGTACAACGTGTAAAAAGTCTCGAACAGATTCGTGTATCCTTGCTGTATTCAACTGCATACGTAGTAAGTTAGACCTGTTTGGGGGATGCAAATTTGGGGCCGAAGGGCCGAGGAGCCAATGCACTTTCTGGCCGGGCAACCGATTTGTCTTGGCTGTCCCACATTGGTGATGGGACATCTTTTTGACATCACTACGTACAGTGGGGCCCACAATTCTGCAGAATTCCTAGTTAGGGACTCCTGCCCTGCAGATGATTCAAATCGCCCCTCTCTCCTTACAAATAGAGTGTGTGCAAATTTACTATCATATGATTGCTCTTGTTCTGGTACATATGAAGATAATACTTTTATCATGAGATATTAAGTAGAAATTGTAAAAGTTGAAATTCTGTTTTTATCACATTTCAAGAGACCTCTAAATTCTAAGTGTTAAAGTCCAAAGGTAACTTGAGTCTTGAACAATAAATTGAAGAATCTTTAAAAAGGAGAACATTTTGTTAATTCATATCATCTGTGATGTGATAAGCAACCACCAACAAGATCAGACTTTGTCTATTAGCAAGTTGTATAATAGAAAAGTGATGATATGTTGTGTGGTGGTCAAATGTTGTAAAATCAGAGAAAGAAAAATTTGATGTTCTTGCAATGCCATGCATTCTACAGAATTGTGGGTACCAACCACACTGTACGTACGTAGTAGTCCGTAAACCGTCTCACTTTTCATGCTCAAAACGTCAAGTTCGCCTCAACCTTATCAGATGCCACTGCAGTGGGTCATCCGCCATATCCCAATGACTTCGACACGCAATCTGAACTGTCAGAAGCCTGTCAAGTGCCCGTGATAGGCCTCCTCTACCTTCTGCAGCTTCGGAGTACTTAAGAGTCCTTTCACACCGCAAAGGGGACTTTCGATTGAGATCTGATAGTAGACTGCTCGCCTCACAGATGCAGCTATCAGAGCTTCCCTGACAACTTGGGCCGACAGCATTTGGTTGCGCATTGCAGCAGACACAGCGCGGATAGCCTGTTCGTGGTTCTGCTGTGCTTGCCCCTCGAGCGCACGAGTGCCTACTGAGGGCTCCGGGCCATGGCAGGCCGTGAACAGAGCATACATTTTGCCAAAGCTGTCTCCAGGCACGGCACTACCTTCGCCGTATTCATGGCAGCTCGCTAACAGGAATCTAGGTTGGTAGGGTGGATATAGTGAGTCTCGCGCAACCTTACTGTGGTCATCTCTAACAAGAACCCAGCACGTTGTGTTGGTCCGCTTCTTTTTATCCCCAACCACTCCTCAACTGGCAGCGCAAATCGACCCGCGGCCTGGCAATCGACTACCTCACTATCAATGTCCTTGGCTTTGTCTGCTACCTGATTTCGACTTCTGCGCTCTTCTTCTCGGCCCTGATCCGTCACCAATATACCGAACGGCACGCAGCGTTTTCCAAGCCCACTGTACGGTCCAACGACATTGCCTTCGCCGCACATGCTGTGATCATGAGCACCCTCACCTACACCCAGTTTTGGCCCAGAATTTGGGGCTTTAGAGTAAGCCGTTCTCAACGACTGAGTCGTCCGATTGCTGGATTATTCTGGGGATGTATTTCGGCAGTGGTTTTAATCATACTCCTGGTCTGGACGAGAGGTAAAGCCGGAGGTAGAGATGCTCAAGATTGGGCATGGATCGATGTGGTATGGACTACGGACAGGCTGTTGCTCAAATGCATTGTTTGTTAACATTCCTAGGTCTACTCTTGTGGACATGTCAAACTTCTTGTCACCCTTGTCAAATACATGCCGCAAGTGTGGGTCAACTACAAACGGCAGTCGACGGACGGATGGAGCATCGAGCAGATCCTCCTAGATTTCTCTGGGGGTGTGCTATCCATTGTTCAATTACTGATCGACGCCAGCTTCCAGCCTGACTGGAGCGGGGTGACAGGGAATCCAGTCAAGCTCGGGCTTGGAAACATCACTATCTTTTTCGACCTCATCTTCATAACCCAGCACTATCTCTTATACCGACATACAGGGCAGGGCAAGGTCGACGAGAGCATTGGCGGCACTGAGCAGCCTCTTCTGGCGAATGGACCCCGACCCTAGCAGCCGCAATTTTGGAATAGGAGACGGTGTATGGTTCGAAGCAACGGCAGCCGTCGATATCGATTCTGGTTAATAGCGGAGCACCAAGTAGGCAGCAAACCTCGATCCGAATTCAGCACCAACAGGGTGCAGCACCATCAATCGCAAGCGAGCATCGGCTCTCTCTCAGTTACCTAACCTGTCCGCCGTACTAGTTTGCGTGATGTCGAAGCTACACGACATACAGGGTGATCGCGCTTTGCAAATCAGCAGAGGCACATGATGCGAGTAAGTAACATGCACAGGAAGGGGCAGATGGGAGCATGCTCGCACCCACTTCTGGAAGGCGTCTGTATCTGAGAAATGTATATGAATCTGGACCCCTCCAGGCCCTGTAACATCTGGTCCTCTGGTCCGTCCATACAGCCACAAGCCTGAGGACGGGTAGTCACTTGCCAGAGGAAGAACCTTGGCGCGAGACGCGGCTCACGAGGCTGCATTAATTTTAATCATTAATCCTTAATCATCCGCACTACTTGTCCTGTACAGAGAGCAGGTCATTAGCCAACTCACCGGTGATGGCGGCTGTTGATGGTTATGCTAAGAGGACGTTGATGGTGTGATCGATTTGCTGTCCTCCTACACCCAGCCATCCCACATTGGTTTGCTTCGATCGTCGTTGTCACTGGTGCATTTGTTCCCTGTATCACGACGACTTGTTTTTGCAAGGACCTGGAAATTGGAGCTTGTGGAGTGCAGCCGGGCCGATGAGCTCAAATTGCTACTCACTTTCCACCTCTGCAGGGGCAGAATTAGTCCCAGGGTCTAGATTCTCTGTTGAGCCGCTGAAACGTGGGTGCAATGTCAGCCCTTGACGGTGGGTAGCAGGAAGAGTGGACGATTAGCATAGAATTACGCTGTAGAAAACACAACTGCAGAGCGAGTGCAGCAACTACTAGTAGCTACTAACTCAGTAGCTACTGTACATGCCAGGTAACTTACGAGTCGCAGGGAACTGCCCCCAGGGAGCTGCCTCCAAAGAACTGCCTTACAGGGAGCTCCCCTCGGTGGTTAAGGCTCTCTGTGCATTGACCATGATCCAACGGGCAGTCTGAGCCGCATGATCGTAGCCTCATCATCCCATTCAAACTGTGCCACATAACGTCCCTCATCTATCACCTCTTCCAGCCAGTCAAGGCTGTCCGCAGCACGAAGGAGGAGATGGTAGGCTGGATCCATGCTCGGGCTCCATCTTTTCCTCCCTCTTCCCGAGCCTTGTCGACATCGCCCAATCTAAATGCCTTGCCTCATCATTGCCTCATCTCGATTCTCCCTTAATCCTTCTCCCTCGCCGACCCCCTATCGACCCATCCTCCCTGGTCACACTATCCACAGATAGACGGCTCTATCATTCTTGGAGGCTGTTACTAGTTCTTCTAGTGCGACTATAGCTACGGCGGCAGACACCAACTTACCAGGAATCAACTCTGACCCAACACGAGAGTGACAGCAGCAACATCGCCCTGGAAGCTTACCCACTACCCCCGACCCGGTGGACACACCGTGCTGCTCCGCCCCATTTCATCCCGGCGCGCAAGTGGTCAATCAGGCTCGAATCGCTGCTCCTGCGACGACAGCAACAGATCACCATCGCGTCGCCGAGCTCTGTTCTCCTCATTCGATCTTCTTACGCGTCCCATTCACCAAACGAATTTGCAACCGTCGTCAATTGTTCTGAGCTTGTGTCAGAGCCTCCAAGGCGCTTTCTTCAACGGTGTGCTGGTCTCCCTCTTTATGCTCTCCTCTAGCCCCGCGTTCCCCATCCTTCCCCCCACACCCCTTCCTATTCTCACCTTGCTTTGGCCCCATCACGATAAGCAAATTCCTCATCTACCCGACAAGATTCTGATGTCTATCGGCATGAACCTCTGTCGCGGCAGTATGCTGGTGGTCTAGCACATGGAAAGCCGTGGCCACTGAGTGTGCCGCTGTTACCCATATAGAGAAAAATGGTCTCATACGCGCGGTCGTTTACTCCTGTCTACTTCCACTATGATAGACTCTCCTCTGAGCCCTTTGATCCCAGTGCTGATCTGCTCCCTCGCTGGTTTCATCTATCTTCAAAGTAGCAAAAAACGGCATGTCGTTGTCGAACGTTGGCCTTAAAAAAGCTGATAGCTTCTCATACAGGTGTTGATGCTTTACGAACCGATTCTTTATCCCGCAGTTGTGGACCAAGCCTTGCCTCAGTGCAATACAGGGCCTGGAGTGTAGCGCTTCGGCTGTGGTGAGACTCTAAAAACTGTGATTCATCAGGCTCTACGCCACGTTGTAGGGTCGCGACCTATGCTTCGTTAATGAGGAGGCTGCCGGCTTCATGAAACCCCAGGTGGATTATTACGACCCTGAAGTAGACGTGCGGCACTCATCTCCTGGCCTGGTGGCAACGCAGATCAATTACAAACCCGAGGAATCTCCGCCGCCATATATCTCAACGTCTCCGTCATCAGGATCAGTGTCGCCGGAGCCGGACACGATAACGAACGACCAAGAGGGCCATACCGAATCTCCTCGCCTCCCTGCGAAGAAGAAACTTAAGAGGAAAAAGAAAAGAAAGGGTCGAACTCGTCCATCGCAGGGTGACGCGGTACTGATCAGCTATCTAGACCCAAATCGTCCAGATATAGCGCGAGAGGTGGCTCAACACGCATTGAATTCTGCCTCTCAGTCGGAGGCTGAGGAAGACACAGAGAAGGACATGAGTGGGGATGGTGATGAAGAAGAAGACGACGATGACCGTACCAAGAACAAGTGTCGCGATAATCCACAGACTACCGATCTCACGACCAAAGCGCAGGCCGCCCTGCATGATGTTTTCATGGAAGACCCTGCTCCGGAGCAGCATGTTGTCTCGGCCGGCTTCGCCATGCATGGAGCAGTGAATGGGACTACGAAGGAGCACAGCTTGGTTAATGACGCGGCAACGCTGCATGTAAGCCTGCATGCGCTTCAGAATCCAGAAGGTCCCTCGAAATCGTTATGCCCTCCTTTACCATTGAAAATCGAACCGTCATTCCCGGAAGGCAAGGGTGAAATTGAGGATGAATCCATCACTACCTCTCCTGCGCTGGCCAAGTTTGCCATATCTGCAGCGGAGGCAAATCCTGATAGCACCTTGCCGGCAATGCAGAAATCACCGCCTCGATCGATGTCAAGCCACTCACCCGATAGCGTTCAGAACCTCCCTTCTCTCCAAACCACTCTCGGCCAAATCGTAAGCACGCCGATTACGGACACTCCTAACGCAACGTCACCCTTTTCCCAGATCCTAGGGCAGTCACCTATCGTGACCCGTCCGCAGCATATGGCCGCAGGTACAGGCCCCTCACCTATCGTTTACTCTCATCCCTCCCCAGCCTCCTCGAAAGACATGACGACTATGTCTCCACCCGGCTATCCAAGTCACGCGAGCCTTTGGCGAAGTACTCCCAAGGAAGGTTCGCTCAGTACGATATCGCAACCAGCGTCTGTGCCTGGCCTGACCCCCTCGGCGTCATACCCTTCACCAAAAGAGAACACAAGCCCTGAAAGCAGTACCACTCCTCAGTCCCTGAACGGCGCTTTGTTGACCAATGGAGCCATCACAACCACAGCCTTCAAATGTGCTCATCCAGGTTGCACTGCTTCTCCATTCCAGACACAGTATCTACTCAATTCACACGCAAATGTACACTCTTCAAATCGACCGCACTACTGTCCCGTCAAGTCATGCCCACGGAGCGTTAGTGGAAGAGGCTTCAAAAGAAAAAACGAGATGATCAGACATGGCCTGGTTCACGACTCGCCCGGCTATGTGTGTCCTTTCTGCGCGGATCAGCAGCATAAGTACCCACGGCCGGACAATCTTCAAAGGTTCGGTTTTTCCCATTGCCTTGTACACTGATTGAGGGTTTCTAACGTGTCGCTTTTCAGGCACGTTCGAGTGCACCATCCAGACAAGGAACGCGATGATCCCCAACTACGATCAGTTCTGGCCCTTCGATCTGGGGATGGAGGTCGAGGCCGACGGCGACGCACTGGCCCATGATGACCTGGCACTGTTTGCTTTCATTCTTATTTCTTCTTGTACCAAAGTTGACACACCACTTTCGCCTCGCTTCGACTTGCTCACCTGTCTGAAGATTTCTCTGTTTCTGGCGCTGGGATGTTCGGAGTATCTGAGCCTGAGGCGCACATCCAACAAAGATTGCTCATTCTACGCAGCTTAGTTCCGCATTCACGAGTCTAAAGAGTCTCTTTGAGTATGTTTCCGTCTGTGAATATGATTGGTGAGAATTAGTGGGATTTTGTTATCGAGACGAATTAATCGCTACGAGTCGGAGCAGCTGCAACGAAAAGAGCCCCCTTGCTTCTGCATTTCGGGATTCAGCCAGATATACTTTCTTGGTCTGATATGGCAGGAAAGGCGTGGCAGGGAGCCGGTGTCTGAGACAAATCCGCTGGTTTGTGCGTCTTGCAATCAAAGGCGAGAAGATTTTCGGGGTCCCTCTAGGTCGTTATGTCTGATGCCAATCTGAAATACCACACGACACAGTGTGGCTCGCTAGACGCATGTGGTAACAGGGCAAGCCCATGATGCCATGCCAATGCCAATGGCAAGACCGCATATCCCCCGTCTTTGTTATTCGCATCGAAAGTATGGTGAACATTTCTCCGTCCCCTTCTCCTTTCCAGCCTCCTCTACTAACCATACCAATCATTCCAAGGCCACTTTTTCCCAGGCATCGAATCTTCGAGATTGCATCCCTTTTCCTCTCTCTCGATGAATTTTGATATTGAGATCCAAACCATCCATCCAGTCTTCAAGTCAGGTCCCTCCCTCACATCAATGAAATAGCTGTACAAGCTGAGTGATTCTTGACCTTCACTTTCCATTTCACCTTGTCGATAGACAGATCCAAGAGCCCGTAAATCCGCAGAGTCACGGGTAAAAGACGGGAATGGGAATGTTTTGTTCAAGGGGGTGTTTTCTTACCAATTGCTGACATGACTCTTGCTCTTTTTGGACAGAACAGAAAGATCAAAGACTACATGTCTGACTCACACAGCCCCCCTCCCTCCCCAAGCTGCTAGGCAGTTTCTGTATCGGACACACGATTTGTACATTACATTAGAGGAGTTTCAACTGAAAGATCCAGCCCTTCCAAAAAAATCTTGGATTGGAAAAAAGGGGGTCTCAGTGGGGGCTTCATAGTTATATGTACTGGTGTGGAGTACACATATGGCCCAAGCACGGCAAAACAGACAGGACAGAAGAGTACTTAATTCCTACTGAAACGACAAGAAACGAACTCGATGCCACCTAGTTAACTCAGCTGCTGCAAGAGGGAATACGGGAAAGGCAGGTGAAATGTGAAATACAAACATCCGGCTTGATACTGATCAAATGATGGCGGATGGGATGGGATGGATGGCACACACCACGTACCAGGAGGATGAATGATGCATGATAAAAAGACCGTCACGAGATGAGCCAGCCAGGCTCGACTAGATCGTAAAACAAGCAATGAACACATAATACATAATAGAGATTCATGCTCGCTCTCACCCCGTCTGGCACCACCGCTGAAGACTTCTCCGAGACCTGTGTCCATATCCTATATATATATAAATCTATCTATCTATATATTCCAAGCCAGGGATTTCTAAACCGCTTGTCTGTGCCCCAAAAGGAGGGGGATGCAGTACAGCTCCATCTCCATAACAAGAGAGATAGCATAACTTTTGGAATTCCAGATGAAAGGGGGAAGGGGGAAGGGGGAATTGGTATTGGCAAGATGAAAAGCCGGCCATAGAAGACGAAAGGGACGAGAATGAGAGGCCTCTCAAAGGGGGAACAGGGTGAGCAGAGTGTGCTCGTCGGCCCTGGATACCTGTCTAGAGAGTTCATTCAGTTCGTTCATGAAATCATGCATGCATGACTCTGGAGACTTGAGTCCTCGTTTGCTATCTCGATCTCGATCTCTATCTCCTTATGTATTGCTGCTGCTGCTGCGCCGCGCCATCCCTCCCCGAACCGCCTTCATCGCCCTGCTCCCTTCGTGCAGCACCCCCATCCCCATCTTCCTCCTTCCCATGTCGAATCTGCCTATTACGTCGCAGCTGGTCGTGGTATGCGTTCCTCGAACTGACGTACGAGTTTCTTCGCCAGGGTCTGCGGTCCGATTGCACGGGCGCAGGTGCCGGTGCACGCGTTCCGTTGCCAGCCTGTGACGAGGGAATGCCTCTGCCGGTGCCGCTGCCGATTCCACGTCCTCGCCCTCTGCCTAGATTTGTGGATGCAGATGCGGCTATGACGGATCGAGGGGGCGGGGTGGCCAGAGAAAAAGATCCCATGGGCTGATGGGTCGTGGGAGGGGCCGTTGGGGTTGGCAGTCCGGCTGCTGGGCGTGGTGCCGTTGCCGTTGGGTTAGAAGCACCACTGCTAGGAGGTACAGCGGCGGAGCTAGTATTTTGTTCGGCCTCTCGGATTGGAGGGACGCATGGTGCAGCTGTCGCTCTCGGCAGAGGCTGGGATGGTGTCTGAGCAGAATTTGGGGCACCATTTTGAGCCTGACTACGTTGTTGCTGATGGAGCGCGGCTCTCTTCTGCTTCCGGCTGCGCGTATCCTTGGGCCACCAACCGCTATTGATCGGACGGAGGGCGTTGTCTTGCCCGATAAAAGGCCTGAGCGGTTGATTCCGGTTGCCTAAAGACGGGATTGGCTGTTGGTAAGACACTGGGGTAGTAGAGTATGCCAAAGACGCCGCTGTACCAGGTGATTTGATGAATCTCTGGCTGTGAAACACGGGCGCTGCGGCACTCAGAGAAGACTTCTGGCGGTGGTGAGAGCCTTGCTCTAGCTGATGGCCAAGTTGTCCTGCAGTGGCTGCAGAACTCGATGGCTGTGCTACCGTACTGGGAATTTCCCTATTGGGTCGAGTGGCTGATGCTGGACCTGTCGAAGAAGCTAAAGATCCTTCGGCTGGTTTTCGGATAGGCAGAGTTTGCTTCTCCTCTCGGACCACAAAGTCTGAACCAAGCCCTTTGCTTTCCTTGTCTTTCTCAATCTCTTTATTCGGCATGCTGCTAGTAGGTTCCCCTTTGTGGACTTGATGAAGTTGTTCTTCTTTTCCCAGGAATTCTTTCGCGTAGGCGCCAACTTCAGCTCGGAGCTCCGTTGTTGCTCTATCTCCCTGGATGAGTCTCTTTTGATCGTCGACGGCCGCGCTTGTCGGCTCTTGCGGAATAGAATCTTCATTCTGCGCCAGACGTTCCAATCGAGCATCTCGTTGAGCACGTGTCTCGAAGATGGCTATTCTCTCATTTTTCCGGCGTTGTGATCGGGGCGACATGACCCTCTTCGGAGGGTTTGCAAGAAGGTTCTTGTTCTATAAATGTCAGCCAGATATTCCCGTACTAGCGGTTCCTTTACCTACCTGAGCCATGCTTCGAGCTTCGCTTCTTGGAGAGAATTGGGGAAGACCCGGCCATGCAGAGCCCAGAATCCAGCGATCCGCTGGCACATCTTCTCTGAGAATGTTCCAGTCCAGGAAGCCTTTCCACCCATACTTTTCATACCAAGGATCATATGTACCAGGAGCACGGTGCTCAAGGTGTCTGTTGTCTGGGTGTACCTCAGAAGCGGGCTTGTTGACTTCGGGAACTGCGGACGTCGATATATTGGGGGTCGGCACTGCTGAAGTCGTCTTGTCAAGTTGGTTACTGGTGCTCGAAGACTCTGCAGGCATCGGTGCGGCTCTGCCTCCAACCTTGGAATTCTGCGCGGCCATATTGTTGGCAAGCGTTGCAGTTGGTTGGTTGGTAGCTGACTAGGCTGTGCTGTCGTGGATCTGTTGAAAGAGAAGGTAGGAGTATAGATGAAAAGAGATGCGCTGTGGTCAATTATGTAGACACTATGACTGGCGAACACTCAAGCTTGTCGAAGGAGACTGTCTTCGAAAGTGCAGAAGGAGTTGTGGATTGTCCAGCCTGACAGTCAAAGGAGGCACTATTTAACAACATTGAGGCAGCGCACAAGGTAACAAGATCAATCCCACAGGATAGCGGCGAACACTTGCACAACAAGTAACAGCTGCTGTCGCAAAAGATCATACTTGATTTCGCACAGACGAGGTGTGTGAGAAGGTGTTCTGATGTAATACTTGTGCGCACGCACTAGCAATTTTGAAAGTAGTAATGCTTGTATATGCATATAAACATTGTGTAAGAGGCCATTTGGCAGGCTGAATCTTATGACTTGTGGTATTTTCGATCATCGCTTCCTTCTGCTCAGCACCAGAAGCATGAACAAAGGCTAGTGTTGCCATGAGAAAACGTACTAGGTGAAGAGATACTTCGCGGCATGTTGGACATGGTCATCCGAGAAACTGGCCATAGTATAATAGCTGTGGTCATAACCATCTTGGAATCTGATATTGAGGCCCGAATCCACCCCAGCTTCTTTGGCGGCTTTTGCGAGGTTCTCTGGCAGGAGCTGGCCCTGCTTGTAAAAGTTGTCTCCAGTACCCTAAGAGAAGTCAGCGAACGTGCTGGCTCGAGGGCCAACCATACTCACTACATCAATAAGAATATCAAGCGGCCCTTTCCATCCTCTGACCAACTCCGAGGCATCGTGCTCCTTCCCCTTGGACTGCCAATCCTTCTCTCCAAAGTATCCTTTGAATGCCTTCTCTCCCCACGGAGCCTTCAAAGGGTTTGCAATAGGCGCAAAAGCACTGCAACTCTTGTATTTCCCCGGGTTCTTCAAGAACAGTGTCAACGCTCCATGGCCGCCCATGCTGTGCCCAGTAATGCTGACGCGTGTTGAGTCGACTTGAGAGAATGCGGAAAATACTGTCCTGGGTAATTCGTCGGTAATGTAGCTGTACATCTTATAGTTCGAGGACCAAGGAGAAGCAGTTGCGTCGACGTAGAATCCAGCACCCGAACCGAAGTCGTACGAATCGTCTTCACTTTCGATGTTGACTCCTCCTGTCGATATTTTTGTAAGCAATAGAACATTGTAGGAAAAAAGTTTTGCTTGTCCTTACTCGGACTCGTGTCTGGGTAGAGGATAGCAATGCCATGTTTGCTTGCGCCATGCTGGAAGAAACCCTTCTCCGAGCAGTTGTCGGGTGTGCAAGTCAAACCAGATAAGAATATAAGCAGCGGCACTTTGTACATTGCATTCGTAGTGGCTTGAGGAGGTAGAAACAAGTTGAAAGCCATCTCGCAGCCAGTGGTTGAGGCATTGTGAGAGAGTTTCAACAACTTTCCTCCGAAAGAGGCAATGGTAGCTTTGGTTATGACAGACATTCTATGGATGTTAAGGAGGCCTACGGCGATAGTTGTAGGAACAGGCCCCTAAAGTGAAGAGCAGACACGATATTGTTTGTACCAGTGCTTGCTCCATGATGGTTTCCTGGGAGTTTTCCCAATGCGGGAAACATGACGTTCAAGCTTGGAAGGGAGCCCCCGCAATGGACCGGAGGACTACCAGCAGGCCGCTGGGCCGCCAGTATGCTCCCCTATTCAATGGACAATTCAATCCATTATTTAGTGCTGTTAATCTGCACCAAAATACACCTATCCTCCCTGCGCATGGTTTGCGCATGGTGGATGTGGAAAGTACTTCCTTCATCTATATCAAGGGATGATACATCGCTTGAGTGGCACAATGCTAGAGCTCTCATGGCGACCAGAGCACCCACCAAGCCATTAATTAAATACTTAAAATGTACGAGCACGTATCTTGCACTCTTCACTATTTCTCAATCATGTCCAGATGATAACAGAAATCGCCATTACGATCAAATCGACATCCCAGCAGCTCTTTTAGAAGCCCAACTTCGTAGGTTCTTCCGAGCAATTGTTATCATGCCCTGCCCGCGTTATTGCTGCTCCCCCTTCCTAAATATGCGACTCCCGCTTTTCCTCAATCCACTGATTCTCCCCTTCCACCTCTCACCCATCTCCCCACTATGCCTCGTGATCTCGTCTTCAGCACGACCTGGACACAGCAAACCTGAGTTCAACGAGGGCGTTGCGGGTGTAGAAGGTGCCTCCTCGATGTTCCATTCACCACATTGGGGAAGTGCCTCTACTGAGTCCATTGACGAGGCTCCTCGAAGCTCAATGACTGTGTCCCGCTTGCACATCAAAAACAGCCCCTCTCCTCTATCGGAATGCACGATCTGATCATACGACTTCTCCGACGAGGTGGGCCTTGATTCCTCCACCGCCAGTGATGGTTCTCGAGAGCGCGGCTGCCGCATCGATTTCGACGACCTGGGTCGTGACGGCCTAGAGAGAAGTGATGGCTGTGTCGAAATGCTTGTCTGAGACGTAGAGGCCGACCGTGGTGTGTCTAGGGTCTGGAAGGTTGCCATTCTTGATTGCAGCGAGCACCACGAGGTGGAGGACTTGCTATCGAGGTCTGAGAACCATTTGTAGAGAATATGGTGCTCCAGTCTTGCTGCCGTGTGGTTCCATGCTCCGGGCATGTCTGTCCCTAACTCTACGCCCTCGGGGTCGTACTCCAAGATAGAGGGTGGGCAGGGCTCAAACTGGAGTGCCATGATGAAGAATACCAGATTCTATGACAGAGGAAGATTGGAGCAGGGTCTATTTTTAAGAGCTTTGCCTGATATCTTCCACAAGACCAAGCGATAAGCAGGAAGGGTTGGAAAGGTAATATCAACAGGTGGTCAGGTAGAGAACGGAAATTGTGCGTAGTGGAAAGCGACGACGCTCTCGCCTTTTGGCTCCTTGACCGTTTCAATCCTTTATCACCAACGCAGCCACAGCCTTAGATAGGCTTCCCCGTTGCTTCCCCGTTGCTTCAATCTCCTAAATACATGTCTTAACTAGTGGCCGTTACTATATGCATGTCGGGGTGACAGCTGGGCAAACAAATAGTCACTGCACTGTGTAAATCAATAGAGCATTCTATGCTTGGCAATGAATTATTGCCCCATCTCGGGGTAAGTGGAATAATAACGGGTGATCATTGGCTGAGTCGTAGCACCGTTCTGTTGAATGATCTGCATGAACTGGTGATGGTATCTGATAGGATGAACGGCCCTATTGTGGATTTCCCTAGTACTAGGTCGTGTGATAAGGAAGTGTGCCGATTGGTCCATGTCAAGGTATGCGGAAATGAGGTGATGAGACTTGCAGTAGAAGGGGGCCGGCTCCGTGTCAGACTCAAGAAATTCATGTCTGGACTATTACTAACTACCTTTGTGCTTTTTTCCGATAACGACCCACGCTTTGCTACCCAAGGCTACGCCATGCATTGATCATGTGCTTTCCAATGGCAGCCCCTGGTTTACCTGCCTGCTTTCTGTACGCCGCTGAACTGAAGAACGAACTGAAGAACGAACAGAATGCAAGAAACCAATAGTGCGGACTACCACTTCAAATACACCGGTATACCATAGATGACTGGTGCAGCTCCATTGAGGTACCGCAATACGCAAGCATCCCTCGCCTTCGCCACAGCGTCATCCAGGCCAACTTCAGTCTGTGTTTGTTCTCCAGCAGGCCTATCACGAGGGCCTGCATTCTGTTTCTTTGCCCTTCCCGTCCCCCTTGGCTTCGTTTTCCGTGCTCTCTCTTTGGTGTTCTCCACCACAACACTTCTGTCAAGCAGTCCCCAATTAATAAATGTTTCCATTGCGAATCTGTCAATATCCTTATCTGTGACGTCCCACAAAGTTCCCACTACCGCCGCCGAGCCTCCGTAAAGGTAGTTGTACGGCACGCCATACGGTTCGAACTGGCCGCATTCGACCATCTTGCTGCTACTACATCCCATCAAGAATGTCACCGCACATTGCTTCAGTCGCTTGATGGTGCGCCCTCGGATGTATTGGGCACCGCTGCCGTGTCCGAAATAGAGGCAAAGATCTTTATCTCGCAGGCAGGACTCGAACTCTATTTCGGATGGCGCTCGGTTGACTATGGATGTGTAAGTGGCAAGAGAGTGACTGAAAGGTCCAAGCAATGTCTCTTGCGTCGAGGCCAGATCAGAAGACGGATTGAGTATGTATGCGCCGTTGCACGCATCGATATGGAGACCAGAACTAATCTCATTGTTCTGTCTCATCCGTAATAGTCGTTCTTGCAAGCAAGCCAAAGAAGGCATCCTACTGACTGATTGCCCCTCCAGACAAGGGAGTGACTCCCACGGAAAACTGTGCAGACCTTGATCTAAGATTAGAATTGTATGACGTCCTTGATTTGCAGGAGCAGCCCTAGCAGCCTCATGGTAGCTTCGTAATGCATCATTGACTTCCAAAACGATAGCGTCAAAGTCAACCTCATCGTAGGCGTTACGTTCGTCCTGAAATTGTAGAATATCAATGACAAAATACAGTAGATCCATGATAGCGTCATCAAGGTCACCCTTATCAGGATGTCCGAGAGCAACGAAGAGCTCCAACACGTACGGGTGCAAATGCATCCTTGGTTTTGAAGCGGCGCCAGCCTTCCGGCGCGAAGGTAAGTGTCGGTCAAGTGTTCGCGAAAGAGATTCCAAGAAACGAGAAAGTAGTTCCTCATCATGATACTGATCAGAAAAGACTCCTCGAAAGCCCCCAAGCCAAAGAGTCTCTATGTTTTCCAGCAGGGACGCTAAACGAGCATCCAAGGCCTCCCTAGTTGCCCACCACAGTTTCTTTGCCTGCCTGTTCGACCCAGCTTTCATATCGTGAGCTGTTAGATTGGCATTGCTAATGATATCGCCTAATTCACTATAAGCTGTGTGGAATCTGAAAGGTTCTTCGTCCAAATCTTCACCGGCAGACCGATCTAACGGCAGTCGTAACAGAAAGGGTGAGTAGTTCTGCCGAATTTTGGAGATGATCATCTCTGATGAGTCGTCAGCCATAGCCATTGTTATAACGTTCCATGACGGTGGCAGGGTTTTATGTAATTGCTGCTGCAGGAGCGCACAGTCAAGAGCTGATGTTGTGCACTCATCGCAATCACGAATCTCTGGCCATGCAAAAACCCTAGGTTTATCGCCGAGGACATTGTCCGCACTGATAGACGCGACCTCTCGAAACCAGCGCATCGACTTGGGCGCATTAAAGTGACAAGCAATTTGAAATGTACTCAGACTGGTGGCATCTGAAAGGGCGGTGGAAATTAATTGCACGCGAGTCAACAGACAGCAAAGTTCGTTCGCAACCGTGGACGCGGAGCTTGAGAGTGATGAGTACAAGAACGACAATAGCAGCTCACGAGCATTGCTCAAGAGCTCTTTCGGCTTCAGTAATGCGGTGGGAGTCGATGCCTGCTTCTTCATGGTCTTCTTGCGCGGACTGCCAACCGGATTGAGACGAGTGCTTGTCATTTCACCTTGCGCACCATTTTCGTACCGTAGGCCAACTTCTGCTTCCCCTCGGTGAGTTGGAAACGCTATTGAAGATTCGGAGAGAACGGAATACACAGCATCCGACTGAAACAGCCGCAAGGCGTCAGCCAGCATCAACGTGGCTTGCAGAACGGAATGCTTCACATCAGTGGCGGACGGCCGAGCTAAGCATATTACTTGCTTAAGCAGATTCATAGCATCTTTTTCACATCCGGACTTTATGCAGAGGCTAGACTTGAGCAGAAGAGCTTCGGCTTGCAAAGCTTGCATCCAAACGCTGCCCGATATTGGCGCTACAAGCTCACGAGCTGGAACATCCTTAACATCAATATGCGCTGCGACACCAACAACCTCGTTTGGCTGTTGGTGCGGCTTACTTGCTTTGCTTGCACGTTGGCCCGCAGACCGAAAGGCCCTTTGGGTAGTCGTTGCCCTGGCGGAGCTTTCTTCTTGCGTTTTGGAGTGAGAAAATAGATGATCTTCAGTCTGAATCTTAGACAGTGCTTTCTGCGCATGTTCGGTAGCTTCCAAGCCCCGGTTGAATTCGCCCCTGGCAAGATGTGCACTAGCAAGTACCATTGACACCCGAACCGAATCCATAGGAGTACCAGTATCTTTGATGTGACTCGCGCAGAGGTCCAGCATTAGCTGACTACCCTGCAGGCGGCCACCTTGAGCCAAAAGAGCTGCTAGAGTGGATGCTGATCTGCGAAGAAGAAAGTCGGACTCTATAGCCTCAGCAACCTTCTTCGCTTGCTCGCAATAGTAAACAGCATCCTGAAAGCTGCCATGGTGAACAGACAAGCTGGACAGATGGAGAAGGCCTTCGAAGTGAATCTGCACATAAGCCCAAAATGCAGCAGCCTTTGGCGACGAAGCCTTTAATTGGACTTCAGTAGAGAGTGTCATGTCCGACAGGTCTTCAGTGAGCCCCTCAAGTTTTGCGTCCTTTCGTTCCACCACCACGGGAAGACGTTTTACACCAAGTAGCTTCTCAAGCATACTCCACAGACGGATGCTAAGTCTTACGCTTTTCTTCGCATGCATGATAGCACTATCTATGTCTCCGTGCTGTAAGGCAACATCAGAGGCAAGACAAGCTGCTTGAGCTAGGTACTTGTGCTGGGCAATTCGAGGACCAGAGAACCCGCTTTCTTGGTCCGATATGAAGTCGGCTTCATAGCGCCATTGAGCAGAGACTAAGTGCTCTGCCGCTTTCTCACAGCTAGACAGCGCTATAAGATATTCTGCATATGCAAGATGCCACTGCAACGCGATCAGTGTCTTAGAGCTGCTCTGAGTCAGATATCTTTCAGCATTTGCAAGAGTGCGACCAGCAATGTTGGTCAACCCCATGCGAGTGTATTGCAGCCCAATATGAGTGGTGCAAGACACCAGTGCAGGAACATCTTTTTCTGGCTGGAGCTCGAGTAGATGTTTCATCAATAGAAGCGCATCAAGCTTGATTTGCATGAGACCAAGCATATCTGTGTAGTCTACAACGGATTGCACTTGCGCAATGATAATTGCAGGGTCGTTGACAGAACGCAAAACACAGGTCCAGCTATCGCACGAGTCTCTGGCCATGGTGTGAAAACTAACAAGATGTTGTAACAGCTCCACAGACGTACTACCATTTTGAAAGGCGTACTGAACCAAGACGAAAGAATGAAGACACCTGGCTGAAGCTGACCGACCCGGAAGAATGTACTCGGTAGGTCTATCCATGCACAGTTTCACGGCCTGCTCAGGCAAGAATTGACACGGGCGTATACTATTTCTTGAACAGAACGACAAGACCGTAGATATGAAGCGCAACTGATACAGCAAATGTGTACTTTCGCTGTATAACGAAAGTACAACCTCAACAACTTCCTTCAATCGAGGGTGGAGATTCTGCGACACCAACATATCTCTCAATGCACCGAATTGCTTTTCGAGTAGCAAAGCTCGCTCCTCACGCTTGAGGTCTGCTTTGTCGTAGAAGCACGAGGATGGAGGATCGTGCGCGTCCCTTATAAGCAGTCTAGCGTACGCAGAAAGCACTCTTCCTAGGATGAACCCCGCGGAATCAGCTTCAACCCACATTTGCTGAGGAGACTGGGTAGGTTCCCTTTCAAAAGCGTTCGAAAATATGGCATCTTGTAAGTGAGCAGTTATGGCAATTGCCAGAACCTGGCGGGCGCTCTTAATTTGCTTGAGCTCAACGTACAGAGCAGCTGCTCTCTCACATTTGACGGCAAGGAAGCCTGTCCGTGCCTCAGCCGGTGTAGACCTCTCTAGGGGTTGTATGGATCTCATTAGTATTGACACGAGGTTGAATGAACTTGCACCGCTCTCCTTCTGCTTCAGATACCACGACCAGAACATGTTTGACACTTTGACGTCCGTGTTCGGAACGACTTCGCAATCTTCATTCATTATCTTTCTGACGGCAAGACAATCATCCAGAGCAGCAGTACAGAACTCCCACGAAACATACTGATGGGTAATATTAGAATGTACAGCTGCAAGAGCACTTTTCGAAGACTGCTGTGCTATCAAGGCCAAGTGTTGGCCTCTTTCAGAAGATTTGGCAACACACCTTGCTTTAGGCTCATCCTGACGCTTGAAGCTAGTATAGCGAACCACAAAATGCAGCACACCGAATATGATGCGAATACAAACATTGGATAAGCGGCTGTAGCTTTCATCACACGGAGCCGACTTCTGTAGCTTTTCGCTGATTTCCGTGAAGCGCTTCACAGCTGCCTTCCGCAGGCTTGATGCTTGTATGAGCAAATCCTCCATTTCTGTTGTCGTGCCCTTTAAGGGCCTTTCGAGAAGGGTAAGCGTCGTCTCCAACGTGTGGATAAGATCCTCGGTTCTGGATCCAATGTCTAGAAGCAATGCATCGGCCAGCTTGCAATAGCTGATTACGGCCGGCAGTCCCGAACGATCAGTACATAAGCCTATGAGATCATGTAGCAGAGCTGTAGACTCCCTAGTGGAACCGGCAGCTTCGGCCATGTTCTGTAATGTGAGCATGACCGCTGAGCTGGGCTGCAGTGTCAATTTTCCATCGTTGAGGGCGTTCTGTGTTTCGGAGAGCACATTCAGTAGTTGATCTAGACACCCTTTGACCAGCACAAAATGGGCCTTCGTTATTTGACTAGCTCTTCGACGTAGCGATCCTACATAATGGTTGAAAGGAACCCATACCTCCTTATCAATGTCAGGTTGATGGTGTGCAATTTGCCACCAGTAACAACGAATTTGTAATGCGAGACATTGCATTCGGAATTGTACTTCTCTGTAACTGAGGCTCGTTGGCTTTTCTGAGGTGCCATTCGTAGGTACCGAACATATTGAAAGTACATTTTGCGACAGGGCATGCAACTGCAGTGCAGCTTTCTCGGCAGATAGCCATCCTCGTTCCACACCGTGGAGAAGTGCGCGGCAAGGACTTCTTGCATTAGAGGGATCAAGCTGTTCCAGAAGATTCTCGCCTGCCTGAGAACCATCATCAACAGCGATAAGCTGTAATACTTTAGCTTGGAAGGCAGTGATGAGTGCAAAGGTTATCGCATTGTTGCCACAGTACTCGAAGTCAATGCATTGATCCAAGGATCCGTACGACTTTCTGCCCACTTCTGCGCCGTTCATGGGATGCTCTTCTTGTCGCCTGAGAATGTGCTCTAGGGCCTTTCGTACATTCAAGGTCTCCTCAATTGCTGAAGCGACAAGGCCGAGACCCTGCAGCTTTGAGATGAGCACCAGAGCACCCTTTTCAAGCTGTTCATCTTGCTTCTCCGTAGCACTATCTCCACCTTTTGAGAGCCGCAAACATTGAAGGCACGTTCTTGCACATTCTGCCGTCGCAAGAAGAGTGGCCTGGTCAAATGAGGGTGGTGTAGGCTGGGATGCCTTCCGTTGTAACTCTGGTGACTTTGGCCGCAGACGTTGGCTTGGAGCACCTGGTTTCGAGGTCTTCTTTGTAACACTCGGAATGCGACCCTGCGTTTCCTTGAGTGGACTGCGCGTATTTCCTGACTGCACATAGGTTGAAGTTTGCCGTGCCTTAAGTGCGTCTCCCAAGTTCTTCAGCGTCTTATTGAACGTGACTGTAGCCAATGCTACTCGCCTGTTCACCGGAAGGCATTTGATCGGTAGGTCCGGACAACTGAGTATGGTAAAGTTTGCAATGCTCCCGACCTTAGATTCGTTCGTTGGTTTAACAGCTCTTGTAGCGGTTGCAGTCTTCTCTTTAGTGGATTTGGGTGCTGTTGCGCCGTTCCAAGCATCTTTGGCTGTGTCATCCAGGCCCAATAACGCTCTGAGAAGGCTCAATGTCGGCGCGGAACAGGTGCCTGCTGATTGAGTATCCGCGGAGACACGATCAACCTGCGCTTCACATAGCACATTCGCGACCGTCATCTCCCTAGAAATGTCATCTCTCTAGCAATAACATCTCGTTAAGTCATATGATCATGGCTTTGCTACGGAGTAAAAGCATGTACGGGCTTGTTGACCTGGAAGAGTACGCCTGTGATTAAAGCTTCTTTCCCAAACAGGCTAAAGCTATACATCTCTCGGATCACTTTTAGCAAAGTTTAATACTACCAAACAAAACTTGCTGCACGCGGAAAGATATATGATTGAGGTGACGAGTCCAGTCATTGAGATCGGGAGAAATGCACAGACATGCTTCATCCTACCTAAACGCTCTGAGATGCACCTTTGAAAACCGCACAATACAGCTCTCGGTTCGTACTGGAAGCTTTCTACAAAGTCGCAGTGTCTCGTCCAACGCTCGAACTCTTCCCAAAGTTGCACAGCCTTCAATCTGGCAATCACTTATTCCCCGGACCCTTCGCAACAGATCTGACACGGCTTCGGAGTCGAGTCAGAAAAGGGTAACGAATCCAGCAACGTATTTCATCTGGATTTACCTCCTCATCGGCTCGCAGGCAATCCGAATCATCCAACTCCAGACGGAATTCAACACGTTCATGCGGCGCGCCGAGCTCAAAATTGAGAAGCTGCGCGAAGTCATAGAAGCGCTGCAAAGGGGCGAAGAGATCGACGTGGAGAAAGTCCTGGGAACTGGCGATGAGATTCAGGAGCGCGAATGGGAAGAAGCGCTTAAAGAAATCGAGAATGAGGACAGAATGTGGCAGACGAATAAACAGAAGAGGAAGGAGGAGAGAGCAAGAGCTCGAGAAGAGGCAGCACGGGAAGCTACCAAAGACACAGCAAGCCCGGTCAACGATGCTATTGAACAGCATGCCAAGGCTGAAGACGAAGCGCAAGAGGGACGAGAAAGAAGACCGAGACCACCAGGATTCTACTGAAATATCTTTTATAAGAAGAAATGAGTCTACGTGAGCTGCACCTCGTCCGTTGTGACCTATAGAGTTGCTCATGAGCGGTCCTCGGGTGCTGGACTGCGGCTACCACCAAATCTGCCACCAAACCCTCTAAGGTCTCGCCTGAAGAATTTGCCAATGTTCTTTAGATTTTCGTTGAGCTTAGCACCTGCTTCAGCACCAGTGCCAGCCAACGAGGCGGTGGCATTGTTCATCGGGCCATCTGCATTCGGCGGACTCTGTGCTCCATCTCGAGGGGTGCCAACTCCAAGACTAGGGCTAGCAAAGCGATCCATGATGGCATCACCTAAGCCCCTGGGGTCGAACTTCATGTTGGCAGGCAAGTTTGCTGTACTCAGAGTGGCTGCTGCGCCTGCACCGAGCTGTCCAAGACCCTGCACAGCAGCAGCAGCTCCCCCGGGCCCAGCTGATGTACCGGCAGCAGAAATGGTCAATGGGGTGAGCAGAGGAGACTTCTCAACAACGCTTGCTTTGTATCTTTCGCTGAGCTTATGCATCTGATACAACTCCACGAGATGATTCTGTTCGTTCTTGTTCTTTATTCCTTTAAGGTCAAGGATTTTGCGGAAGTTGGCATCGGAAAGATCAGCAATGTGGACAAGATAAGCTTGGATTAAGGCTTCGGGCGGAAGCGGATGTACTTGGAGTGTCTTCAAGAGCGGCTCGACCTTCGAAATGGATGTGTGGACACGCTTGGTGAAAGCGGCAGGCGGGGAAGGAAGAATGTCTAGCAAGGTACTGCGAACTGCATGCGTGTCGAGGAGCATCTGGTATCCTATCAGAACATTACAAGCAGAGGCAGGGCATAAGAAAATCGTACCTGCTCCGCTCCACCTTCAGATATAGGTTTGCATTGCACAATGTTTGCTAGATAAGCATTCGCAAGCAGCTCGACGAGATTGTCTGCGAATGCTCTTGCATATTGCGGCTTGTGCAGCATGCCTACTATTTCCGAAGATCGATCCTTGATTCGTCCTGTCAAGCCTGCAACGTACGAGCTTTGGTCATCTACACTCTCAATCTTGCCCCAAGCGATATTTCTCATCTCTCGCCATGATGGCTCCAAATCCACCTCGACTCTACGGACAAGACCACGCACCGATGCGCTAGCGATGCCCATAAAAGCATCGGCTTGATTTTGCAGATCAACAGTCGCTCGAAACGGTTCACCAATACGTGATTTGATCTTCTCTTCGAGAGCGCTGCATGTGTTGTAGCAGTAATCGGCTGTGTTGAGGACATGGATCAGGTCCTCCGTTGTGGGTGTGCGCGAAGGTGTTCCTCCAGTAGGACGTTCCGATATGTGGTATAGTAATACTTGCTGGGAATATTGCTCGAGATGCTTAGCAAAGACTCTAGATAGATCTAGAAGCGGTTGACCAGTAGACAGCTTCGCACATTGTGCAAGAGAATGCCGGTAGAAATTGAAGAGCTCTGTTGACGACGAGATGACTTGCTGAGAGCTGAAATCTTCTTCTGGCTGTCTCAAGGGCTGCTGTCGGTACTTCTGAATCATTGTCTGAAGCTGCTTATTTTGGGACTCAACCCAGACGCCAAGGTATGGTTCGAAGGCGCTTGATATGGGCTGGTTGAAAACAATAGATTCACTGGCTGACGTGACTGTATCGATTGAAGCTCGAGAAGTACTAGCGAAACGCTTTTCTAAGCTGTGTTCGAAGTCCAGGGTCTCCTGAAGACAAGATAGGAGTAGATTGACATCCAAGCTCTGCCCACTTCGTGTAGTTCTCGAGAGAATCCCCCTATAATCGTCCCTTGTACCTTCACAATACGCGTTTGCGATGACCTCGTTGACTCTCCACTGAGGAGGGAATATGGCAGCATGTTCATCGTCATAAGTCTTGAGCATCCGGCGAAACCATGCATACCTCCTCGAAATGTTGTCAAGAGATCCTGCCTCCTCACTGCCACGAAAAACTGACCGGTATTCTCTTAGCTGCGTATTGCAGTACCAAATGATGATACGTGACTTTGCATTCTCCCCTAGAGCATCCATTACCAGACATCCTTCAGATAAGATAATCCGCTTTTCGGCCACCTCTCCCTTTGCAAAGGCTAGCTCGAAGTCTTCACAGACCTGCTCCAGTAATTCTCTCTGGAGATCAGCAACGTTACGACTAAGGCTAGCAATCTGATCAACGGAACGATATGACTTAAAATGAGCCATGAGCTGGATGACTGCTTGTAGAAGCTGCGCACACTCGCGATATTGTCTTGTCTTGCTCAGAACAGCCAATTGCTCGTAGGCTGTTGTTAGCATCTGCAGCCTTTTTAGAGCTGTCATGGACAAGGTCAAGTTCTTCTTGGTGTTGTCAAGCTGCTTGATATCTGCTGTCATGTCTGTGATATTCTTCTCCGTCTGCAGGGCTCTCTCTCGAACGTCCTCGATCTTCTTGAGGAGCTCTGACAGCTCGGCCTGTGAGGCCGCCATCCGCTTCATGCAGTCAGCGTTCGATGTAGTCTGCTGTTCCTCAAGTAGATCAATTTCGTCATCGAGTTCTTCTTCGTAGATTCTGATCATATCCGTGGCTTTAGAAATAGAGGAGAGAGTTGAGGGATGAGAGAACATTTGATTTAGATGATCGATAGGATCGTAATCCTCTCACCGGTCGTCAGCAAGTAGAAGAAATCATGTGGCGTATACTCACTAGAATTAAGCAGATCGTTTTCTGAACCATCGGTCACTCCATCGGACTTCATATTGAATTTGCACGTGGCCAGTCCTTCAGCAGCTTTATACTACGATTGCGACCGTAATAGGGAGGATGCGAAGTCCCCATTCACCTTGATAAGATGCTTTTGCTATCATGGAGACGGGGCTCTTGCACAGAGCTTTGAACAGATGGGTGTTTTGGTCGAAAATGGTACCGAAATTGTCGTTCAGGCACCTCGCTGGTTAAGAATTGTAGTTTGTAGGGCTGAACTACGGCTTGGTTACAGTAAAAGTTTTCAATCTCCATTACTTATCCGCAACGAACCAAGCATCCCATTCGACACCAGCAGCCGTTCTTGTGTGAACCGGAACAACGTATTCTCTTCAGCGAATAGCTATATATCAGGATAAAGCAACTGTCTTACTATTAGTGACGAACCAAAGTATGTATAATTATTCTGTTCTGTCTGCCCCAGTTTGCATTTTCTTATGATGATTCCTTTCGAACCTTATGCCTTAGGAAGAGCCGGAAGAGGTATGACAGTCGTCCAGATTTCTCAGTATCGTCATATGCTGTAGTAATTATCACAGACTGTTGTCGATGCTTAGAGCGGTTCCTCTGATACTATCAAATCTTGAAATTCACCTGCGAATCTTGATTTAAGTCGGTTTCCTGATCAACTGTTTAGGACATCATACATCATTGACCACATGGCAATGGGGGAATTCCCCCTCGAGATTGCCCTTAGTCCTCTGGGGTGAACGAAACTGAAGCATTCTCCATCCTCTACACTCTGAACTTCATACACTTTGAACGTTGGTATTTTCCTCTTTCACACTTGGTATTGCTATCTTATGTCTAAACGTTCGACTGGTTATGCTCCTACATGTTCCTGTATAATGGCTGGTTGATGTGGATAGGTTTGTGCCTCAAATGAGTCTTCTCTACGTCTATTTCTACGTTGCCAAATACCTAAGACCATTAAGCAAGACGCTGCAATCGAAGGAAGCAGAGCAAAATCAGTTTACCACATTTAAGTCTCTCTAAGGTCGGCGGTATGCGCAGTCCTTAGGCCAACTAGATCCTCGAAGCTGTGGCCAGATCATGTCCTCCCTCAGTCATTTTGATTCGAGTTCATCATGCTTCTACTTGGCAGCGGAGTCACAACATCCAGCAAGCAGCGGTTATCCCTATTTGAGAAATTTCAAAGCCATCGTTGTGAAGACGGGCCTGAGCGACATATTAGAATTTGGACCTACCATTTATAACTGCTTTCTGCAAGTGACCTGCAAAGATGCTTTGTAATCTGCACCAGTCTGAGTCGCTTCAGAAGAGGGACACATCAACCACTCCAACAAAAGGACAGCGCATGTGGGTTTCGAACCACAATTAGTTGATGTATCCTTGCTTCGCTTTCCCTAGCTTGGAAGTGACGAAAGAGCTCGGCATTGTACTTGTTGCTCAGTAATACGATCGTCCAGCGTGCGGTGTCACGCCGGCGCTACCAGTCACCACAATTGCCGCCTGCCGCCCGTCATCCCGAGTTACTACTAATAACCATTTTGCATGCTTATGCAAATCCGCCCCTGCCCCCCACGCTGAAGTCCCAAGAGCTCCCACTTCGATTCTTCTAACTCCTTTATCAGCGATATTTTGTCCCCTTGAAGCTGCAGATCGCTCGTGTAGAAGTACGTGAGATGACCATAGATGTAAGAGAACGGGGCCAAGACTAGAAAACCTTCTATCCGAACGTGAAGCGCTGCCAATTCAATTGTTGTTGTTGTTGTACCTGACCAAGCCAACATGCCATATAGCATCCGTGGGTGCCAGACTTCCGGCCATGTTCTCCAATTAATCCGAATCGCAAGGTTGACGCTCCTCCGTCCTTAAAAGTCAATATCAGATGTTAGCAAGCAATCCTGCCTCTTATTACGTGCAAATCATCCCCACCAACCGGGTTCTCATATCTAATCCTTGATCCGCAAAACGGCCACGTTGTGTTTCGTAATGCAGGTGATACCAACTCCTCGGGTCTGCGAGTTATTTTTTCACCGTATCTACGTTTCACAGCATGCGGCTGGCTCTGATCATTACCACTTCGGAACAATCTGACAGACGCCAATCAGAGCGCATATTATTCATCACCAGCGTAGTAGCATCGGGAATTCAGGCATTCCACCCAGAAGGTAATTGTAAGCAAGAACAGGCTAGTCCGCATTCCACGCTGCCGGAGAATCTCAATATCCGATGCAACTCTTTCTACGCCCCACGCGGTTGCAAATTCTAATGATCCTTCCTATCGCCATCACACCGTAGCCAACCTTCTAGATCCACTATTCCTTGCCAGAACAATGCTGTGCGACCTTTCCGTATCCACTACCTTCCAAAGACGTCCAAAATTTACAATCCCAGAATACGTCATTCGCCTACCGCCTTCCCGATACGAAACACCCAATGCATCCGGCTGAAAGGGCCAAGATTTGACTACACTGTTACAAAACAAAACAAGCAGAACATCCATGCATAACCATGATAAGCGGCATGAATCTCGGCCAAAACCCACCCCCAGTTCATATTGAAAATTACGCGCGTTACCATACCTGACAGAATCTTTTTGTTGCTTCCGTGATCGACCAGGCGCTAAACTTCCACCTACTAACGACCGTTGGGCTGACTGGGCTAACTGACAAATTCAGAGCCAACCCACATGGCAGAAGGATCCGTATTCCCCAGTTTCAGAGTTTGGTGCGACTGTTGGATTCGTGTACATGTTGCATGCATGCATGCGTGCGTGTATGCACGTATTGCATACGGCGTAATGCTCACCGATATCGAGATGGCACGGGATGGACAGCACGGGAGCGAAGGAGGGAGTCCAAGGGGTAAGCCGTGCAAAGGAAAGAAGGTGTAAACGGGATGCGTACCTGACATACTAACTACCCGGTTGGTTGCACTTATGGGCATGCGAACCTGGGGATTGAGTAAGTATGTTCAGATATGGTAATAGCTCACCGGAGAAGCTGCGCTACAGAGAGGTATGGGTATGGCTCGAACTGCCTCGCCCAGTTCAATCGATATGCTCAGCCAAGAACTGATTCTGTGGCAGAAGCATCCGAGATGTAGGAACATGATAATATAATGCTCTGAAAGTCCATCGTATTGATGTTTGTTTGTGGTACACAAAGGTAAGCCGTAAAACCCAGCTATGGCTGCTCTTTTTTTCTCATAAAGATAAAGAAAAGACGTACAAGTACAAGTACAAGTACATAAACGTCAGAATCGCTTGCTTGCTCAAATCAGACCAGTGACAGAGGGTAAATAAATCAGAACAGAAAGGTGAGGGTAGAAGTTGTCCGCTTCATGTCTCTTCCGCACTATCCAATGCCAATTTGGGGTATCAATATTCGTTATCGTCTTTACTTTCTGTGTCTGTGTCTCTTTACGCAGTAGCAGCATTAGCTGCACCGGCTTCTTCCATCCTTACCCCAATCCCGCTCTCATGCTGTCCATCAGCCTGTCCTCTTCGATGAATCCTCCTAACATGGTCCTTCATATTATCGACCCTCGAAAACCGCCTCCCACACCTCTCTCCTCCCTCCCCAACCCACTCACATAGTATCCTCGGGTTATGCTTCGCTTCATGTCTGGCCCTGTCTTTCTTGCTACTGAAGCCACCACCCATTCCTACTCCACCAAAGCCTGCAATTGAAGCTCCGTTGGCATTGTTGTTGCCACCTTCGGCAACTCTAGGGCCGGATTGCGGACAGCCTTTGATGCGGCAGAAAAGGTGTTTCGAGTGCCTGTTGTAGTGTTTGCGAAGGTCGCAGCCACGGGTGAAGAGGGCGCGCGAGGAGCAGTTTGGGTAGGCGCAGCGCCAGGTTTGGGTTGCGTTGGGTGACGCCTGTGGAACAGGGATGCCGTAAGCAAAAAGGGAATTCGATGATTGGGATTGAGTCACAGACGAGGCTGGTTGTGGTGTGGAGCTTAGGCGTCTGGCATATGCAGGTGCTGTAGATTGGAAGGTCGTGACGGATGCGGTGCAGTTGAGCGATACTGGGGAGCAGGATCGGGATATTGATGAGGATATGGATGCGGTGTTGCTTTCGTGGCTACTGTTGTAAGAGGTGGTGTGCGATGGACCGGCGGTAAGCATCCCCTCTTGAGGTTGGGAGGGGAGAAAGAATGAGGGTGCTTCTGTAGCCTGTGGTGTGGGAGGTATGACCCCACCTTCTGTCGAGAAACCATTTGAGTCGAAGGATGGATAGATGGTATTTGGTGGAAGTGTGTTATTGTAAGAATTTGGTTGCTGTGCGAATACAGGTAAGGACATCCAAGACTGATTATTCGGAGGTGGCGCAGGTTGCGATGTGTAAAGCAGCTGCTGTGATGCCATGGCTTGCGGTTGAGAGTAATAGGATTGATTGGAGGATGGGAACAACAAACGCTGGGCTGCCTCTTGATCGCCTTGAAACGCCATATCGATATCAAGGTCAACGTCTTGAGATAATGAATATGTGGAAGAGGTAGTGCCTGATGGCGAATGAGACCGGACGGAGGATGACAGAGACAGGTCGTGATGATGTACGGGTGAAACAGCAGCTAGCATGGTATCAAAGTCTAGGTCGATGTTGGTCTCCGGTAATGTGGACGGAAGGATCAGATCATCAAGACCGTATGGCATGGCAGCGTCAGCCGCGGTAATGGCATTCAGAAATTCTGCTTCGCCAGTGATTTGGATGTATTGTTCGAGAGAGTAAGAGTGCAGATCGTCAGCAGGGCAGGAGATATATGAGTGATCAGCAGGCACTGGCGAAGAAGTACTTGGTGAAAGAAAACCTAGCGCAGGTGATAATACGTCGATTAAAGAGTCGGAGAACAGGACGGGTTGGACAGGGGGTATGGGGTGATCTGGCGGAAGTTGCCAGTTATCTGTTAATAGTGGAAAATGAGCTGACAGCTCGGGGTCGTGCAATTCGTGCATTGGTGTGGGCATAGGCATGGGGCCACCGCTATCCTGGACCCTTGTAAGGCTTAGTTCCTTATCCAGCATGAGGGCTCGTGCACTTCCGGCTCCAGTAACCCCAGCCCGAAATTGCCGGACTGGGATATTACTAGGGGTGGTGGCATGCAGCCCTGCAGTTGCGGCTGAGGCTGTGCTGATCATTTTTGGCTGCTGCTCCCAGGCGCTAGTTCTTACTTGGTACGATTGGTTGCACGATGATTCAGAGTCGGCCCCTTGGCTTGATGATGTATTCTTGTCTGTGAGGATGATGCTATTTGCAGACTCCATGGTCATAGCTTTGGATGTGTCTTAGAAATGGTGCTGCCTTATAAGGTTATAATTGTTCGTAGATGCTTCCGAAATTCTTATTGTTGGTTTGGTTCGTAGTATTGCAGGCAGTGCTTGAGAGTCCGTCTATTCTCAAAGTCTCGTTTTTTGGCGTAGAGATGCGCCAGACCATTGATCCAAGATCAATCAGGTCTACATTTCGAGTGAGGCACAACCTCAAGCCCACTTGCAACGCTAGCGTCCCTAAATAGGTGACGGCTTTTCAGTCAGCAAGAGCGGCTCCTAGGAGTACTCATTGTGGATATGTCGAATAGAATTGCCAGATCAACTTATCCATAGCCAAAGATCTTGCCATGTACATTAGCAGATCCGCTGTACGCCAAATCAAGTATACCAAGACCACGGCTAGTTGAACGGCATATCCACATCCGTTCATTTGCGAGACACTCGTGAAGTCACAGTTATTCCAGCCGAGACCTCGAACAGCATGTTCGAGTTCCATGTCCGCTTCATGCAGCCACTTCAAACAGGGTCTGTGCTGGCTCACAGGTACAGTGACTGTTAGGTCGCTGTATTTTTGCGAGGGCAAGAACTTGTTGTCCGCAAGCAAACTGAAGCGTGGGATCACACCTATGTGTCCTATGCACGCGACGAGTTCCAAGTATTGCGTATCAGGTGGACAGATATCTCCAGTGTCTGTCCAAACAAATACCTGAAATATACTTATTGGTGGCAGACACGTCCCTTGCGGTGAAGCATTTCTAGTGGCCATTGATGCATCCGCATTGGCGTGCATTAGGTAAGTTCTGAGGCCATGAGAACAATCGTGACACCAGCATGTCACCCTACGCTGAACTGCTCCAACGTACGGGCAAGTCGATAGATCCAGCAAAGAGGGCTGAAATCGAGATTGCATGGTTGTTTCGTTTGGTTATACGTCAAAGTGGATCGGATCCGAGATATGTGCTTCTGCAAGGGGCAAAGCCATTCGTGGCTAAGTTGGTTAACGGCACACTATTTTAGAAGCTGTGAGAAGTTAATAATTATCGATGGACTCAATCGCAACGGCTTATTGGTGCCATACCGCGGTGGCCTTGCTAATCTTTCAAGGCTCAATGTAAACTATGTCTCAGGCCTAAGCAGTGCACACCAATGTCCCTAGCTAGGCGTCAGTTAAGCATACGGTTGTACATACCTAGTAATGCTTTGGAGGAGAGAGTGTGGTCAAAACAAAAACAGTGGCTTGAGGCTGGGTGAAAGCTTGAACAAAGAATCGAGATTGAAGGGGATGTTTATTTTATCACCGCTCGAGCTTGGACTTTCAATGGTACCTCAACAGTCATAGCTCTTGGCACATGCAGGGCAAGGCTGGCACGGGGCGCCTGAAAGCACCACTGCCAATTAGAATTATCGAATGACTGTGAGAGAGGAATGAATCGATGACAGCATGCAGACTGCTCCTTGTATGAAGGACGTCTTCATCTCCGCCAATTGAGGCACTTGAAGTACTGAATAAGGATGACAGACTGCAAGCAGAGTGGAAGAATGTTCTCCACGGCTTCAAAGTTCCTCCACCAGTGGCAGTCACCTGCATTTCCGTCTAGAGTGCCAAGCTCCAAGTAAGTACCACTGGCAGTTTGAAGCACTAGCCTTTCGAGGCTGGGGCGTTTTGGGTTACTTAGTGGAGATGGTTGGGGTGTGTGCACCACTGCAGCAATGCTACTACTCAGATAGCTAAGAGATCACATCTCACGCCTCTGCTCTCATCTTAAGCAGACTACAACACCTTTCTGAATACTTGATGGTACTACCCTCTGAGTCTCAGGAGAAGCTCTCGGATTCCTTGTCACAGTCACCTTCGAGCACTTTGATATTTTCCGGGAGCAGCCCTCCATGCTGCTCAAAAGCCTCACACCTCGCCACTGTCATGAGGTTGGACGCTAACTGCGGTGCATGGATACTTGAGTATCAGAAAACGCCGATTATGAACATCTGGTTACTTTCACTCACCCCTCAATAGGACCACAGGTTTGGCTTTTCGGTGAGGAGATAATTCAAATTTTGATGGAAGAGCATATTGATGCCTTTCACGCCACATAGTATAATTCCAATTTTCCAGGGCCCTCGGTCATAGACGGTTGTCCCTCCAACCTCCATCTAAAACAGATTTGTGTTCTCGATCCTAACCTGCATCTTGTCATCGAGTAAGGGCTATCACCTGTGATTGTGCTGCTCACTATTGCATTCCGGACACCGGAAAGGATCTATTCTGGCGGTCCATGGCTAATATAATACTATTGAGGTACTAACGAGAGGATCAACGATCCGTATGCGAGACTGTTCATTCCATCAAGGAGCTTTCCACGCAAGTCACCTTCTAAACAGTAACAGCTTGGCGCCGCTCCTAGAGCAGCACGGTCTATTAGAGTCCTGCCTATGCATTTGTCTCAACTCGAGGCTCATCGTTGCTAAACATTCCATGTCTGCATTAGCATCTCACCATCTTTACGACGAGTCGAATGAGCAAATACAGCTCTTTCATCGGCTCAGGTGGCTCTAATATAAGAACAGTACCGCTACATCGGGCGCCCGGCCAAACAAGGGCCACAGACAAGGCGCGGTCCCTATTGTACGATTGCCCATTGGTTAGCATTATCGAAATAGTATATTGAATAGAAAATGGTGCCTGAAGGATATTTGGGGAGTGGCATTCTGATAGTAGTCTAGTCATTTGAGTCCCACCAGGAGACGCCAGCGTAAATCAATCAGGGAACTTCGAGCCGAGCCAAGCGTTGACTTGGGGTGTCGAAGAACTGCTTTTAGACACATCATGAAAGACTGCCCCTCAAGAGGTTAGCGCTCCACGTGCTCTGCAGGGGCTTGACCAATAGCAGCCCGTGTTTTCCGCGAGCCTTGTCGCGCAAGACTCAAATTTGTGGAGGCTCTGCAAACCAATCAGGTAGGTAATGTGACCAACTCCCATTTGCACCACACCCCATCGCATCAGAAATGACTTAGCGTTTTAGGTCTCAGAGCATATTTCTATCATTCTGACATTATTCTGGAGATGAAATGGGTGGATAGTGCATCATGTAAACAGATATTGTTTGATTAGGCCTTTCGGCCCATCTACGCGCTGGTGTTGATGAATATTTGTAGAATAGTGGCGAGCTGAATTTAGTGGCTGGGGAGTTTTAAGCAGGAACAGACAAAGAGACCCTAAAACCGTTGCAAATGGGGATGTGGTGCAAATGGGAGTTGATCCCGTTAGGTCTGCAGCAACCCAAATTAACGTCAGAGCATGGTTCCAATCCGGGATGGAAACCAGGATAGTAGCATTTTCCAGCCTAGGAATTTCCGTCATGGCTGGCTGAAGGTGACTGGTGACCATTTTTGTTTTCACCGCCCTCGCCGGCTCCATTTCAGCCTTCGCTACTAAGCCAGCAGGCTAGCCGGTCTTAGTGATGGACATCGTCCCGGTAAGTTCCAGACTCCGGGCCATCGCTTCTCGTCGACCTTGCACTGCATCTTTCGTTGGTGTGATCGTATCTTCAGGTGGTTTAAATGACGCACGAAAAGTGGCTAATAACAGTCCATATGTCATAGTATGACGCAGAACAAGCAGCTAAGAAATCGGTTTTTCCTTAATGCTGCATTGCCTTGTCCGCAGATTTGGGGGCCAACTACCAAGAGAGCGCTAAAGCTACATAGTTTAGGCGTTGTTTCTTTTTTGGTTGGCGCTAACTTTAACCTAAGTTAGATCTCCCAAGAAACATTAACATTGAATCTTCATCCGCGCAGATGGCTTCTGATCTTGCACGGTGACGTCCTGGTCCAAAGATAGTCGACCCAACACTACTAACAGCTAGCCAATGTAGGAGCAATATCCGCGGGTCCTGCCTGGCCTTCCGTCGGCTTCAACCAGATGAGTGTCCTTGCTCATCATCTTCACATGCCTCGGGTTCATCCACAGGAAAGCCAGCATATTGTCTCTTGGACTACTGGACTGCGCTTGCTTCGCTGGCACTCAGAGTCTTTCAGCTCAAGGGATGAAGCAGCCAACCGCGTACACTCGAGGAGTATGGTCAGTACCAAGTTATAGATGAAAGACTTGAAGGACCACATGACTCATAGCAAAAGTTGCCTTCATCAATATTGGCCCTCACAAGATGTACATGAATATGGCATTCGAGCGCTTCCCTCTTCGATTATCAAGGAGCCTCACCAACGAAGGACAATATATCCTGTGCCCGCTGTACTAGTCAGAGTAGACTTTATCCAACAATGGAGGGAAAGAAAAAAATAGATATTCTCATGCTCTCAAAAAACTGTCTTACTGCTACCGCAAGGCTCTGGTTATTCTAGCTATGTTAATGCATAGAAGATGTCAAATCATTTACGCCTCCCTACATGCTAGGTCCTACGTCCACTCTCTCTCCCTCCCCCTTCCCCCGGGGTCTTGCACCCTCTCTCCGCCCACCACCATCTTGACGTTTCTCGAGACGTCTGTCTCCGAAGATAACACCAAAAGCCAACCAATGTCACGTATTGAAATCCGCCTGTTTCCGGGCCATGCATTCACCGGCCAGCCGGCCAGCGCTCTGACAGCAACGTGCTGGTCTCTAGGCTATCACTCTCCTCCTCATACTCTAACACCTCGCCCATGATTTCATGCCATATACGTCTCTTGCTCACCCAGCATTATGGACAAAGCAGGGGGGGATACACCCTTTTGCGTCAGTTGGAGCCCTGGAGGTTTTGGTGACCAAAAGGGGGGAGAAGGGAGGCGCAATGCAAAAGCTTTATCCCGGGAGGGATTGTATACACGGTATGGATTACCAAATACAGCAGTAAAGAAATCATTCTCAGAACATGGAGCCCGGCTACTGGCGGTTCTGATCACAGTCAGTTTATTCATGATGAGCTCACGACGGACATTGAATGAAAGGGACCACTAGATAGGTGAATGGGTGCAAGCAGACAAGCAAGCATGCAAGGCGCCCTGGATAGATGAGCAACAAAGACAGTTGAAAAATCAGAACTAAGCATCCCTTCATACCAGCGGCCCAAGTGAAGTACTAAGCAGATCCACCATCTTCAAGAGCTTACCGATGACTTTACTTCACTCCTCTGAAATGATTAGTAGTATGGCTTAGCCCAGCCACTGCACTTCACTTCACTCCACTCCATTCCGTCTCGACCACAATCTTCACTGATTCCAGATTTGAACCACCCACCCCAACCGCATCACTGCGTTGAAGAAGGGAAAGCCAAATATCTTTATCACCGCAGATCCCGACCATTTTTCCTTCTCTTTGTCCCGTCAGTCAGTCAATCAGACAGTGGGAGCAAACTAGTAGTGGTCATCTGTGTGAGGGATATCGTGTTTTGTTTAACTCATCCACCATCTGCCAGTATGGTGCAAATGTATATGTAGTCTCGTCTCTCCTCCCCTCCTCTCTACTAGCCAGGTGCCTATCCAGCACTCTTTCTCTTGCGAACAGGGAGGACCGGCATTCTCTCCAGCTCAGCTCGTCATCAGCCATGCTATGCAACTCTTGTGCGTTACCAACTCAGAATCCAGCCGTACCTTCCTCCATGGATATCATGAGGAGTGGGTACGGAAGGGAGATACAGCTCCCCGCTGATTCCTTCACGAATTTTATCGTCGTGTGCTGGAAACAGTGATTACCGGAAATAACCGCACGATGCCTTCACAGTACAATGTGCAGCATTCAGCACACTTACCTCAAGTGTAGCATGGGAACGACCAGAGACAGGTAGAGCCTGTCCTTCCTCTACCTCGACTTGAAAATTACCATGTTCGCAACTCTGCATACAGCGCTGGGTTAATGTGAGGACGAGGAAATGGGGGCAGGCATTGAGATGCGCATCTCTCTCGAAGCGGCAGGATCTGAACGAGAACGTTATAATCTCACTCTTGCCACATGGCTCTCATCACAAACTTACCTTGAGGATGGGGTTTGGTATCTGTGCTGCCGGCGTAATCAGTACTTCCTGAACGGGCAACCCTCCATATTGGACAGTGGTGGCCCAAGTCAGGACGTTGACCAGACGCGCCACGGTGGACCTGACCAGTGACACTTGCAACTCTACAAGGAGTATGGCGTGTGAAATGCTGGCCCACGCGGTATAATTATAGGTATGAACACTTGCGCTGAGAAGCATCCCTCGAACACAATGGGGTGCGGTGAATTTCAAACGTTGATGATCACAGGTATTGTGAAAGATTATGCCGCATGACAAACACATCCGCAGTCTGACTGTTATTTATTCACGCAATTCGAATAGGCTCACACAGCTTTCATCATCGATCTTTCTGCGGACCGGAAGAAAAGAAACTCACCTTCTAACCTTGAGATCTGGAATAGTCTTCTCTTCATCAACAACAGAGAACAGAAGCATCACATCAAATCCTCTCTGACAGTATCGTTTCCTGGAATATCTTGCCACCTTTCAGCACTCATTTTGCACGACTGATCTCCCACAACTTGAAGAGTACCAAGAGACAGAAAATTATTCCAGAGGGACCACCATGAGCTTCTCACCAGAGCGTCAAGAATCCTCGATTGAGCGTAATGAACTCTCGCCTCAAGTAAGCTCATTGCTTTTTTCTGGAAAGTGGTCTGAACTGACACAGACAAAGGCACTGCTGCCAAGCGATCTTCTTGAGTCGAGCCCGGAGATCGGCACTTCCAGCCAGACAGCCATTGATACTGTTAGTCCACTCATACAATCCACCACAACCGCTCAAAGGGTTGCTAGAACTCCACCTGCGGCAACAACTTGGGTACCTCGCCATCATGATCTGATCCTGGAGCGAAATGATCAATTTGTGGATGAAACGTGGGCATTAATGTCTGGAGGACCTTTACGAACAGCTGGTCAGCACACTCAAGCATCCCAGGTGGTGCCATATACTCCTGGAGAGCCAGGACCAGCACTGTCCAGCACACCAGGTCAGATGCCAGCGCAGGCCTCGTCGAGAGAGCAACGCCTGACCGAACAGCCACAGATCTTCCTGCCTCCTGGCCATGGTAGAACTCCACAACAGAGAGCGGCTGTTGCGAATTTCAATGCTGCAGTGGCTGCTCGTGCTAGGCAACGAGCCGCGGCCGACCGTGCAAGACAAGCACACCTTGCTACATCCCGGGATCAGCCGAACAATGAGAACATTGGCACGCCTCAGAACGACCAAGCACAGGCATCAGGCCCAGGTGAGCATCAAAGGGGACGCGCTGAGCTTGGTAACATTGCCAGTCCTGCAGCACCAACACCAGCAGCTGCAGCACCAACAACGACAGCTATGCAAACACCATTGCTGACAGATCCACCAATGACCCTTGAACCTGGTCAATCAATAGAATTCCCAATGGCATTCGACACAGCTCATCCTCTGTATATGGCCATCAACAGTTTAGGACAACCTGCGAACGATACTGATACCAGACCGCGAGCTCATGAAGGCAACTCCATCTTCCGCGATATGATGAACAGTCTGATCGCGCAAGGTAGAGCATGGCCCGCCACATACCGTCAAGTCCATCTTCCTCGGAACAGACACGTCCCATATGGAAAGGAGTTTCTGTACTATGGTGAAATGATCGACAATCAGCATAGTCTGTTCCCCAGAGCAGCAACGCTAGGCGGTGATCCGATAGCAATCAGAAATGCAAGGGATGGTGAAATCGCAGGTTGGCAGGATGCTGCATCAAACCCCAGAAGCAGAATTTATCTGGTGCCGACGCTGAATCCGGGAAGATGGCATGATGGGATGGATGGGTCAGAAAACTATCCACGTGGGCGTGGGCGAAGACGAAGATAGAAGAGGGCGTGCATAGTTATATATGGAGGCACTGGTATGTTTGACGATGGGTTGTATCTAGCTGAAGCAGAAGCATACCGCATTAAGATGTCAAAGTTGTGGCTGTGGAGCATCGAAGATGTGACAGATGGATGTGTCCAGGATGATGAGCCGGCAAGAAGGTTGACATCCCCTACCTTTTAGTTCTCGACTGGACACCACCACCCTCCCCTGTTGCACCTTTTGAGGCACTAGGTCGCCCTCCCAGTCAAGCAAAAACGTAGACCAAGCATGAATATGGGTATTGAACAGGTAAACTCTTCCTCCTGTCCCAGCGCTCTATGGACAACGGACGTACCTTTCCTTCTTTGATTGAGATCTTCAAAATTTAGCATTCCCGTCGACTTACATATGGAAAGTCACTGTAGCAATTGGGGAATTTCCTTTTGGTGTTCGTTCAGTATGCCAGAGCCAAAACATGGCAGAGTATTACCGGGCTCGATCTTCCTTCTGTCAAACAGCATCTGCAACCGATCTTCCGACAGTTGCGCCGATCATGTTCTGGTGACATTTGCCTGGAATAGGACAGTCACAAGCTTTTCGACTAATTTTCAGCCACCAGAGTCCTTAGAAGACAATGCATCAATCCAGACTGAGCAGCACATAGCAGAATCAGTTGGTTTCCAGCTCGTTTGAAAGCGAACAGATACTGCCACAACATTTTGAACTCTGGATGTTGCATGTTCACGTATGTGGTCTCAAAGTCGTCGCTCGCCACGTAACCGCACATGACTGATCCGTCTAGACTTTGCATCTCGTCCCGCAAGCAAATCCAGTCTCTGCGCCCTAAGCCGCTGTTCACCGAGCCGAACCGTCCACTTCATCGTGTCGTGAGATGGCACAGCCAACCTCACCGCCATCATTTATAACAGTCACTCCGCTTGCCTCCCTCATAGTACGAACTGCATACTACACCTTGCTCGATGTACGACGAGAACCTCTACATCCCGAGCCCACGGTGCTTGATTTCCTCGTTGCTGTCCATGGGTTGACAGGTTGGGTTATGGCACAGCAAGCTCTCCGAGCACGTCGTCCACAGAACTCGATTGAGGACATTGAAAGATATTTGTGGGGACAGGAAGCGCAGCGGAACAAGATGGTGCTTACGGAGAGATGGTTGTTGGACAAGAGTAGTAAGCGCTGGTTGGATGGTCAAAGATGGAAGGAAGAGCAGCAGCAGCGGAAAAAGACTGGAGCAGAAGGACTACTGCACTAGGTAATACATAGTATGTGCGAAAGAGAATAAGCAGCGCTCGAAGGACATGTACAGTTCTCTATAAACATGGAGAGTGGAAACTAGCCACATCCTAAAATGGCCTAGCTTGCGCATTATTACGTAGTACTTCGGTAGGTCTTTGAGCTCTAAGCTAGAATTTTTGTACTACGTGTCCGTGCAGCTGCGGTGGATGTGCACTTTACGTTCAGAATTATTCTACATAATCCCTAGAGCAGGCCAAATTCTTATCATTACTGCAGGGGCAAGACTTACTTACGTACTGCCATTGCGGAGGATGCCTGGCCCTTGTATCGAAAACTCGCTACTACTAGTCCACGTTAATAATACTTATGCCTTTTACTCCGTACCGTACCGTGTACCGTGGAAGTATAAACTACTGGTACGGAGTACTTGAATTGCCAAGGCTCGTTTCTTCGCATTTACCTCGGACAGCAATAAAGACCAAAAGGACCAGAAGGACCAGAAGGACAAACCCTACAGAACATTGCACTGGGAGAAATTGCAGCTATGACTTGCTATGAACGTTGTTCGTCAACCACAACAGCATATTCCCTTTTAGCTCTTAAAGATTCGTCAGCATGCCACCCTTGTATCTTCAGCTATGGTTCCATTTTCGACGCTTGCAACAGAATGAGAACGCCAGCAATGCAGACATGACAAAGAAGGTGGTATCATATGCAATCATTTCATCTGTTCGCCTGCCGTCATGCTGTACCGCCTTTCGTAATGAAGTTTTGAAAGAAAATCTTGAAGGCCCGCTGATCCAACTCGACCAAGTTTCGGAGATACTCATTGATCATGTCCTCGTTCATTCCCATATTCCTCAGTTCATTATCTTTCAGCCAAGAAAGATATTCTTGACCGGTCTTGAGGTAGATTGTTTTCTGCAGGCCGGCAGCTTCGGCCAGCACTTGTCTCGCCTGTGCATCTTTTGGATTGAAACCACGATTCAACGGAATCGCCCAGCAGAGAGGCGAGAATCGTGTCATCATGAAACGGTCAAAACCGGGTAATGAAGGTTGGGGCAAAGCTATCGCGGAGCCTCGAGCTGAATCCCCAACGGCCTCGGGCCCACCCCAGACTGAGCACATATTTGATAGCACTTGAAAAGCCATCTTTGCTGTGTGTGAATCTTCAGCGTCCTTCGCAAAATGTTCGATGGTCCCAACCAGTGTTCCAAAAAAGGGCTGATTGGTGGCACTGACGATCACAGAACCAAGATCGTTGTTCAGAATAATAATGAGGAAGTTGAGATATTCTCGCTTGAGCTCCGCAATCTGAATTTCATCATCTGTTCCGGTCGAAGGCTCGGAAAGGCCAGTAAACACTCTCTGCAGAAGGGGTGTGAAGAGTTCATCCAGTATAACCGAGATCTCGTTCTTGAACCCAAATATCACTTGTTCTAGCAGACGTAGGAACAGGGCCATTTCATCTTTCGTTGACGTCTCGGTCAGCAATCCTTCGATCCATTCTGGCAGCTGGGGCAGTATGTGAGAGCCTAATACACCAATAAGGCGAGAAAATGCGAAACGAGCCGCTGTGCGGATGTTGAACGAAGTCCTCAGCGATTTTAACGCCACAAGCGTTGCTTCTGATACACGTGCAAAGGCGCTTTGAACTTCAGGGCATGGAGGCGAGCCAGGTGCAGCCGAAGCGCTACCGGGAGTCCAGTCAGAGAAACCTCTTGCCAGTGTTCCAAGCGCCATCAGGTCATGGCGAACTTGCAGCACAGCACGTTCGTCGCCTGCCTTTGCCCCCGGCAGATGTTGTTCCATGTCCGCAAAGACTGGTCTCATAACAGATTGAGTATACAGGACTTGCCTATCGGTAGGGACAGAAGAAGCCCCACATATGCACCCAATAGCCTCGAAGAGGTACAACTGGCTGTTGAAGACTGCATCTGCCGTCGAATCATGGTCTTCAGAAGATGCTTCATCTGCTTCCTCTTCTTCAGGGATTTCGGCTTGGATGGGAAGCAGGTCGGTGAGGTTGTCAATGACAGTTTCGGCGACGTTGCCTATGTGCGATCGAAGGTATCGTACGTAGCGCTGAAAAAGATACCAAGACCGTGTCTTAACCTTGATCGATGGATGATGAACAAGCTGGAGGAAGTTCTGGAGAACAGGGTTGATATATTGGGTATGTTTCTCAAAAAATGAGCAATAGCGTACACAGAGTTCCATATATTGAAGCTGGGTGGCCGGATGATTGAAGTATCGAATGTCTGGGTTGTAACATTAGCAGTGGCAGTAAAGCAGGTGGGATGAGTGTGTACCTAATTCGACCAGTCTCAACATCATCTGTACAAGCTTCTCAGCCGCGGGAGAATTAGGTCGATTCTTTTGATACAGTCCACCTGACTTGATAGCGAGATCTCCAAAGGAGAACATTTCGCATAAAGCGAGATCCAAATCCCTCCAGTCCACGTTCGTGCCTTGGGTACCTAGATTTGCGAATGTCTGACCCACGAGATTTGTCACCGCATCCATGTAGAGCTGTTCATCGACTGCTGCAATCGTCTGCTGCAGCGTACCCAAGCGTTTCCGCAGGTATTGAAACTCAGCCTCATCGGTCTCGTCTTCATCGCCGCCCCAGGATGACGTATCGTCGTAACGCATCTTAGTAAAGATTGCCTTCAATATAGGGAGGAGCATAACCGTACGCTGCGGAGAGGGCCCCTCAATCTTGGCAGCTTTGCGTAGGAAGCTGAGAACTTCGCTAAGACAAGGAATTACAGTGGAGCAGACCTCATCATACTCGTCTGCGAAGAAGCGAAGAGCATGTGGTAGGAATGCCTGCAACAGATTCTCGGCTCTTTGCCAGGTTTGGCTCTCTTGGGGCTCTGAGTCAAGGATCTTGACCACGTCCAGAACCGTGTTGTTAACAAGCCTGGCCACTGTTTCGGCGAGGTCAGTGTCGTACTGGGAGCTAAATCGCCTCTCGCTTAATGGTGGGCATGCAATGAGCTGGGACACAATAGTTTCAAGGTTGAGAAACGAAATCATTTCCAGCTTGTCCTGTGCTTTCATCTTCTTGCCAATGATCTCGGTGAAGACGTCGACTGCTGCATCGCGGATGGACTCTTCGCCTTCTCGCAGGTTGGTCTTCTGGGCACGAGCGAGTTGTTCGAATAGAAGGTCTAGCATTCGCTGATTGACCACCAAGCCAATATCTATCCAGCTCACCCACCTGCCCACCGCCTTCAGACACAGCTCAGCAATTAAATCATTACTTTCGCGCCATTGAGTCAAGATTTCTTGCCAGGACACCGCAATCTTCTGCACGTCCCTTTCACGAACCATATCTTTTAGAATGTTTGCATGGTCTTGCTCTGCTCTCGACCGCGGAACCAATTGGTCACCAATCTCTTCATGGATAGCATTAATGGTTCGGAGGTAGAAAATAGTGCCAGAAGCATTGTCTGGTGGTCCATTTTGCGTTTTGCTTGCCAACTGGAGAACATCGTCAAAGTATGTCCGCCACTCATTGCCATATGACGTAGAAAAGAGATATGTCAAGGTCTGTGCGGTTTTGTTCTGTATTGAGGTGGTATCGAAAGCAGAGCCCTCATCAGCAAGATAAAGCCTGCGCAGGTATTCCAAGAGCTGGTCTTTGATGGTAGTCAGGACTTGTTTATCAAGTATTCCCGTCTGTATTCCGGTGTTCACAATTTCAAGACCAAATATGCGCACGACATCAGGATAACGAGGAGTTTTAGTGAAAATGGATAAGCAAGGCTGCCAGGCAGATGGATCATTTCGGAGTTGGCTACAATACTCGGTGGCCTGTATACGAAGGTTTTGTTCGGACGTAGGGCTCCAGGCAATTTCGACTGCGGAAACAATCTTTCGGGAAAAGTCAGGTCAGAAAATGGACAGTCAACCGTGGATAAACGTGCAGAACCTACCTGCTCCTCCATGCTGAACCCTGCAGACTAAGTCCTGTCTGATAGGTACGTGACGTTCCTTTTCCTTCCCAGATAAAGCAGGGTGTCTGGGAAGGATCTGAACCTCTGTCACCGCTTCATAAGTAGTCACTTGGAAGCTGCAGCTTCCGAAGTTCATGCCATATCGTTAGCTTCCCCGGGAATCTGTTGGTCAGAAGTCAGTACCGCTTAACGTGCTTAGGTAGTAATGTCAAAAATATCATATCACATGAGGCCAAAGGTGGTAGGCAGCGCTCGACCTGGCTTTGGGCGTGCCTGTGCTTGGCATCAGATCGAGTCAACCACCCGAAAGAGGCACTAGTACTGTTACCTCGGTACTGTACATTTGTACAAGAACAATTGTCTTACAGGTTATGTAAGATGTTTTACATTTCAACTGTGTTGGACTGCAGAAGCTTTAGATACTTAATTTGATCTACGGTATATACCACCAAGTCTGGTATATCCTGTTGTTCATATGATCCTTTCCAGAGTGTTTATGATATAACAAGCTTTCTCAATCATACAAATACAAATATAACAACACAGCGGCCGCCAAGAAGGCACATCAAAGCCCACGAGGGTGTGGCGTTGTATCTTGACTAGCTGTTATTAGCACAAGCCTAACAATGTTTGTGGGCTTCCCATAGTATATTACCCTACGGTGATTATCGTACATCTCGACAGCCCCCGGTTAGCTTTCTATGACAGTTTACAGCCACAGCGAGCAGACGCAAATCAAATGTTTGTACGAAATCTAATCCTTATTGTGTCTTCTCATAAGAATGTTCTCCATCATCTCAAACCCGTCAAGAGCTTCTCCGTATTTCTCAAAAATACCTTCTTGATAGCCGTCAGCTATGCGCTTAACGAACTGGCTTTCCTCCCACCGGTCACCGATCAGTTCTTCGAATGTTTCATTAGTCCGCCTTTCTAGCGACCAGACCGCCTTGTACGCTGCACCAAGAGCACAAGCATTTTCTCCGACGTCGAGCTTGTATATCCCCTCGCTCCCGCCAAGTACTTTTCCAACCACTTTAGCAATGGCCTTGCTACGCGAGCCTCCACCAACGAGGTAGATGCGGCGCGGTTGTGGGGGCAGTCCATAGCCAGGGCTTGACACCAGGCCTTTGGAGCGTAGACGCAATGATAACATCTGGCTTTCAACGATAGCTCGCGCGTCGTCTTCTGGTCTCAGCCAGCCTTCGTCTGATTCGATTAGCTGCTTAGCCTCTTTATGGTACACGAAGTGCCACTGGCCGGAAGGTAGCTCCGGAACGATTTCTGGTTTGGGGAAGTAGAGCCCCAGCTTCATAGGCTCATGACTTGCACGCTGACAAAGTGGAGGGGTACTGCACAGCGCTTCGTCAAAGGAAGTCCAAAGTGATGTGGTTGTTTGCGACATTGCTTTAGAGTTCAACGCATCGCGTATGTCTTCTCGAGCCAGTCCCCCATTCTTGTAGCAGAGCATGAACATATACAGGCCTGTAGTAGTAGGATGGTTCATGAAATGCGTCGCTGGGTCCGGCCTGTATTTGGGAGTTGACATCAAAAAAGTTGTTGATGTTCCTAACGAGACAACAGCATCTTGGGACCTCAAAGGCAGAGCGAGTATTGTGGCTGGATTATCGCCAGTGGATATGACGATGGTGCATTCTGGACTGAATCCGTACCTTTCAACATAGTAGGAACTGATGCTACCTAAATGGCTGCCCCCATCTTCAGGAACGTTCCCAAGCTTCGCTTTCAAATCCGGTAGTCCAGATTCGCCAGCAGCAAGCTTGACCAGGCGTTCATCCCAGCAGCCTTCCCGTATATTGTACAGATTCATTCCGCAGACGTCAGAAATATCGCAGGCAGCAATTTTTCCAAGCAACATTGAAGCCACGAAGGACGAGACGAGAGATATGCGAGCCGTCTTCGCGTATGCCTCAGGGCATTTTTGCCGCAGCCTTAGAATTTGAGGGCCCGTGAAACGCTAGGGGAACGTTCACTTCAGTCATGTACGACATTTCGCAAAACAACAAAACGTACATGATGTGCTTTGCTACCAGTAACTTGAGCCAAGGCAGCCTTAGTACCCAGGGCGGACTCGAACATTTTACATTCCGCTTGCGTGCTCGAATCCTGCCAATTGGGACTGTAAGGATGTGAGAGAGCACCTTGGGCCTGATCCTGCAAAGTTTTTGAGCTGTTTAAACCAGCTAAGATTCTTTCAGCATCAGCATTCCAATAGACGCTTCCGTGCTGTTGGCCTGCGGCGCTGATGCCCCTGATTCGAGCGAGGTCGAGCGAGGTATCCTTCAGCTTCTGCAAGACTCCGTCAAGAGCCTGTAGCCAAAGCGCGACAGGAGCATAGACTTTGTGTTCGGCAAGGTCTGCAATCACCCCTTTTTCGATATTAAAACTGATTGACTCGGCATCGAAATCGAATGTGACATTCCGTACGGCATTGAGAGTCGAGTCGACGACTATGGCTTTCAATTGTTGAGTAGAGAGATCTAAGCCAAGGTAAAGGGGTTCTTGCATCATGATTGCACTTTTACAGAAAAGAGAAGAAGGACTTGATTCGATCCGACTGTCCACTTCTATGTTGGTAGCATGTCTCGCAATTAGAAGAGTCTAAAGGATATGAAAGGGACATAAAGAAGCAGTAATGATGCTGAGAAAAAATGCGGTGAGCTCAATCGAGTGCCTCGAGGTTGACAGGCCAGGCATATGGCACACGCACAACGCAGTCCCGACGTCAACCTGGTGCCCCACATGCTTTGTTGGCCCAAAATAGCAGGTGAGCCGGACAATGTTGATATCCATAGTCTGGATATGATGCATAACCAGAGTCACTTAATCACGCTTCGAAGGCATTACTTGAAAGATACAGACAGCCGTCCGGAATACGCGAGCGAACGTCTGTCGCCTGCGGACTAGGCAGATCAAAAAGTGTATTTCCGTATTGGGATGCAGGCAAGAGCGTCTCAAGTTCTCGCCTTCAGTGGACACGGTCTCGATGTTATGTCAGAACCAAGCCAGTGCGTCTGTTTGCCGCTTCTCTAGCATAGCCCAGCTTGTCAAGGGTCGAGAGCTTATTTCGTCTTCTTTTCACCATTCGCCCTATAGAAAGGATGCTGCCTCTGATGATCGTTTTGATGGTGCCCATGGCCGTTATCATGTTGATCGTCTGGTTCTGGGCTGCTCCGCGGACTGACATCGGCACCAATAAACTCCTTCGAGAAGTCTAGATCGCTGTTCTCGGTTGGCAAAAATCTGACCCTAACTCTCCTTACCCCACGAACCTTAGATCCAGCTTTTTCGCGTACTGCTTCCTCCACAGCCCGAGTCTTCTCAATGCTCCACTCTCCCGGAATGGCAAGCTCGACATCGATCAGGTAGTTCTGACCCGACTTGATGCCTTGGATCTCACGGATCGCAACCATCTCACCATCAGGAACCCCAGTAATACCCTTGGAGAAATCACCCCTGAGGGCTTTTGTGGTGGCTCTGTCTACTGCTTTCTTGACGTCCTCATCAACACTTGTATCGGCTAGCTCGAGTAACGATGTCATGGCGTTTGCCCATCCAGCTCTGATGACCATCACGGATATGATGAGACCACCAACAGGATCCAGCCAGGATGCTTCCGAGAAGACATGTGCACCGCCAATGGTTAGCAGCGCCACAATACTGGTGAGCGAGTCAATCCTGTGGTGGACGGCGTTCGATGCAAGAACAGCGGATTTGCGCTCCTTCGCGATCTTCATGGTTGCTCGGTATAGCCACTCTTTGACTATTATCGAGCCCCCTGCTAGCCAAGCTGCATTCAAGTTAGGCAATGTAGCTCCGTGACTATGGTCGTGTCCAAGGAAGGAGAATATCCCATGGCGGTGTGTTTCTTGTAAGACATCCATGAAAAATTGCGTATAGAGAACGTCCAAAGCATTCACTCCCATGCCGATCCCACCAAATAACAGTAGACCGCTTACTCCCAATGCACCCAAGCTCTCGATTTTGCCATAGCCATTGGGAAAACGTGTCGTAGGCGGCTTCAACGACCATGAGACAGTTGCTAGGGTCATAAAATCGCTAACAAGGTCTGTGAGGGCGTGAAAAGCGTCAGCGACCAAGGCCTGAGAATGAAAGATGTACCCTCCAATCCCTTTTCCGATAGCCATGCTTAAGTTGACAAAAAGCCCAATGCGGGTGATACGGACACCTGCATCCTTCTTGTTTGTAGACGTCAAGTAAGCATTGTCAAGATGATGTGAGTGCGAGTGGCCTGCGTGAGACCGGGTCTGAGTCAGGGACATGGTATTAATCGGTGCAAGTATGACATGCTCGGACTTCGTAAAGCGAAAGGAGGGTCGCCGGGTGCGAGAAGAACTGCTAGCTGGTACGAGGTTACTCTGTTGATTCTTGCAAGTCTGCAAGCATCGGAGATTCTGTGCGCAGAAAGGTGAGTTTTGGGGGGGCCTCAAGTTTGAGAGGTATGTCCGTGGTCCACCTCGGACGACTTGGGTAACCGGCATAAGTAGAAGACACGATCTATTAGACAATTATAAATCTAGAAAGCCATACCGCTCACGAGAACGGCGGCCATGAGTGTGAAATTGAGTTTCCAGGTTATGTAAATTGTCTGGATTCGCTTCAGCGATCTTACAACCATGTAATTAATTTCCTAGAGAACCCCTGTTTCCATAGCGGCTGATGGAGAGGAAAATATTCCCACTCCGCACTCATGTCGATGTTCACTTGCTTTACGCCGCTTTTCCAAAATATGGTACAGTGAACATTCAGAAGGCAGACCGAGGAATTTGAGAAGGGACGGGCTATTCGAAAGACGTCAGGTTTCCATAAACCACAATTAATGCCCACCCCCATCAAGTAATGACGCCGATGCAGCCGCTCTGAGATGGCCATGAGGAGCTATGCCATGTCGTCAATTGCAGAAGAGAAGTTCAATGCTCTCATGGAGCAATTAAGCCGGACATGTCCACCTCTCTTCATGGCTCCGAGTACCAAATCTTGCTATAGCCCAAAGAGAGCGGCGGCAGCAGCAGTAGGAGCCGGAGCTAGGTTTACTAGTGAATGGAGATTGGGAGAAAATACCTCCACCTATCATCAGAGACGTAAATCATTGATCGGAAGGCAGGGCTCACATGTGGGAAAGGGCCCAAGAGGGGTGGCGGCCTTGAGGGAGGTCGAGGTGTTGGAGGTGGATTTGCAACAAGATAGGAATGGATGGACTGGAGGATCCCATTGACAATCATCTTTAACTGGGGTTAGGCTGAAATTTACAGAGCTCGAAAATATATGACAGTTATTTCAAAGCAGGTTCGTTTCTTACAGTCTCGCTACTCAGGCAACGTTATCTAACAGGCTTCTCTGACCCATGTAGCAAGCTATTGGAGACATGCGGCCTCTGAACAGCCCTACGTTGTTAGCCTGAGCCATTGAAGGCTCAGTCAGATTGTGCAAAGATCGGTTGATACATAGACAAGTTCTTGTCTCAATGTCGACATACATTGGCTACCATGGTAGCGCGACTTGTCCAGCCCGTATCATCTTCTGCGTAACGCCCTGGCCTTCTAGTCTCCTTGGTCCTGAAATTGAAACGGCAGTGACGGGAGCCCAACATATTCGTGAGAGGATTCGTTGGTCTGGTTCCACATCACTCGCTACAGCAGAGATTATGAAGGCAAAGGGAGCCTTGATATGAACGAATAAAAATCGTTAAGGGCTGATGTATACGGAGTATGACTCTAGCTCTCGGGTATCCGCTATGTCGGGACACGCTTCGATGAAGGGCAATAATATTTCAAGAGTGCCTACCAACACGTTGGCTGTTTGACTTGCGCCGGGTTGAAGAAACTCACCTCACTTCTCTCAAAGAAATGACAACACTAGTCACCGGTGACTGAGGATAGAATAATCCTCAAAAGTGCTGAAGGTTTCGTTGCCGTTGGTAGTGATGATGGCGTCTGGAGATGTACCTCGGAAACCTTTTTTATCCTGCCAGTTTCTTCTCCGCTCTGGAGCTTTGAGTATAAGCTCTTGTAAAGCGTCCTCGTAATAGATCACAGCTTAGGCTATATGCATAAGCCTCGTCAGTAGAAGTAAGACCTCTTCTCTCTTTCACCATCATCCAGCGGAAGTGCAACAGTAATACGAGAACAAGACATCGAAAATCTGGAGCTTTGAACTTTGCAATGAGCACCCAGAAGAACCCGAGCGGTCCGAATATTCTCCATCCAAGACGTACATGGTATAGGAGCGTACATGGGTGAATTAAGGTGAAATGGTTCTAAGAAGATAGATTGGTTAATCAATCTTCATGATCTTTGCTAGTTAAGACACAAGGGTAATGATCTTCTCTAGGTCTTGAGGAGTCACTTATGCCCATGACTCACTCCTTTTGGAGCACAATCAGGACACCAAGGTCTTTGATATTCCGGAGTGTCAAATACCGTCATGTGGACATCCTGCTGGAAAAAAGGTTGCATAACATTGGAGGGATGCGCATCGCTTTTCGGCCCTGACGCAAATGATGCCATTTGAAAATCGAAGCGGACTTTCCAGCTCAGACTTCGCCGCTCTTCCTTCTCTAAAGAGACTCTCTCTACTTCTAGCTCACAGTCTACCTCGAGGGGCTTCGTGACAGAGAGCCATAGCCCTAACCGCGACATTCTCAGTTCTTAAGCGCGGGTCGTTTTATAGCCAACTTCTCGTGGTTGCGTATCTATCTCGCAAATATTGTCATACCGTTGGTACCTCTCCGCTTCGCCTGGCGCCCCTTCTGGCTCTAGACGCAATGTCTCTCTGTGGCTGCGTCGAACCACTTTCAGGAGTCCGTGGAGCCCGCCCATCCTCTTTTACGTTCGTGGGTGATGAGTACATACCACACTGTCCGGCGATTTTGCTTTGGAGGGCACGCGAAGCCATAACCCCTAAGAATGTTAGACTAGGACCGAGCACGAAATAAGCTCAGAGAATGGAACCGGAGGATCTTTCGACATCAGAGACTGATACTTTGCTTAGTAGAAACTATTACTTGGTCTCTGACGTAAAGTGGATATGGGACAGATGTGACACAGGAGTGGGAAACGACAGATTTTATCTCCACGGCTCAAGCTGATCTTCGGTCACACAGCGATACAGATCTCAGGCCAGTTTGTTGGTATCGCACTCGACAATGACTCGAGGTTGCCTCGAGGTTTCGATGGTGGCTAAGGCCCAGCCTAGAGGTTCAGACATTTTCGTAAGACTCTGTTCGTTTCTGCTCCTTTCACCTAGTGGATGCGAAGCCCGAAGCTCAGGGACAGACTTCCTGATACTTCTCACTCCCCTATTGATGCGCCCTACCTTCAAACTCACATAGCTCCACCAAGTCAACTACAAACCTGCTTCTCACATTGGTCCGGGTGAGACCGGTATGAGCACGAGCGGCATCACCCTGTTGTTTAGGCTGATTGCGAAAGTCTTGTGGATTCTTAGCGTTAAGTAAATCGAGAATCGCTGACGCCGCTCGGTCAAACAGAAACAAATCTTGTAAGCCTTCGACATCCAATCTCGACATGTAGAAAGACTTACAAGATTTGCTTCTGACTGAGAGAGTGGCGCCAGCAACTCCGCACAACTGCCAAGTTTTGGTAAGGCTTTGCAGTTATGTACTACTTACTTAGCAGGAAGAGGCCCGCCTAAAATAATGCTAGAGGAGCCATCAAAGTGCGCTTAGATTAAGCCTAACCGTGATATTACTTAGAGAGTATAAAGATATACAGCTTAGTCGTCCATGATCTAATAAAATCTTACTATCTACAACGTATTTTACTAAGAATATAGTTATAATATGGTCAAAATATGCTTCTTTTATCATATTAGTATGGTGGTCATTTGACGGAATGACTGTCATTTCTACTAATGGCACTTAGCGCAAATCTTTAGCTACCCCTTCTGCTGGCAATTAGTACGTAGTAAATAGTAACGTTAGTACTACGTTCCCAGTAGTACTCCGTACAGTAGTAGCTTGGGGCATTGCAGTCATGCATACTTAAAGCTTGGCATAGTCAATGACGGTGCTTCGAAGAATTAGAGTCCTACGAAGATCATTTTGTTACAGAGCAGGCCAAATCTGAGATACACCATGTCCGCTGTTCATGTACAAGCCTCTAATGCGGATACCCTACACGGGTCCTCTCCCACCACCTATAATTCTTCCCAAAAGCGCATCTACTGTTGCAGGGGCCACATCTGCTCTAGCACAATTCCTGTCAGCTCCACCTTCGCCGCGTCTTCGTGACCTTGACCATGGTCACTACGATCGGACAGTGTTTCTTACTGGGGCTGGAATATCGGTAGCCTCCGGACTTGCAGACTACAGGGGTGAGAATGGGACATATACGCAGAACAAGAGCTACCGCCCAATCTACTTCAACGAATTTGTTGACAGCCATGAAGCCCGCAAGAGGTATTGGGCAAGAAGCTTTTTAGGGTGGAGCAGCCTGCACAAAGCCAAACCAAATGCTGCACATTTTGCCATTGGTGATTTGGCCAAAAAAGGATTCATCAGCAGCGTGATTACACAAAATGTGGATTCTTTCCACTCCCAAGCTCACTCGCACACACCTATCGTTGAACTACACGGCTATCTGAGGGCTCTTGTGTGCATCAACTGCCACCAGCTAATGCCTCGAGATCAATTTCAACAAGCCTTGGCGAGATTGAATCCAGCCTGGGCTACCTTCTTGGAGGAGTTACTTAGCACGGGAGCGCTCGACACCGAGAACCCCGCTGAGAGGAGGAAGAAAGGCTATCGTACAAATCCGGATGGGGATGCCGATGTGCCAGGAGCTCCATACACTACGTTCCGATATCCTGCTTGTCCTACCTGTTTAACGACAGCGCCCGAGTTGCGCGACGGAAGTCGAGGACATGTCGAGACTGACCAGGATGGCGCTTGGAGCACCAAATCGAATGCTGGAATATTGAAACCCAACGTGGTAATGTTTGGTGAATCAATTCCCTCCAAAGTCAAAATCGCTGCTGAAGAGGCAATCGATGAGGCTGGCAAGATTGTCATTATTGGAAGCAGTTTAGCAACATACTCAGCCTGGCGTTTGGCCAAGAGAGCACATGAACGAGGTATGCCAATTGGTATCTTGAACTTAGGGGGCGTTAGAAAGGAAGAAGCTTTCTTTGGTGATATTGATCCTTTAGATTCTGGAATGACTGCAGTGAGAGCTAGTCAGCCTGCAGAGATCGTATTGCCAGCAGTACTCAAGCACCTTTAATAGGTCCGTTTTCGTCTACAGTGCAAGAATCAAAAGATAGTTATGCGTTTATTACCAACAACATATTGCTACTTAGCTACTCTTTCATCTACTTTTCTAGCTGTTTCGTGAGAGTGTTGCTTTTCCCCCGCATCTTCAAACCTTCCCCGATGACGCCTAATTCCATTACTCATGGATTGAATCCCAAAGTGCTTTCCTACAACTGCAGTCAATAGAAGTTATGCCCCATAACTTCGCTCCCCTGAAGAATGACAGACTCTTGAAAGCCGCAAGGGGTATGTGGAGCACCTGTCGATATTAGAAAGATGCTAAGACTTTCAAAGGGGAAGTCGTCGACCGGCCACCGATATGGGTTATGCGACAAGGTATTTCCTACCATCTACGCAGTCCGCAGACACGCATTACAATGACTAAAAGTAATCAGCTGGTCGCTATCTACCCGAATATCACGAAGTCAAAGGCAAGCATGACTTCTTCGAGTGTTGTCGCTCTCCAGAAATCGCATCAACTCTCACTCTTCAACCGGTTGACCGCTATGAGGCCATTGACGCTGCCATCATATTCTCTGACATTCTTGTCATCCCTCAAGCTATGGGCATGGAGGTCAAGATGGTAGATGGCCAAGGTCCTACCTTTAGTGAACCGCTACGAAGCCCAACCGATGGACAATATCAAACGATACTAGACAAAACTGTGGACGTGGAAGCTGAGTTGGACTATGTCTATCGGGCCATCACTCGTACGAGGGAGAAATTGGCAGGACGTGTTCCGCTGATTGGGTTTTGTGGAGCGCCTTGGACCCTGCTGTGCTACATGATTGAAGGAGGTGGATCGAAGATATTCAAGGAAGTGAAGACCTGGATCTATAGGTATCCAGAGGAGAGTCAGGCTCTTTTGAAGAAGATTGCCAGCATCTGCGTTGAATATTTGGCTCAACAAGTGGTTGCTGGAGCCCAACTCGTACAAGTATTTGATTCTTGGGCTGGAGAATTATCACCATCCACTTTCAAAGAATTTGTCCTGCCACATCTAAAGTATATCGCGAAGATGTTGCCCAAGAGGTTGGAAGAGCTGGGGGAAAATATCGTACCAATGACTGTCTTCGCTAAAGGCGCATGGTATGCTCTGGATGAGCTTTGTGAGATTGGCTATCAAGTCGTGGGTCTCGATTGGCTGCACTCCCCAGCAGAAGCTTTCAGAACTGCTCGAGGGAGAGTCACTTTACAAGGTAATGCCGATCCTGGTGTACTCTACGGAGGACAAAAAGCTATCACTAGAGCAGTCGAAGAGATGGTGCATGGATTTGGAGGGGGAAAGCAAGGGTGGATTGTGAATCTGGGCCATGGGATTACACCCTTCGTCAAACCAGATGATCTCAAGTTCTTCTTTGACGAGATACTCCGTTGCACGAAGCAATAGCAAGGGGATTGAGTGGAAGATTACTACTTCAACCAGAATTACTGCAGCGTCAGCTAAATCACAGTGGTGTGATGCGCTGCTCAGTTATTTACCAGTATCCTCATTCGAGATGGCAAGTTTGACCTTGACGAACTGGCTCATCAGATCTTTGTACCTTCATTGTCGAAGACCACAGCTTCTACATCCCTTTCATCCAGATACTTCTCCCACCAACGAAGGTTTTGTCCTCTCCAACGACCACTTATACAACTGGGTTCGTGGTGGCGCCACCGTATGCTGGGGCTGAGAGTCCTGAGTTCTCGAAGGCCGAGATTTCTGCCTGGAAGAGGTTGTCGATGAGATGCATGCCCGAGGATAACAACAATATTGAGAAGCAGTAACAAGCAATGCCGCACTGCCTCTTTGGACTCGCATATTGTGTTGACATAACATCTTGCTCTTCTTGGCCATCAAGCACGCTCCAATCGGTACTCTTCCCTCTACGTCACCTTTCTTTGCTTCCTCGACCGCAACTTTGGGTCCTGTTTCACATTCAGACGTCTCTATCCATGGGTTCTGTAGTACTACTTAACAAGGGCCGACAGCAAATGCCATAGCGCCTTATCGATAACCTTCAGAGGATACTACTATAGTTCTAATTATACGCCCCCCGTAGTAAATTACGAACAAGGGTGAGGGTCCATTGCGCAAACCTGGTCCATTCAATGCGCAATAATCTTGTAATGTACAAGCTGTTGTACTTCTCTACTGTTACTGAAGCTGTGCAGCAAAAGAAGATATAATTGCTGCATGGCCGTAAATATCCTGCGTGCTATGTAAAGGCAAGGCTATGTGATAAAACTTGTAGACAGCCTTGCGCCCTGCATACGGAGTACAAACGGGTGTTTCGCCGGCGTTGGAATCTTTTGGAATCGTCCAGAACCGCGCTTAGCGACCCTGTTGGTCCGCAGCACAAAATCCTCGGCCCATCAAAGAGCAAATCAGCCTCAGAGTCTCCTTGAAATTTAGCAGGAATCACTTCGCACCTGAACTCATAATATCCTGGAACGAGGTCTTACATTTCTACATCCATTCTGTGGTTGAAGACTGGGCTTGCTGAACCTTCCGCTTCGCCTCTCAGCCGTACCAGAATCCTTCATTGCCTCGGAAATCTTTACTTTCCGTTGAACAACTTCTCATCTTTCTGTCGCACGTCGAATTTACAACCATCGGCCCCTGAACTTCAGTCGCCTACTTCTTCCGCTCTATTTCATCCCGCTTTTCGATCAAGGCTCCGACAGGATGGTCAAGGAGACCAAGTTCTATGACGTCCTAGGGGTATGTCAGTATCAGCAGTCTGTTAAACAGTCGTTTCTAATCAGATTTGATAGGTCGATCCTTCGGCCTCGGCTGACCAGCTCAAATCTGCTTACAAGAAGGGAGCTCTGAAACACCATCCAGGTGAGACCTTTTTTTGGTCCATTGGAAAATTGTCTTGGCTGATTGCTTCGTGAAGATAAAAACGCAAAGAACCCTGATGCTGCCGAAAAATTCAAAGATCTATCACGAGCGTATGAAATACTTCAGGATCCTCAGAAGAGGCAACTGTACGATCAATATGGAGAGGAGGGCCTCGAACAGAGCGGCGCCGCTGGTGGCATGAATCCTGAAGACTTGTTCGCGCAATGGTTTGGAGGTGGCAGCGCATTTGGCGGCATGTTTGGTGGTGGAATGAGAGATACTGGCCCAAAGAAGGCTCGTACAATTCACCACGTCCACAAGGTCTCACTTGAGGACATCTATCGCGGCAAAGTCTCAAAGCTAGCCCTGCAGAAGTCAATCATCTGCCCAGCTTGTGATGGTCGTGGAGGCAAGGAAGGCGCTGTCAAAACATGTACGGGCTGCAACGGTGCAGGTATGAAGACCATGATGCGACAAATGGGACCTATGATTCAGCGATTTCAAACCGTCTGTCCAGATTGCCAAGGAGAGGGCGAAATTATTCGTGACAAGGACAGGTGCAAGCGCTGCCTGGGCAAGAAGACTGTAGTAGAACGAAAGGTTCTGCATGTACATGTCGACAAGGGAGTCAAGAGCGGTCACAAGATTGATTTCCGTGGTGAGGGCGATCAAATGCCTGGAATACAACCAGGAGATGTGCAATTTGAAATTGAGCAAAAGCCACATACGAGATTCCAACGCAAAGATGACGACCTTTTCTACCATGCCGAGATTGATCTATTGACCGCTCTAGCGGGTGGTGCTATCAATATCGAGCACCTGGATGATCGATGGCTGACGGTCAACATATTCCCGGGGGAGCCAATCACACCTGGTAAGTAGCACAGACTTTTACTTGCATGTCTTTCTGTACTAACCTCTGGCAGGTCAAATTAAAGTCATCAAAGGCCAGGGTATGCCATCTTTTCGGCATCATGACTTCGGCAATCTCTACATCCAATTCGACGTCAAATTTCCGGCGGCGGAAGAAATGCGACATCTTGAACTGCTTGAAAAGGTTCTACCCCCTCGCCCTCGTCAACTTCAGCCTCCTGCGGATGCCATGATTGAGGATTTCGACCTCGAAGATGTCGACCCTCGTGGTCAAGCACGAGCCCAAGGTGCAGCAGGAGCAGACGAGGAGGAGGAAGATGGCATCCCTCATGGCGCTGAAAGGATGCAATGCGCTTCACAATAAAGCGTTATGAGTGGATCGTGAAGAGCATCATAGGAGAGTCCTATGACGTACTAGATGAAATTTCATAGGGGTCAAATATGACCTGCTAAATGGTTCGCCCTGCATTTGCATGGCGTCAGGAGCAACACCAAGTCAAATGGTAGACGGCATGGAAAGCAAGGGAAAAGGCTAGGAGGTGCTGGAGCTACCAACCCTCCAACACAATAGATATGCTTCATAATGTTCTGGGGGCGTTTAAGAGGGGCATTTGGAGCGAGCGCCGGTAGTTGTACACGCAATTCTCGACAGTACAATACATTCCTTTCGTACTAGCAGATACCCATCTGTACACTAAATTTTGCTCTGGACATCGTATTGCAGTCTTGCAGAAGAAGCTGCCAGCCTTATAGCTACCTTTTGTCGCACACTTATCAGTTCGCGCGACGTGGCATGCAACCAGGTTGGGCAGCGAAAACGCGGTGAAATATTGGCGCACAGTAGCGGGCCGTTTGAGCGGTGTATAAATTGCCCACATAAGAGTCGCATCTTCCTCCCACTTGAAGATATACAAAGTTGACGGATTCGAGACCCAAAGACTCACTGTCTTCCTCATCTGTGGACCCCTCTCTCGCTTCCCAAGGCGCACTACGACTGTGGGACGGACCGTATGCCATGGCAAATCCTTTTACTTCGGTATCACAAGCAATACTCAGACAATGTGAGAAGGATGAGGTCGCAGGAGGTCTGTTTGTTGTCCGAGGTGCTATTTTGAGCGGAAAAGAATGATGTCTGATGTTTGCTTTCGACGCCATGTTCCATGCAGAGTGATTGGCAACGGTTAGCCGTCAGCTTGCGAAAAGGGAACAAAGCTTGGGGCGCTTCCGGATCTTGACTGGCTACCGACTCCCAGGCCTAGGGGTGTTTCCGGTTGAGACCGTCCTATGTGATTTGCCAATCACAGCCATCATCATTTGATTCGACTGCCAACATCCCCAGAAGGCTGAGAGATCCATTGTCCATTATCAGGCATTCTGCTTTCGGACCAGGCCAGATATTTGCACTGTCAACGAAAGATTTTCGAGGCTAGAAGCATTCTGCAGCGGTCGAATTTCTCTCGTCGTGCAACCATGCGCGTTGATTCTTGGGACGTGGCTTGTCAGGGATGAAGCCTAACCAGAAAGCCCTTAAGGGGGCCAGCAGGAAACAGGACAGTTGAGCCCACTTGTTACGAAGTCGCTCTAGCTTGCTGCACGCCAGGGCGAGGAAAGCAACTCGATCTCTTTTTCATGCATAGCAGTCGCTGCACGTCTCACTCATCCTTACCTTGGTAGCTCGCAGCTGGCAGATCCAAAGTCAACGAATCCAATCGCTCCGCCCGTCAGTCCGCGCCGCCGAATCAGAAATGCCGCTTCTTGCAGTCGTAGCTGCACTCCTGCTATCTGCAATTTCCTTGTGACTTCGACGCTTTTCTCATCCATCTGACTGCCGACCAGGAGGTCTGCCTCCCTCGCTCTTTCTGGCCAACCTTGGGCATTGCATGTTCGTTTGACTTCTCATTCGTTCTTTACATTTAGTCGCTCTTTTGCAACCTGATATTCCGCCTGAGGACTTGATCCCGTGACCCATGAATTATTGCTGGTGTGCAGCCTCATTCCACGTCAACTTCATGTATGAACTTGCATTCCGTCGTATAGGGGCTGTTTGACGCGCGCGAGGAGGCTGAATTAAAGTAATTGCCGTACGATCGATGGTGGGATAGGGTACCATACAGGAATGCAGAAGTTGACTGCGCAGGATAGGCCTTGGTCTGATCACGAGAAGGTGTGCCCGAACGTTCAGATGGGGAGGAGAGTCAGTCGGCGCTGACACGGATCTAGGTTTCATTGCTCGCAGAGATAATCAAACTCTCGCCTGTGCCTGCAAATGCCCTCGTGAAGCTTATCCGAGACCACGACGTGCATCCAAGATGGGAGGACATTCCTCTACCCGAAGGTACGTTTCAAACCTGCCTAAAAACAGAAGCTTACAGCTTCCCATGTTTGAGTACATCCTCTGGATTTTCGTTACGCTCTCAAGTCGAATGTTGCTGATTGGATTCTCAGGAAGATCGTTAAATTCTAGCAAATTAGCTTTTGAGGAACTGAACAGGCAAGCCGGTTTTTATCAGCGACATGCACCGAGCCCTTATTCTCAGCAAGCCACGCAAGCACAAATTCCTCATACCATTCCACGCAAACGACAACTTCCCGGTTCCGAGGCTCTGATGACTTCAAGCTTCCCAGCCATTCAGCCCAAGCCGCCAGGATTGAGTCCAGCTCGTTATACACCGGTCCCAGCAGAAGGCAGCGGCTCAATGAGACCATCCCCAGGTGATTCAGCCGGCGAGCCCACGAAGAAGAGACGTGGTCGACCCAGCAATGCCCAGATCGAGCAGGAGAAAGCCGCAGCTGCAGCGGAAGGAAGAGAATGGCAGCCGCGGCCCCCAAGACCACCCAGGAAGAAGAAAAGTAAGATCGACACAGACTCGCCGTCAAGGAGTGAACCCGATCCCGCTCCGAAACAGACTCCCCACACCCCTGAGGTAGAAATGGTGGAAGCACAGGACGAGAGTTTGAGTGGGAAGAAGCGCCGAAGAAAGATGAAAGAAGATGCCACCTCAGTCCGACCTACTCCCTACGATCCCATCCGTCAATCACCTCCGATTACTGACAGCTCTGTCCACGCCTCCGAAATAACCTCGCACGTTAGCCAAGGACCAGGAACAACACAACAACATTTCCAAGACCAGCCACTTGTGCCTATGGCTCCCAACCTCAATCTCGAACACCGCCACTCAACACCACAAACACATATGTATAGTGACACCTCTCAGCACATGCAGACCGAGGAATGATTATCACCAACAATCACTAAGCGCCATAGCGGAAAGAATCAATCCTAACACAGAAGAAGGAGACAAGACTAAGCAGAAGCATCCTTGACGACCCCTCGCCCAACAACCGCAGACCTGTCATGACAGTCACGAAAGATCAGGTGTTACACGACAACGCGCCTGTTATGAAGCATAATACACGACTAGCCACTGCTGATTTCTGTTCTCATGACCTTTAAATCCGTTGGACAAGAGCTATGAGCCATGACTTATGACCCATTCTTTTATAGAAAGCAAAGCATCTGAATGACCATGTAAAGCACACATGCGGGCATTGGGGACTGATCTATGGAGGTGGAAGTGATCTGATACGTTTTGGTCTTCCAGGTTTTATGTGTGTACTGTATGTATTTCTAGACAATCATTCTGGAGGCTTTGTGCCGTGCCATACTTGTCTGTATATTAGTAGGTAGTCAGACTTAATGGTTATGTATGAATGGGCACTCGACTCGCATCCAAAGCTCCTTCTATGAATCATCGGAGTGCTATGTAGCCAGACCGAGACAGTAGCTTGGTGCTACAAATCTCCTTTGGTCACCCACGGCGTCTACCCATGTCTCCCAACAAATAGATCATGCTTTGGCTTACCATAGCCACGAACCACGATCACGGCTCCTACCTGCAAGCCATACGGCTGTCAGGCTATCACCCGATTTTTTCTCTCGAAATCCTGCAAGTAAGAAATCCCAATGTCAGCGATAATGGGGCTCATCGCTATTCGATGGAAGATTCACGGACAAGAAGATAAGTAGAGAGTCAGAAGTCCATTTAGATCATCGGAGCAAAAGGAGTCGAGTTATCGTCAATTCGTATCGCGCCTGACATAAGAGGTACCAGAAATAATTGTGTTTTCATAGGTTGTCATCATGGAAGGATTGAGGGCAAAGAAGGAGGAGAGAGAGGAAGGGGCGACGTACCTTAGCATTGGTTTGCAGGTGTGTGATGAAGACTCACGAAAGATGTGACGCTTGGGTTGAAGAGAATGAGTGTAAGAGCAGGAGTAAAAGTGCTGGGTTTTGGGGAAGACCGCAAGTGCTCGAACAAGAAACGCAGCTGGAAAGCAAAGTCACTCGAGAACAAAGGCATCTTTGGTCGTTTAACTGGGTTCCCGATGCTTCTGCAGTCCAGTCAAGCATCAGAACGGAGACTGCGTGCTGCAGAACCGACACAGAGGGCACTGTTATATGATAATCAGTCGTACAGGAAAGAAATTTGGTGTATCAAAAATTCCTGAGCACGATTCCCGCCAAGACACCAGCACGTGATCCACAAATTCCACATTCGAATTATTACCCACCTCGCCTGCGTACCGGTTTTCCTTGCAGCCAAACCTTACAAAGTACCAGCCTCAACACACTTGACTTCTCATCACCATCATGGGTCGTCTTCACAGCAAAGGCAAAGGCATCTCCGCCTCCGCGATCCCATATTCCCGCTCCGTACCCACTTGGTTCAAATCCTCGCCCGATCAAGTCGTGGACAATATCTGCAAGCTTGCGAAGAAGGGGGCTACGCCATCGCAGATTGGTGTCGTGCTGAGGGATAGTCATGGTGTTGCGCAAGTCAAGGTAGTTACCGGTAAGTAAGAGGATTAAATTAGGAGGGAGAGATAGGATATCACAATAAGTGGACTACGAAGGATATGGCGGCAGTGAAGTACGAAATTTGGGGTTGGGTGTAAGCTAATATGGCTCTGAACGCAGGTAACAAAATTCTCCGGATACTGAAGAGCAACGGTATGCGCCATTTCTGAATAGGCCTGGCTTGCCTCTCTTTCTGCCCTGCATTGCAATGCGGGCGTTCATCCTACCGATTGAGAGCTATGAAAGTCGCAAGGACCTATGCATTACCGATCTGCGTCGTGCTAGTCAATATCGAAGCGCAGCTTTTTGCTGTGACTCCTGATGCTCTCAAATCCACCAACCTCGTCGACACTGCCTCTGCTTTGGTCTTCCAGACTGACGGAGTGATTTTCATATAGGTCTTGCACCAGAACTGCCAGAAGACCTGTATTTTTTGATCAAGAAGGTACGGATCATTTTCTTCTTGTCATGAATCTCGTTCTTTTTATTTTGGTACATCGATCTCCTCTGCCTCCAGATATGTTAGATAGCAGAGCTAGTAATTTCGCGACTCTCCTGCGTCTCACTACATTCCATACTAATACATCGTCCACTAGGCTGTCGCTGTTCGCAAGCATCTTGAACGCAATCGAAAAGACAAAGACTCGAAGTTCCGGCTTATTCTTATCGAATCCCGAATCCACCGTCTTAGCAGATACTACAAGACTGTTGGTGTACTGCCACCGAATTGGAGATACGAGAGCGCCACTGCTTCGACAATGGTCGCGTAGAAAAGGGTTCGGAAGCTCGATGCATGGCTGCAGCAATTGGATGGTGGTTACTAAGGGAGCCAAGGTTGACAACGCGCACAGTGAGAGGTTGACACCTGAGCTGGGAGGGAAGCAGACCAACAGAAGTCAATGGCGGGCTCTACTTGCACAGCACAAAGGCAGTCCAAGGCACGGCATGATCGTGGTGATAAAATAGGTTGAAGCTAGACATCAATCACATTCTCCGGCAATCATCATCCTACGTATAGTATTCCAGTATTCCAGTAAGAATCTTGGCGTTTGATGAGCACCCATACGGCATTGTGGCATGTCCGCTACTATAGTGGTACTCGATAGTCCTGACAATGGCCGAGGCTATTTTGGCGCACAACTGACACAGTCGCTTGGGGAAACACGTGCAGCAAATCTGCGACAGCACCTGCACATCACCTGCACATCAGTCATGTGAAAATGGTTTTCGAAGCGACCATTCTAACTTAGGGAGTGTGTCCTCTCATTTCCCTTTCCCGGGGGCATTCAGGTGCAGGTAGACATCAGGATGACAGCTGACACACCACTTTCAATACTTTCACTACTTTCACACCGTCTCGTGAATTTCGGCCGCTGGGCAAGTACTATGTAGGAGTGAAGTTCCTGATTGGGCTTGGGGTTGCGGGGAACCCTGTTGGTAATAGACGACCTCCATTGTCGTTGGAACAGATGGGACAAGGCGTGATAGCGGCATAACTGGCCACACATGATCTTTTCTTGGTGTCAGTGACATGCATCCTGTCCACTTCTCATTGGTGTCTTCCCCTTACAGAAGGACACTCTATCGGCCCGGCTCAGCAAGATCTTCGCAAATCCAAATAACGAGATTCGTGCCGCAGTCCTAGTCGCTGCTTCTACATAGCACGCTGGATTTCTTGCCTGCCACTATCCTTCAAATCCAAAATGTACAGGCTTCTGGACCCCCCCCCCAGTTTGCCCCGCTCTGACTGGAATGGGCTTGGTCGATGCTGCATGGAGCTCCGGCAAGCTTGCCTTCGGACGAGATGCTCGGGCTGTCCGGAGGATGGAAGTATCATTTGCAACTAGACTGCAGCTAGTCATGGTACAGAACAGCTCTCAGAGCTACAAAATGGAGCGAGCTCCCTCAGTCAGGTGGCTTCCAACCGGACACAGTTTCTGTTCAAGATGCTGCTGCTCACTTCACTGCTGGCCGTAGCTGTGGCCGCGGCCAATGTCAACGCGCAATCAGCCACTCCTATCTATGTTGATCCTTTAGTTCCTACCGGTACGCCGTTGGTGGGGAACTACACGGGCCCTCTACGGCCACAGATTCACTTCAGTCCGCCCGTCAATTTCATGAATGACCCCAATGGCATGTTCGTTGATGCCGAGGGGGTCTATCACTTGTACTATCAGTGTGAGTGATCCTGGTCTAGGTGTGTCTCCAAGCTCTGACAATGGTAGACAATCCACTTGAGGCTGTTGCTGGCAACCAACACTGGGGTCATGCGACAAGCCGTGATCTCTATCACTGGGTAAATCAACCCATTGCCCTCTTCCCTGGTAATACGAGTGAAGGCATTTTCTCCGGATCCTCAGTGGTCGACGTCAACAACACCTCAGGTCTGTTTCCTGATCAGGACAATGGTGTGGTCGCCATCTACACACTCAACACGCCCAATGATCAGAGTCAGAATCTTGCCATCTCCTATGACAGTGGTTATACTTTTGAGAAGTATGAAGACAATCCAGTCCTAACCATTGGATCGACTCAATTTCGTGACCCCAAAGTCATCTGGTATGCACCAACCCAAAGGTGGGTCATGGTCATAGCCTACTCCCAAGAATTTGCCGTGGGAATCTTTACATCCGAAAATCTCCTCAATTGGACAGAAGCATCCAACTTCTCCTATCACGGCCTCCTCGGCTTGCAGTGGGAATGCCCCAACATGGTAGAGATGCCTATGGAGAATTCGACGGAAACGATGTGGGTGATGCTGATTTCCATCAACCCAGGCGCACCCCTCGGCGGCAGTATCACACAATATGCACCCGGCTCGTTTAACGGCACACATTTCACCCCCGTTGACAGCGTAGCCCGCATCGCTGATTTTGGCAAAGACAACTACGCTGGCCAATTCTTCTATGGCATCCCAGGCGACCAACCCCAGATTTCCATAGCCTGGGCCAGCAACTGGCAATACACGCAAGCCGTACCTTCGGGGCCTCTTGAAGGCTGGCGTTCCGCCATGTCTCTACCGAGAATCAACTATCTTACCAATGCCACACGAGTCGGCTACCGCCTGGTCAGCCTACCGTACGACCTCTCACCCGTCATCTCCTCCGAACCTCTCCAAAGCAACGACAACCTCGGCAACGGCACGGTGCTTGTTGACTTCACTGATCTTGAATCCAAGGTGATTTACTTCGAACTCAACATCACCAACATTCCCGCCGTCAACGCCAGCGGAACTGCCAACTTTACTTTCTTGTCCTCCATCACCGGCGAATCCTTGTCCGGCGGCCAATACCTCTTCGGCGACACCCCCTTCTGGCTCGACCGCGGCCAGCTCCGCGGATTCGACAGCGACCCCTTCTTCACCGACAAATTCTCCACCAACGTCCTCTACGACCCCGAGACATCCGCCTTCACCATGTCCGGCGTGCTCGATCGCAGCCTCTTTGAGGTCTTCCTCCAGGGTGGAGAGCAATCCGCGACGATTACGCTGTACCCCGAACAGCCGCTCGATATCATGGTGTTGCGGACGGCCGGATTGAACGAGGGTGTGGGGGTCAGTGCTGCGGTTTGGGGTCTGGACAGCGCGTGGGCGGACTATACGGACGAGAATGGCACGGTGGTGGGGAATGTGACGACGGGGGCGGGGAGTAGCAATGGTTCAAGTCAGAGGATGAAGAGGGAGACAGTGTTGGGGAGGAGTAAACGGTTGTACTGATGAAAAAGAATGGATGTTGGAAGGATGAGGGGTTTTTTTGGGGGTTGGGATGGATCAAATAAGTAATACTGGGAGGCTTTTGGGGTAGGAGGGAAAAGGAATAATGGAGTAAATGCGCTAAGACGGCCACATAATACATGTACATAGCTTTATCGCCGTCACATTGATCAAATATGTCTGTATCTGGCTCCTCACCCCCTTTTCCCGTTGACACTGATTGATTTACTGGGAAAAGGGAGCGACTACGACCAGACATACACACACGCGGGTACCTGTATACCGTTATTCGCGACCCCTTGGCCTTCTAGTTAGTTAGTTAGTTAGTTAGTCAGTCAGTCATTCGTTCAGTCCGGGATAAATGCACTCTGGCTGGAGTGGCGGCGGCGGCGGGAGATTCACTCACTAATGCATACTGTATCCTATCATCAGCACAACCATCCTCCTGCTCCTCCTCCCTCCATTATCAAAAAAAAATAAAAAAAAAGGGAAGTCAGCAAAGGACGCAACCAAGCAATCCATCCATCTTCTTCTCCCCCAGACAGCTCCCTCCCTTGCTTCGATCTACCGTTTAGTCGGACTGGAATATTTACCGAGAAAGTCGTCAACCACCACCACCACCATACTACACGTATAATGAGATAGGTAGGTCCACCCATCCCATTCGCTAGTCAGGTACTATCTCCTACTTCCTACCTACTCCCTCCTCCCTCCTCCTTACGAACGCACCGACCGTGCGTACTACTTGCAATCTTTTATTTCACTCATACCCATACCCATACTCATACTCACACTCATACTCATACTTATACCCAGCAAGCCAGCCCAAGTCAGTCAACCAGGCCGGAATATATGCCACTATATGTATATATGTGAGTGTGAGAGAGTGGAAAGATGCAGCGGAAATCTACCGAAGGGATCGAACAGAAGCAGGCCAGGCGGAACAGAGAGACAGAGAGAAAGAGAGAGAGAGAGGAGAGAGAGAGAGAGAGAGAGTGGGGCATGCATAGTTAGGGCACCAGTCTTTTTCCAGCAGGGCTGGTGGTTAGTTAGATAGATAGGAATGCATGTATATATGTATGTGTGTATGCTACAGTACTGTACTCCAAAAGGAAGGACCGGTGGCATAGGCGTAGTAGTGCGAAGTGGACGTGTGCGTGCCCTCCACCCCCCACCCACCTACCCACCCAATAAAGAGCAGCAGTAGGGGAGTAAGATGTACAACAGATCACAAAGGCCAGGAACAATTCACAATTCACGATTCACGATTCACGATTCACGATTCACGATTCACGATTTCATGCTAGAGCCATTTTTTATTTTTTTTCGGTTCTTTATCTACACTATGTCTCTCTCTATGTCACTCATCCCTCCCTTCCCTCCCCTCCCCCCACCAACGGACCAGGAGACCATCCTCATCCACTACTCTTCTTCGGCAACAACAGAGAGTGATCCTGGTCTAGGTGTGTC